TTCTCCGCTAAGATATCAAGTTCTCTTAGTAACGCCCAAACGTGGCTACTTTTGAAATTTAAGATTGCATTTATTTTTACGCTTACTTATATTTATTTTTATTACACGTGAGATATTGTTTAAATAACGTTCAGCCAAGACAAAAGGTTCCTAGCATTGGGTATTCTTAAGTCGGAAAACGGAAGCATTCGTAATTGTTTCTGTTTGTCCCATATACTGTTTTCCCACATATTTACGATGATGTTGTTTGTTTATTTCCAACGCACGACTGATGATGAACTGTCGTTGCCATTGAGGCGTTCACCTGAACCGGTTCAGGGACGCTACATATCCCTACGATGTTATAGACCCCAAATCCTTGCCATATTCCCCGCAAACGCGGCCATTCACATCCCAGTCCGTATTGGTTCCAAGGACAACAACTTTCAAGTTCAGATGGAACATTTGGCAGCTAAAGGAACTGGGCCAAGGTCGATTTTTACCGGCAGCCAGAACAAAAAATGGTATGAGAATAAATGCGAGAAGTGCGGACGAAAAAGGAAAATGAGAGGTAGAGAAAAAACCATTAAGCATTGACTGGGGGAAACCTTCGCATCATCGTAAATTTCCATTGGGAAGACCGAAATCCCAATTGAAGGTCGTCTACGCCCCTGCCCTTCTCTGTTTACATGGTGCCCAGAGCAGGCCCCTCTCTTAGCCTTGCTCTAAAGATCTGTAAACTCTGGTTCTCCCCCACATCGCTTCTCGTTTCGTTCCATTCTGTTCCACATTTGTAGCTTTCGGTTTTAGAGCAACGCGTCATTAGGCACGTAGACAGAGAAGTCGACAGAGACGTCACATGTGAGGGGATTAGCTCCGAGGGCGAGAGGTGAGATTTGGGGGCAGTCATGGAGAAGTTTCTATAAAAGACTGCCGGCACTGATACTAAGATAATGGGTGCCAGGGCAGTTAGTACGTCTGAGAGACTTTTCTAGCCTATATTGTTACATGTTTATATACATAGGTATGTATATGTTCATATGTACAAACATTCAAATATAACGATATAAGAAACATATAAGTCAAGCTCCTAAAGCCCGGGATCTAGAGCATTCTACCTGAATATGCTAGTTATGAATTAATGTACCTTAAAAAAGAATATTTTAGATTAAAATTTACAACATTTTTATGCTATAACAAATAAAAAATATGCAGTTCATATTAAATTTTGTATTCTTATTATTTTATTCATTGGGCAATAGATGAGGAAGATCGAGGATTGTTCATTAAAATGAAAGTCTTAAATTAGATATGAGTCCCGAGTTAGTCATGTGAACCTTTATAACAAAGATAAATATTTTGGTATATGGCTTATATTTATTAATATCCACAACTTTTAGAGATGATCACAATTTTAGCCTTTAAAAAAGTTTCGCCTTGTTGTGAAATGTAGAAAAAACTTCAAGAAAAACTAAAAGTATTAACTGCATATTAATTTCATAGTAATTAAGTTAAACATTTTCGGTTTTCTTTTTCTGTCTCCAAAATTTATAAGAGATCGTATTATGTGTTTAATTATGAAAAGTTTTCTTGTTTGTAAGTTTGTTTACAACTATGCTAAATTAACATTTCGGATAAATTCTTCTTTGATGAAAGACCGGTAAACAAAATAAAACCAAAAAGGTAAAAAGTCTTCATTTAAAGTCACGAGTTCGTATCATGACGTCATGGAGAGTTTCGCCGATCTACGCGATTTTTTGATCGGCAGACAAATTGGATGCCATAGGGGATTTATCCCAAGAAGCTGCAACAAACACAAAGCAAACAAAGCATTGCTAGTCAAATGTTTGCGAAAGGAGGCAATGGTAAATGTCTGAAAGGGAAATGGGGGAAAAATGGAAAATGGGCGTCGCATTTGACGCTTTTGACGCTGTTGCCGTGCCGAATTATAGACCAATTCCTCATGACTTTTGCACCGACTGTTCACCACTCGCTGAATACATGATTGAATGGATGATATATGAATATGAATATTACTAACAAGCAGGGTTATTTTTTGAGGGTCTCTGACGTCACGATCCACCTGTGATTGACTCTCGACCAACGCCTCCGTGCGAGAATTGTCTTCTATTTGGAGTTACTCTCCTTATTAATAAGGAATAAGGCCTTGAACCCGGCGGAAGCTCACGCCTACGTCATGGTTTTTTCTTTTTGACCTTTGACGAGCAACAGGAGCAACGCGAGCGTGGGTGTGACGTCACCGTGCCAACGAGTCTGCTACGTAATGCCAGATGCCAGAAGAGAATTACGTCAATGCGCAAACTCGCATTGCGTCGAGGATGGGGCTAGAATTTACTCAACTTCCTTTTAGTTGGCCCTTTGGAACACAGTAAAAAATGTTCATTTGTTTTCTTTATGTTCACGACATTTAAGTTTCAGAAGTTTTAAGAATTTTTGATTTCAAGGCCATCTAAAATGATAGATCTAAGAATCTCTATTGTCTAATTTCAACTTTATGTCAAAAACTGGAAATGCTTCTAGCAGAGTTGGCATGAAAGCTTCTGTGGAATAATCTTAGAGTAATAAACGGCAATTTTTCCCAGTGGCCAGATGCCAGCGGCCTACGTGCGACTAAGAATGTGCGTGGGCACACGTGAGTTCTGCAAGTTCAGATTTTGCTACCCCAGATAATGTGGGTGGGCGCGGGATCTCCGTGGGCGAATTCAAGTCAAGGAAACTGAACTTGAACCCGCTTGGGAGCCGAGATGTACGGCTAATTTTAGATCCTAACCTGCGGCTGATGTTTGTATTCAGCGTTAGGAATGCTTATATGTATGTATATTCTTGCCAAATGGATTTTCGTGGAGAGGAGGTGGGTAGGGGAACTTAACTGCGGCGCAGTTTGCATTCAAAATCTGAAGGAGGTATAATGGAGAGAGGGGTGCGTAACGGTACGTCGGCCCATTTACACGCCCACATTCGCGAGAGAGTGGAGGCCATCGTTTCAGTTCCGCGCAAAATTTACACACGAATTCCGATTCCAATAACAAACACGAAGCAAAAACAAAAACAAAAACGCAAGTACTGCAAACACGCACACACACACAAGCAATTGCACGAATAGGCACGCCACAGACTGCTGGCTTTTTCGGCCCCTCTCACTCGCACTTACTCACTCGTCTGCACAGGCAAAGTATCAACAAATGTTCACGTGAACATCATGAGGTCAACGCGTGATACCAGACGGACCCACACAGACACTCACACACACCAAAAGACTCCCAGGCGAGCATGCTCAGCCAGTAATAAGGTTATTCGCAATATGCTCGATTAGAGGATACCATCTAAAGACAAACTTCGTAATAAGAAAATTGGTTTTAAATATATATTTTTAAAACAGCATTAACAAATTTATTAGCTATTCTTGAAAATTGCAAAAAAAATGTGGATGTATAAAAAAACTTTGAGTTTCTTAAAAACGACTTTGATTTAATAATTTCAAAGAACTACAAATGTTCGTCAAGTTTCTTTAATTGGTTTCTAGAGTACCCAGAACTGTATAATTAAATCAAACTTCAATTTTCATCTAAGGATTTGCGTTCTTCTATAATTCCCCTTTATACCCTCGATGGCGTGAACAGTCGCCCCACAAGTCTGGTGTGGGGTATGGCGTGCTAGTTATTCGTTGTTGTTGCGCAAGAGAGAAGGCGAGCGCCGCCTTTTAATAGTCACAGCTGTTTCTGGCGCTCGCTCTTGCCCGCTCTTTGGTATGTGTGCTGTGCACGAGCCCCTTTTTGCTTTGAAAACTGTTACAGGAGAATCGAGCATTGCCAGGTGGAAATTACTTCTGCATCGTGTGGGTTTTCCAATCAAAATAATTTAATCATTCAAAGAATTAATAGAATTACATGCTTCTGGTAAACAAGCTCATTTTGAAATGCCTGTTTTGGTGACTCATCTTTCTTATCTCTCCGTTTCTTGGGCCTGGCAATGCCAGTCGCTCAACTGTTGAGCTCCCACACTCTCTTGCTTTCTCGCTCTGCCTTTCGTTTATTAATGAAATCTACGTCTGCTTAAAGTCAGACTTTGCTTTTAAAGTTAATGCAAATATATGCGGCCGGGTCTTAGATTTAAGCTTGAGGGGCGTCTGCCCAGGTCCCGAGCCAGTTTTTAAGTATTTTTTTCGTCGATTAATCACAGACTTCCGTGGCAACAACTGCGTCAGCTATTCAGTCACGGCTTTGGGGTGTGTCTGTTAGTGTTGGTTGGTGCTCGCTGTGCACGCGGCTTGGGCATGCACAGCCTATGAATAGACAGCCCATGGAGCCCCCTAGCCCCTCTTTTGCTTCCCCTTTCACCTAAGCACCCATAACAAGACCCGCAGTAAACAGCTGATGACGTCCATGCGTTGGTTACGTGCTCATGGGTCTCTCTTTTTGCCTCTGTGTCTGTGTCCTGCACAGAAAAAAAAGAAGGGAGATGATGACCGACTTAATAGTTTTTCTAACATTATGAAACAGCTAAGACATTATTTTGTTATGATATTTTCTTCATTCGACACCGATATTGGTAAGTTGTATTGGGATATAGTGACAAAAGCGATATTTGTGTTCCGTGATTTCTACAATCTAGTGATGTAATTGATAGGAACTTGGAAGGTTCTCTGTGTGGTTCTTATGGTAGAATATGAATTTAAAACTGTTTCCTTAAACTGTTTTTTTCTGTGCACGTGGGTTGCTGAGAGGTAATTGAGGAGAAGACCTGACCTTTTCGCAGAGAGAGAGAGGGAGACTCTGCCCACGTTGCTGGTGGCTGATGTTCGTCCGGTTTCATTGCACTGGTTGCTCCACTGCCGATGACGATGGCCCGCTCACACACACTTGCCCACTTACAAGTGATTACGTCGTTGGCGTCTCCACTCACTCACACACGCAACTCGCGCACTCGCTGCCGGCAGCGACGTAGGCAGCGACAGCTCTGCTGGGAGCTGTATGCCTTTGCCTTTTTCATTCGCCTCTTGAATTCTGAACACAACGGTTCGCCTCCGCTCCAAAACGGCAAAAGGCACTCGAAAAGCGCCAGTGCAAAGTTAACTAAAGTGCAAACACCTAAGAATACTGAGATTAAACCCAGTGATAAGCTACAGAGCAAAACAACAAACAAACAAACAAAGACTCTAAAAGACTCTTCTTCGCAAAGAGAGTGTAGTTGAAAGTGCAATGGACATGGATACCTTGCTACCTTCACCGCCCGCAACACCCCCTCTGAGGGATAACAAGTTGGAAAACGTAAGTGACCTACAAAGTGGATATATGTAGTGTGATTAGTTCTATTGCTTATTGAGTGAGGATAGTGCATTCAAGGCAGCGGAAAATCAAACGGAATCGGACGTTAGCTCGCACTCGCTTCCACTTGCCGCGTTTCTAAAAACAAAAGTGCTCCATCCCGCTCGCACTCGCACAAAGCCATGCGATCACGCAGTCAGCACGCTTTCACGTGAACACCGCATGCACAGCGAGTGATGTGTAAGTGCGAGCGAGAAGGCTTCAGACTGAACATTGGACTTGGCACTACTAGGAAAAACAACAGAAAGACCCAGCAATTGAGAGAGAGAGAGCGCGCCGACTTTGTTTGAGAGCGAAGGTGAGTTGCCAATTGGCAACTGTGGGCGAGAATGAGAGGGGTAAAAGCTAGGCAAACAGGCCAAGCCCCAAACCATAAAATCATGTCACATTTCTGGCTCGTTTTTATTTTATCTGGCCAAGAAAGAAACAAACAAACACTGTCGCACATTTCAGCGCAACGTGCCGAGCCCATAAAAAGATTTCGACGTCTCCCCACACGAGTCATAATACACCCCTCGCAATCGCCTTCCCCATCGAATCGTCCACCTGAGGCTCTTATTGGTGGTGTGGCTGCATTTTCGTTTGCCTGCTTTTAGGCGGCACTTTTAAATTATCTAGTCCGTGAAAAATTCTACCGTACGGGAAAGCCTTATTTTTAAAATAATATATGTAACAGGCAGTTTAATATCCCAAATGAAGAAAACATTTTTGTTTTACTTTATACCGTTTACAAACCAAATTTTTAAAATCGAACCTCTGATTTTGAGATACTTAAGTTCCCAAACACAAAATAACAGATTTCTAAGAAATTGATTATATTTTTTTAATCAGATTGATGGTCAGAGATTTTTATGATCATAATTTAAATCACGTCGTAGCGCGAATCATTATTTCTCACCCTAAACGGCCTTTACAGCAGTTCAAAAACCGCCAAAACACTGTCCCCTTTGCCTTTTGAAGGACGTTGAACTTGGAGGTAGTGGGGTGCTACTGGGTGTGTGAAGGTTAACGGTGAACGGCCCTGTCAGCCGTCGGCGTAATTAGCGAATTGCGAGGGAAAAGTTATTGTGGGTCAATGCTGGTCAGAGAAAAGTGAATGGGAATGTGAATGCACTCCTGAATCCGATGTTGATGAACTCTCACTAACCCTAAACTTGTTCTTTCTTTACTTCAGGTCGCCAAGGACGAGCAACAGGTAAACGAGAACCTGCTCAAGGCCAAACTCAAACTGGTGGCCCAAAAGAACCAGAAGAATGGAGGGATTATCACACCCAATCCCTCGGACACGGAAGACGAGGCTCCGGAAATGGCGGTTCCCAACAAGAAACCCCGCCTGGAACAACCAGCAATGACCATGACACCGCCACCGGATCAGAAGCTGGATGATGAGCACAAGGCCGAGAGGGTTAGCGTCATAATGCGTGTCAACAGTTCTGGCGCTGTCTCTTCCAGCAACCAAGACGAGAACTCATCCAGCTCCAGCTCCTGCAGTTCTGCATTCAACACAACCACAAGTACAAATTCAGCCCCACCCACCGTGGAGGACGACTATCCAGAGGCCAATGTGTGGCGCAATCTCAAGTTCAAGATGAACAGGAAGCGGGCTGCGGAAGTGGCTCTACCACCATTACAAAAACTTGAGACACCAGCTTCAGAGCTTCCACCTCCATCTGCTCCAGCGGAAGAGGCGGAAGTCAAACCTAATCTTACTCCCATCTATGTGACTCCAGGAGCTTCGTCTGCCAGCCAGCTTATTCTGCTTAGCACAGTGGCCGCCCAACAGAGCCCAACACCTATACCCGCAATGCCCACGATATCTGAGGAGAAGCACACAACCAGAATTACAGCAGCTCAGGCGGCAGCCACCAGAAGCCGCATTTACGAATGCAGTTTCCCTGAATGCGGCAAGAATTACTTCAAGAGCAGTCACCTAAAAGCCCACCAAAGAGTTCACACTGGAGAACGACCTTTTATCTGCAAGTGGGAGAACTGTGACAAGAGATTCTCCCGGTCCGACGAGCTGTCTCGACACAAACGGACCCACACTGGAGAAAAAAAGTTTCAATGCAGCGTCTGTCAGAAGAAATTTATGAGGAGCGATCATCTGTCCAAGCACGTCAAACGCCACAACAAGGACAAGGCGAACGGTGTAAACCGTCATGTCTCCCTGGCCAACAGCTCAACAACCTCCACAGTACCTGCTTCCCTCTGCGATACCTCGCTCCACTTGCGTGCGATAGCACCAGCGGCTTCTAGCGTCAGCACCTCGCCCATCACCTCCGCCAGCTTGCAAATCTACAGTGCCCAGGACCTGCTGAGACTGCAGCAGCAGGCCAGCAGTTTTACCTTCGGCGGAACCTTGCTCCAAGTTCAGCGATGAAATAAGCTAAATGGACCACACCACCAGAACTAATCTCAACCCGACAGTATCGCCAGCTAGACAAAGAAAAACTACCACCGAATCAGGGAGAGGACACGTTTGAAGCTCGAATTATCCTACATTGAGAATGGTTCCGTCAAATCCAAAAATTCAAAATTATATTTTGAGTTTTACCCTCGTGTAGCTGGTGTAGACTTAAGCTTAGTTAAGAGCTAGATCTTGTCAACATTTTGTGCATATATCACCTTTCAAATTCAATATGCTTTGCATCTGTTAAACACAAATCGGATAGATGCGACTTCCTTTTCAGGAGCACAGAGCACTTTTTGGCTTAGCGATCTTCTTCAGATTCAGATTTCGATTCTGAATATCCCTATGCTTGTACATATTATAAAGAGGCGCATTCGGCGTCCAACATCTGTGATATTTAAGTTTTCTTAATTCTTTTCTATTGTACCATAGTTATCACTCTAATTCTCTAAAGCTTACACACAAACAATTGTATTTATTGCTATATGTGGAAAAAAGAGAAAGAATAACAAAACAAAATGAAATAATGGATCCTCACACGACTCCAATCTCAACAAACGAAAATATACATATTTTCAAAATAATTATAAATTGGTTGTATTATTATTATTAAATGGGCGGTAAAAAACTTAGGAAACCGTGAAAATGTTTAATGGAAAATCTAAAATTCCTTTGGAACATTTAATATCTAATGAAGTAGAAGATTACATTTCAGATAGGTGAAAAATAGTCGCTTGCTCACCTTTATGAATAATTTTGAATTAAATTGATTGTAGAATAGAGAATATGTGGGTTTTAGCTTGATTAGTAGCTTGCTTGTAATGTTCGGTGTGTTGATAGAGATGAAAATTTGATTTACCAATCAAAACTGAAATGTTGATTGGGAAAATATTATTTTTTGTTCAGTTTATTTATTTATTACGTTTTTTAAGTATATAGATCCCCAAGCAATATTTCCAATTTGGGAAACATTAAGAACTTTAAAAGAAACCTACTTGCCTTCTTTCTCTTGAAATCATCTTGAATAGAATTTGTATGTATAGTTAAAGAAACACCACATTAAACTCCCAGCAAAGTGGAAAGTTCGCAGACCGCTCTCGGTTTTGATTGGGGAGAACATGCCTGACGGACGGCCATTTCCCAGGTGTCCAAAAGATGTGAGAGTGAGTAGTTCTTGGGCAGCTTGGACATGCGAGCGATAAGGGCTTGTTGCACCGTCTGCAGAAAGGGGGTTGCCGAATACTCTTGTTCGGCTAAGGAACAGTCGGGAGCCTGCCAGGGATACTCCTCCGGAACACTGACACTCACTGGCGGAACACTGGGCAACCGTTTGTCATCCAGACAACAAATCAAACGAATTGCCTTTGTATTTATCTGCGACGTGGTGTCAAGTTTCACCTTAAATTTTGTATCCAGCCGAGCAATTTCACCCTGAAGCACATGGGGCACATCTTGCTCAAATGGCGTCGACTTCTCCTCCACTCTAGGTCGCTTTGCGGGCACTGGAGCTGTTATATCCGTACCAAAGAGCAGTTCCAAAGTGGGTCGGAAGGTACGATGAAGCGTGTGATTTGCGACTGGACTTTGCAGTGTGGTATTTATAACCTCTAGCAGTGGATTCGAAGATTTCTAGAGATGAAAACGTATGCTTTACCGACTTATTTGATATACCAATGTATTTTTATACTTACCCCAAACTGCTGACCGAGAATAGGAAATCAGATCCATCTTCTCAAGGGCTTTTTCACACTTCAGGAGAGTTTCCAGCGGCACCCGCTGGGTAGGATTGCAAAGGATTTCCAACAGCTTACTCATCTTGGTCATCTTCTCCACATCTTTAAAATAATGTCAACAGTGACATGATTAGTGAGATTTTAAATCCACCAATGGAATACTAATATTGTTGCGAATTTTATAGGTAAAAGATGTGTGATCCCAGTGAATTTTATTGCTATATGTTTTATAACATTATTAATAAATGTTATTCATTAGATCGTGTAATTGACTTTCGGATCCTCTACAAGTTCCGATAACATGCTTATATTATTATTTTATTCCGTTCTACTTTATAATTCTGAAAAAATATGTAATCATATACTCACTTGTTCCATCATTGCTGATCTTGGCCAGCATTCTCTTTAAAGGTTCAATGTATTTGGTCAACTGCTTATACTTCTCGCGGTACAATGCTTCCTCCTGGGGATTAAATGGACTGTTTGCAGTGACTTGACCAGGTGTGTTGATCGAGGCACTCGGCGACTGTTGTCGAATGTTGCGCTGCGGATTTTGCATCTGCATCATCTGCGGACTTGATTGTGGAACAAGTGCCGGACTTGGAATCATTGGCGTGGGCATCTGCGGAGTCGGAGGTTGTTGCGTGGGCGTCTGATTGCCCACAACCAGCTGCTGCTGCTGTTGCTGCATTTGTTGGAGCTGAGCCTGCTGCTGAAGCTGCTGAGCGTCAGCGGGCGAGGGGCTGGATCGCATGAAGGGCTGTCCTGGCTGCTGTCCTCCGACCCCCACACCTCTATTTCCGGGGAACATTTGATTAGACTGACCCATTGGCATGTTAGGCTTTTGCTGCAGGTTCGGTGGCATGTTCACGCCCATGCCACCCATGGTGTTTATACCGCTTTGTTGCACCGCATTGGGCGGTAGACCTGCGCCGCCCACTTGCTGCTGACCCGCCGGCCCGCCAACAACATTGTGAGGACCTTGCGTCATACCCTGCATGCCCTGGCCGGGCATTCCCTGAGGTCCACCCATTCCGTTGCCTTGGCCCATTCTCATCATCGGATTCATGCCCATCTAAAAAGGGGAAAAAGATGGTGTATTGCATGCAGTGTAATCACAATATTTTCTATCTACCCCCATTTGGTTCTGCTGTATCTGCTGCATGGGTGGCATCTGTTGCATGGCATTTACATTCATAGGGCCGCCCTGCATTTGGTTCGGTACAGGGCCAGTCGCTCCTGGGGCATTATTTGCCCCGCCGGCTCCGACGACAGCGGGTCCACTGTTTGGCCCAGGGCCTACCATTTGGTTAGGCATTCCCACACCCATCTGTTGCCCTGGATTACCGACGATCTGTCCTTGATTCTGAGTGCCGCCAGCTCCCATCACGTTCATCACTCCTGGGGCATTTCCCTGCTGCATTTGCATCATTTGCTGGGCTCCACCACCACCACCAGCGCCCATGGGCATCTGACCTCGGATATTGGGCATGGGCTGCATTTGCTGCTGCCCAGGTCGCTGTTGGTTAAGAGACTGCAGCAAATTGGAAGCTGTTCCCGGACCGCCGGTGACAGGAGCTCCTCCGGCGCCCATCGGCATCATCTGGGGGTTGCGATTGCCTTGGCTAGCGAGGTTTTGCAAAGCGTTTAGTGGATCCTGCATCATAGGCTGTCCGCCGCCCATTTCAGCATTTGGGGGCGGGCCACCCTGCTGTTGTTGTTGCTGTTGCTGCTGGGACTTCCTGGACATGTCCTTATAATGCATAAATAGCTTGGCCACTAAACCCAAATATTCGTCCTTTGTCCGGGACTTCCGGAATATGTGATTCTCCATAACACCGGCATTCTTTGATTGATCTTGCGCATTTGGTGGCAACAAGTCGTGGCTGCAAATATACAAACATAAGTAAATGATCGGAATCAACATTTTTGGTGACCACTACATTTTGGAGATGACGTTCTGCCGAAACTTTTGACTTTGCCAATCGTCCGTCATATTAGCAATCTGTTAAATGTGAGCTTTAAATTCTAAAATCAATCTATTTGCAATTTCCTTTCCCGTTTCTTGTTTTCGGCTTGATTTTAAAGCAGTATGACCGTTTGCGATTGATGCTTAAATGCCTAAAAATGTTAACTCTCGATAATAACACTTAACAGCATGTCAAGCATAAACCAGTTTTTCGTAACGGACTTTCAAATAATCTTTTATTTATTTTTTTAAAATTTGTAAAATTTTAAAATTGTTTTCATTTATTTAAATTTTTTTTTGCATTTCAGTTTAATTTATATAACAGTTTAGAAATTAATTTGCTTTCGGACTTTTTTTAGTTTTAGCTGTGAACACAAGAAAAATTTCCATCCTGCAGGTGTTTTATAAAAAAAATTATTTTTAAAAGTTAACATTAATTAATGTTATGTGAATTTCCAGTAAATATAAATGGTAAATGGATAACTCTAAAGTAAAATGCAAAGTACATGAGTATTTTGTAGAGATAATAGTGTGCAGGAGGGTCCAATTAGCACCTCCTTGATTGGTTTTGGCTATTTTCAGTATTGCTAATCAATATTATAGCAGAAAAAAAATCTTTATTCAAAATAGTGGTTTTTTAAACCAAATATCCTTTCTTACCAACTATCGAAAGGTAGTGTGCCTATTGGTAAGTCTTAGTGTCACCATGTCCTTTATCGATATAAAAACATTGGGATTTGTTCTATTTAAATTTTATTTACATTTTTCTAAAATGAACATCGCATAGCGCACATATATATTTTTGGATGAATTACAAAAGGGAAACGTTGCAGTTCAATCAATTACCTTTAAAAAATAGAAGTACCAATCTGGCATGCGCAGATGGCTTTAATATCGGAGGGCTTTTCTCTCCGTGTAAAAAAGAAGACCACCTGTGTGAGCTGTCTCCCTCGCACACCGAGAAAGAGAATGTTGCACTCTCTCCTCGGCTCTCCTGGCGCGTGCTGAGCGTAATTAGCACTCATCCGCCGTGTGTGTTTTCCCTGTTTGTCCAATGGCTCACTCGCGTTTTTGTCTTCGAAGAGAGTGGACGTGCACGGACGCGTACGCTGGCGCATCGCATCACTAGATTCCGTTCGGTTACGTTCCGGCGTGTTTTTTCTGTTTGTCGCGTTGTTATTAACTTTTGTATTTTACTACCACTACGGAACATTGTATAATTTCTGTTTCTGTTCTCCGTCGCTTACCCTCCGCCTTTTCGCCTTTTTTGCCACCTGTACAAGTGTGCGCTGGAAAAAGATAGTTCGGGAAATGGAGCGTTTTTAATGCCGGCTTTAAAGTGTGCGTTTTGCTGACGTTCTCAACTGTCATATCTATTTCGTGCTAACAGTTAAAAGAAATAGTAATAATAAAAGTGGAAAGAGCAAAGCAAGCGTGCAAGCAAAAATACAAATTTGGTTATTATCAGTTGATATCGCGCATACGACGTGCGCTAACTCGAAGGTGAAATGCCAAACTTGTGCCCCCTATCCATATATATATTTTCTCTCTGTGTATGTTTGAGTGCGTAGTCAAATAATAAGTGAAGTACAGAAACAACAATGAGCCACAACAGTTACTATTAAATTATATTGCAAGTTACAAGCTGAGGGAGAATAAAAAACAAAAAACACAAAATAATCAAGCGAAACAAGGCGAAAAAATACACAACAAAAACAAACAATAACAGCTCCAAAGCCAGCGAGAAGAACATTTAAGTGAGCAGTGGCTGCGCCGTCGACGTCAACTTCGGCAGAGGGTGCAACAGCAGCAACAACAAAAACAGCAGCGAAAATATCAACAAAATGCCGAAAAACTGTTGAGGTTCGTGCACCGTCAAAAATATTTATAAGTTTTAGAAATTTATCAAACGACACAAAATATCAACATTTTATAGATGATAATAAATGAATTGAATGAATGAATAAATTTAGGGCACATTAATATTTTTTATTTTTCACACACAATTTTAAAAACTTTGTAGATTTTTGTATTTTTTAATGGGTACTGCTATTAATAATTTAAAATTTATCCGATTTTTTTGAGCTTGGACGTTTTTGTAAATTTGTGTGTAAGTATGTCGAGTGTGTGGAATACGTGGTTTATTTGCTGCTTGAGTGCATACGCTTCCCCCATTCATTGTCTCCCCTCCCGCATTATTTTGCCGAGTGCGGCTTACGCTGCTGGCGTCGCTGCCGATGTCTCGCTGCTGACGCTGACGCCGCCGACTTGGGTGCTCTACTTTATTCTCTTCTTTGGCATTTTTGTTTAGCGGCAAGGCAACAACAAAGTCGATTACAACGACAGCACCAAAAAGAGCCACACAGACAGCAAAAATATTAACGCCCGTTTGGAAAGGTTCGACATAATCATACCCTTTGAAATAGGCTACACTTTTGTGGCAAAAAATTCCAAGATCCCGTCAAAACAGCGTTTTCAAAAGCTACAATAATATTCTCATCTTTGCGGAATTTGTTTATTGACTGTCAGAACAAATCGATGTAATGACCAAATATAAAGGGTGTAGTCTGCTACAAATTCTTTTACACTGTTCCTCTGAATTGCAAAAAATTGCCATTTTTAATAGTAGTGTGCATACTCCCGATTCCCAATCTAGGCAGGGTATTACATCAACAACAATAAAAGTGTGTTGACATTTTTGTGAGTGTGTACATTTTTTTCGATTTTTTACGTCTGTTTTGCTCTATACGTTGTGGCATATGTGCGAGTGTGTGTGTCGGTGATGTCGCTGAGTACTGGACTGTAGGGGTTACAGGGGTGCTTGAGGGTGGTGGGTGGTGCTTTGGGGGCGCAGTCCATGGCAGAAGCTCTAGTCGAGGGCTACGTGTTTAAATTATCAAGCCGAGCTTGTCATCGCCACACGCACGAACATCAAAACTACTGACACACATACGAGTATGCATGTTAACGTTCGTTCGTATGTCAGATCTATGTGTATACTGAAATATATATATATAGGTTCTATACATGATTGAAGTGAGTTTGCCGGCTGGCACTTGGATCGCTTCGACATTTGAATTCCGAGTTCCCTACCGCTGGGCAATCATGGAGAATGAATGACAAGCGGCCGAGCCTATTGATTTTCAATCAATATTTTGTCGTGGCCACATACCGTTCAGATATTTACATAGGCACACAGCACTGGTCAATAGTATAGTATTAATCACCATTATGAGTTAGATAGCAATGAACTTTGCATCTGCTAGTAAAAATATAAAATAATTTAGAATCAGTTTAAATAAGGAAAGGGAAAGGAAAAGAAAAGTATGCACGTAGTAAACATTTTTTAAAAATTTGAATATATTTAAGTAGTTGCGATATACCTTTAATAATAATAAAGCATGGAATACTCTTAAATGCATACATGGCGTATACTTGATGTACAGCTTTATCAGAAAGGTTAATGGCTTTAAATTGGTATATTTTGGATTTTTCAGCATTTAAGTTCACTGCTAAAAATAGTAGATATTAAAGGGTAAAAAAAACAACTAAATTTGATTAGGATGTGTTTTATAACACTTTAAGTTTTAGGCCTTTCGACCGCATAAATTAGAACCGATAGTGCTCCCATAATTGCGACCTCGGTTGTTTGTTTTTATACGACGACACCAGGTTTCTTTCTTTCTTTCGGTTTTCGTCAACGTCGCTGGCTTCTATCTGTTGTTCGATTTTCTTGAATTCGTTTTGCATTTGAATGTGGAATTGGGAATTGCTATAGCTTCTTCAGTCGGAGCCCCTATTTTCCAGCTCTTTCCTAGTGTTTCACCTTTGGAGACACCGTGTATGTAGAATATGTGGCATGCAAAATAATGGGGGACAGAAGCCCCACTGTGGCAGCGCTGCACGCGTCTCAGCCAGCGTAATCGTCGCTGCTTTTTATTATCATTTGATTGCGTTGCCTTTATGATTGCCCGTTGTTGCTGCTTGTCGCCTATTTTATTGTTGCCTTTTTCCACTTTTTCTAGCTTTTGCTTTTTGCCCATTTTCTGCTCATTGTTTTTTTTCTATTCTCTTTTTGATCTACCCTCTCTACACGAAAAGAAAAACTTTGGCTTTATTTGTGTATTGATATTTTTTTAACTAGTCAAAAATTGTATATGTACTTTATAAAAACTATTCTCTTAGTTTTTTGATAAAAATAAAACAATAAATTCGTAAGTATTTAAAATTCTGGTTGCTTGTTTTGTTCAGAGTGTATCGTTTCTCCCTCCAATTCTTTTACCACAACTCCAGATTTGTTGCTGTAGCTTGTTTGCTTGTTTACTAAATTTACTTAATTTGTTTTTGCGGTCGATGATTTAGCTCTATTTAAGCAGCTCTCACTCCGGCAAGCCATAAAGTTTGCTAGGGTCCGTCACCTCCCGGGGGAAAGCCCTCGATGCACTTTTCCAATCATTTTGGTTGCTCGAATCTACTGCCGTTATTATTTGTCACGCTTCGTCATGGAACTGGAAATGGGAAATGGGGAAAGAAAGGAGTTGCAAACAACAAAATTGGAACGCTAATGGGAGCGTGGAGCTGTCATGTTTGCTTATGAGCGGCGGCTTCATTTCCGCCCATTTCAGGACTAAGGACCTGGGTAAATTAGAGCAGGGAGTAGTGTGGGAACTGGTGCTGTCACATGTCTGGCAAAATGTTTCGGAGGCGACTGGACCCTGTAATTACTTTGGAGCAGGAGGTATGCTGATCTGGGCTATGGAATGATATGGAATTCCAGCATTTTGAACTCTTAATCTACAGGTTTATATCTTTTCTTTAAGATGTCTAACTATATCTGATTCAGCTTTTTCATTCAGCTTTTTAATTTTAAAATAGTCTTTTTGATTGCTTGCAGTGGTGAAGCCAATAATTTAATAACAGCCTTCAGTGCGAATGAACTTAATTAGTTGCCATATGTCAATCCACTAACGGACTGCACTTCGGAGCTATTTGAAACAGGGTGCGAGTGCAGCCGCTTTTCCTTTTCCTAGCTCAATCCTTTCGCTCTATTTTCGTGTCCGTTTTCTTCTCACCACGGCAACCACTTGTTTTCCCAAGCACAACAACAACAGACACACAGCTACACACCCGGACATGCTTATGGAGGACCTACACATCTAAACCTTATGTCTGTTTCTTTCCTTTTTTCCACACCCTTCGGGGTATTTTCATCGTCGGCTTTTCCTTTTCGGCGTCTGCGTCGGCGCAGGCGTCGCTGCCAGCTGTGCTGCTTGCGTCGCTGCCAATGTCAGCTTCGACGTCACATTCCTCGGCCTCAACAGCTTCAACAGATGAATAAGTTTTTGCTGGAAAGTCGCACGCGCTGTCACGCCTCCTTCTCGTAAAAATAACTGCAGTCCTCAAAGTTTCATAATTAAAACAAAGGGAACGCTGTGTGGGGAATCCCCTCGCACACACACACACTGGCACGACAACGTGTCCTTTCAGCGTGTGTGCGTGGCTCTCAGTGAGTGTGTATTTGTGTATTCGTGTTAGCCCGCCTTTTTCCCGTGCCCAACATATGGCAGCATAATTCCTCGCATTTTGGGTAAGAATTTCATAAAAGTTTGCCTGAAATGAAATTTTTCATTATTTTTTATGGCTCTACATTGAAGTATTTTCGTTTATTAAAAAATAAACAATTATTTATTTTCTACATTATAAAATAACTTAGAAAAGGGACTCTCCTCATAGCTTTTGTTTACTTATGTACTAATTAGTTAATAAAATGCATCAAGTTAGTGTGTTATTAATATATTAATGAATGGAAAATTGGATGTATGTACCTCTGGAATTATTCGTTTACTTATCTAAAGTTTATTTTATAACATTCCAACTTTATTTGTGTTGCAAAAGAGGGTCGTTTTGTTTAGCTTTTAAAATTCTTATTGTGAGGTGGTTATGTATGCATTTTGTAATTAAGTTTTTCTGCTTTAGCAAACATACTTGCACTTTCTATTCGAATGTGAGGCAGCAAACTCGTTTAATTCATTTGTGGTGATCTCCGATATCGGCGTACCCATGGGCGTATACGCAATGTGCTCGATTTACGACGCTGGCCGGCTGTTTGTACACCAGTATATTAGGTAGCGAGCTGAACTTCTTCGATTACCAATTCCCCTTTTTGGTTCACCGAGTCCATTCCTGATTTGCATTGCGATCCCATTTCGATTAGAGCCTGACTTGACAATCGCGATCTCATTTATTCCGGATGGTCGTTTCACGCCCAATTAGACTAAAAGCCCGACCCGAAACAAATCGAGAGGTCGATTATCCGGAGTCGAGTGTCCGGGTCATCAATAATATTTGCTTCGAGCGAAAGTGAATTATCATAATGAATTCCAGTTCGTCACTCGCTGTGCTCGGTTTACTTACTCTGTTTTAATTTTATTCCGTTCGCAGCGTTCTTTTGTTCCAATTGTCCAGTTTTCCACTTGTCCATTTCTCCGTAGTGTAAGCTATGTGGCTTCCAGCGGACAGTAGTTGTCCTTACGGATGGAACTGCCCCTGGTCCTCCCAGGTGGTTGTGAATGGACTGTGGATGGAACTTCCACCGGGGTACTACGGCAGTGCCAGAGGAAAGACGGGTACGGCTAAGAAATTGTTACACTATGCGAGAAACCAGCTCAACACCAAACAAATTATTACTTTTTAACATTTCTATAATAACCTATTTAAGCACAAATGTGATTTTTCTCATCCGACGCTATATCAGCTTTCTTTGAGTCGTTAATTCTTAATCTGGTCTAGAGTTTAAAGGTTGACCGCGTCTTTCCAAGAGCAACCATTCTTATCGGCATGCCAATATATAATCATAATCGTATTCTAGGAATATTTCAGCTTCTGTGACTGATCTTGAATGGAACGTGGGCTTCAGACATGGATTCGCTGTTGATCTGATCGGTCCTAAAATGGTTGTCTATAGGAAAACGTCTGTACCATACTTACTCCTTGTATTTCTCTCAGTGTGCTGCTTCTGCCCGAGCTCAAAAGTATTTGTCATTAGACAGAGGCGTTTCATTGGGCTCTAACAATTATCTGCGACAATTATTGGTTTTTCCCAGTGTGTGAATGTTTGTGGCCCACTTTGCGGTGGGCGTTGGCATTGGGTGGGCGTGGAAAAGGGCTTCGATTGTTTTTGTTACCGTTGCTCCCTGCATTGTCCATCCCCTTTGCCGGTGAGTGCGTGCGTGTGTGTGCCGGGGTCAATCATTAATATTTCATGAACATTCCACATTTCCATTTCACAAAGCCGACGCGCGCGCGTTTTATTTTGTAGTCCCAGTCTGCGCTACACAGAGAAAAATATCGTCCCTTTGGTCATTTGTCTGGTTCTAAGAATACATCAGAAACTTTTCAATTTAATCAGTCTTTTGATTTTCCTCGTTAATGCCGTTGTCCTCGAAAATAGATCCAATTTAAATTTTTATGGAAATGTTTTTAGCTTAAGAATTAGATGGCACTTCTTCCTGTGTGTGGGCTTACCAACATCACTGCACTTAGACATCAAAAACCCCACTGACACACTTGCAGGACTGCGAAGGACCTGCGTGCTGTTGAAGACCACATTTAATGACCAACAAAATCGAAACTGTCGCGGGAGAGTGGTGTAGTGGGGGGTATGTAGTGGGGCTTTCCATTTTACATTTAAATGCCAGGGAATAATTGCTTTTTCCTGTTCGCGGTGTGGGGAACCTTTAACAATTGCGAATGCAATTTGAGAATGCAGCCGGGCGAACGGAGGGGAAATCCTCCAAAGGAGGGTGTGGGTTAAACGTGGACATAGCCTTGTCTGGTGGGTGGGATGTATATGTTGACAGTACATGAAAGAAGAAGGCATTGTGTGCAGTTTTTAAAAACTTAAAAAAGCATTAACAGATTTAAATGTATTCCATATTATGGCTTTTTCAATAATGTTGCTCTTAGTAAATTTTAAACTTTAAAAGTTATCCAAATTTAATTGCCAACCCAATTTCTTCTTGCAGCCAAAAAGATGCAAGCGGTCATGGACACAGCTGCCATGGCCATCGCCGTGGGCTCCTCCGGTTCTGGTTCCGTGCCCGGGTTGAGTTCCGGCTCCAGTTCTGGACCGGGCAGCAGTAGCAGCGGGAGCAGTAGCAGCGGCTACGGAAGCGCCACTACCACGCCCACCGGCGGCAGCCATTACGACAACTCGCCCACCTCCGTGCCCATGGCCACAATTGCGACGGTGGCTCCGTTTTACAGCGAGGCTCTGACATCGTTGGATGCCCAGCAGCGACAACAACAGCAGCAGCAAAATCCGGGACACTATTATCACCAGAACTTTGGTTACGGAAATTCCCTGCCCCTGGAACCTGCCTACAATTACAGTGGAGCTCCGTACAACACCTACAGCACGCCAGCAGTGGGGCAACAACTGTCCGGCTCCAGTTATCCCGTAAGCGGAACCCGGTACGAAAAGCTGACGCCTAGTTCGGGGGTAAAATATGGAGGAAATCCAATTGGAGGAAGTACGGGTATAAAGCCGCAGGCCACGGCCACTCCCTTTTACGCTCAGCCGCTATCCGGTGGAGCGGCGGGATCTGGTGGTTATATAGCCCAATCGAATGCCATGTACGATCCGTATAAGTACAAGATGCCCTCCGCCCAAACTGCGTCGCAATCGATGTTGCCGAGCAATATGGCCGGTAGTGTGATTCCCGGTCCATCGGCGAGTCAGTTGTACGGTCAAGGCCTAGCCCTAAATCCTACCGTCCAGAAACAGTCACAGATGCCTCAACAGACGCAGCTAACCCAACTGGAGCCGAACTATGCGGCCATTAAGCCGAGCAGGACCTATCAGGGAATGTCCACAGCTGCGGCTTACGGCGGGTCCGGTGGAAACTCTGGTGGAGTGGTTAATTACGATAAGTACGGAATGGCCATGACCATGTACTCACCAAATGGCGGTCTGCCCATGTACAGCCAACCGGAATTGGGACCCGACTCCGGCGGACTACAAACTTACCGCAAATCCTCGAATAACTGTCATTGGGGAGTCGACTATAATTCGCCCAACTATAGATCTCTACCATCGGCGACGGTGTCCAACAGCTCGTACCATCATCCCCACCCGGCTCCCGGACCTGGACCTGGACCCGGACCTGCAACCATTAACAGCGAATTGTATTACGGCTCAACGAAGTACGACAAATATGGAAATACGGGTGTTTCACCCTATGTCAACAATCCGTATGCGGGTCCATCGATTACGCAATCCTATGCCGGACGAAACTTGTGGTCCGGTACGGAGAATGCGTCGGCAAGTTCCCGCCAGAATTGCTGCTCTCAGGGATACGCCCTAAACCAACCGAGCTGCTACTACCCGAGGAGTAACGGATATGGATCGATATCTGGACCATATGGAACAGCTGGAAATGCTCCGCAATCGCAGCCTCAATATCTAGGCTCTGGATCATCCGCCTCTACCATGAAGCTCAAGCATCCGACTGATATGTACGCGGGCCATGGGCCCTATGAAGCAACGCCGAGTCAACCGAGCTATGGGTACAACCCACAGGGGCTGTCAGGATCAACCTCATCGAATAGCATGAACAGCCAAAGATATGCGGCACCCTTGAGCCTGGGAATGGGTGCAATGGGAGGTATGGGAATGGGTATCGGAATGAGCATGGGCATGGGTATGGATCCCGGAAGCGGAGGCTACTACAATGATCTTAGTCTGAACAGCTTGGACAGCTATGTGACTCCGTCAATGCCTCAGCAGTCGCTGCGAACCCAACCCTATCAGGATTATCGCAAGAGATCTGGAATGGTTGGTTCCTCCTCGGCAAATTGTTACCTGGGACAAGCTGGAAGTGGAGGAGGTGGACCCCTCAGTAACCTGGAAGCCCAAGTGGAAAACTATGTGGGCTTTAATCTCCATGCATCTGCGCCTTCCAATATGAACTACGCAGTGCAGTCAGCGAAAGCTACCCAGAACTACAACATCCGGGACTTTCTTTCGACTTGGAAGGTCGATGACGAGGATGACACAAGTGCTGTTCTTGAGATAGATCCTCCGGCTGTGGCCATAGTTGCTCCTGTGCCCAGTACCCAGAACTTTATGTACGAATCTCTGCCACCAACTGGACCACAAGCCACAGCTGTCGTGGACCATCATGGTATTAATTTACCGGACATAATAATAGATATTGAAAAGGCCAATGGAAATGGCAATGCTCCTGTGGACGATTCTTTCGGCAGTTTCGATGTGGAGAAGGAGTTGGATGAACTGCGTCTGAAGACGTGTGCGTCTGATCAGCAACCCGTTAACGAAAGCGACGCTCTTGCGGAGATCCTTCGACAGCCTGTATCTGCTTCATTGATTTCGGATCAACCCCCAGCCCTTCCTTTGTCCAGCCCCAATCTCAAAAGCAATGAAGTTTTTGGCAGTGTATCCCAACCTCTCGCCCCCATGGACTTTGACCAGAACAACAGCTCGAACTCAAATGAATCCACCTTTGCCAAGGAGTACGAGACCTTCATTCACAAGAACGAGGGTTCCGAGAATGAGATAAAAGAGGCGTCTGTCCGGATTAAAGGTGAATATAAAGAGAATCCAAAGCGATTTAAGTTCTACAAGAGAAAGCGAAGAACCACAGAGCCCGAGGAAAGTCAGGATCAAAAGGATATAGAAGATCGGATGGTAGATGATAACCAAAGTCCCAATGCAATCTCTCTTTCGCCAAAGGCTTCGGCCAGAGCCAGTAAAAAGCTGCTTGCCAAGAAGCGCCGAAACCGCATCAAGATGCTAAAGATCCTGGAATTCGAGAGTCCAAAAATCAAGTATCGGCATTACTTCAGGGTACTTAAAGTTTTGCGAAAGAAAGCCGCTTTCAGTAGAACCAGAAAACTCCGAGCAGTGCTGATGAAGAAACAGTTGAGCAGATTGAAGGAGAACCGTCTACCCTTGATCAAGAGGCTGATCAAGAAATACACTGCTCCTCCAGAGCTGCGTAATCCTCTAAGTCTCAAGGGCTTGAGCGTATCGGCTTTGAATTCCTTCGAATTCAGGAGCAGTTTGTTGAGTGGAACGAATCGGGAGACAGTGATCAAGAGTGGTTACAGCTACAAGGATAAGACTGAAGAAGTTCCTGGAGAGGTAAACCTGGAGGAACAGAGCTTGGATACAAAATCGCTGGAGCTGCAGTCGAATTTCAAGGGATTCGATGACATAGAAAACACAAATATGTCTCCAAAAATAAAATTGAGAGTGGAGCCAGATGACGAAGAGGACACAAAGAGCCCCCTCAAAAAGTCAGAGGATGATGTTGTCCAAAATAAGGAGAAGCAAATACAAGCCTGGCTGAACAGTAGTGTGGCACCCATCCCAGAAGCAGAAACATCGAAACAAGTCACTTGTATCACTGTAACATCATCCTCGTCATCTTCGTCCAGTTCGAGTTCCAGTAGTTCCAGTTCGGACGATGACTCAACTAGTACGAGCAGCCAGGAACAAGATGCTTCGTCCAGTAGCAGCAGTTCAAGTAGCACCAGCTCCCAAAGTTCAACGGCAGGAGAAGAAAGTGACTTCAACGAGCTGGCAGCCCTGGAAAAAGAACTATCTCTACCACAAGCCGACGAACCCAAGAGGCAACTCTCTCACCTGGAAATAGTTGTCAAAAGGGAGGCCCCTGAGGAGTCACCACAAGAAGGGGAAGTCTGCAACCATGATATTGCCAAACTGAAACAGATACTGGAAAGCGACGGCGAGCCAAAGCCAAGTGACCTTAGTAAGATTGCCTTAAATAGTTCCTTAAAATCAAAAGAGTTAGTCGTAAGCGAGAAGGAGGATGAATCTCCTTTCGATGAATTGAATTCTCCGGATAAAAGTGACCCTGCTCCCCGAGAATTAAGCGTTGAAGAGGCGCTGGCGGAGATGCATCAGTTTTCAGATTTTGAGAGCAAGGAAGATGAGGAGGAACCGAATACCAATGGGCAGGATGTCCTACTCATTGACCTGGCTGAGATATTTGATAGCAGCAGTAATCTATATGTGGTGCAGTGTGATATGAACGAGAACATCCTGGGAGTGGTGGCCAATGATGAGGAAGTCGAGGGAGAACCCAGTCAGGCTAATCTCGTTCAGGTGAGTCCCGAGGAGGAGGAGCAAGTCAACACCCTGCAGCTCATCCAGCTGTTGGCTGAGCCCCAACCAGAATTCGATGCCACCCCATTGATACACCACGAGGAGATAATTCGCGATGAGAAGCCCGATCCGCACAAGGATCGGCGAATGTTGCTCAAATATCTGCATGAAAAGTATGTCCAAAGCGGAATCAATCGCTTCTTCCTTGCCCATCAAATCTTGCGGAAGTACAAGCGCCAAAGGGCAAATAAGAAACGCCCTCGCAGGGTCAAATAGGATTTCAGCTTCTACCAAAGATATTTCTGGTCCTCGGATAGGATCAGGTGTGTTCGGCCTGCCAAACCTGACGGTCCAGAAAGGCGCGCCTAATCGAAAACTAAGTAAAAAATACACCACACACACCTAGATACACCACAAAAAGAAAAGATACGGATGTAAATGCAGCTACACTTTACCAGAATCTCAAGACTTTTTAATATTTGGATTTATTTTAAGAAACGGAATATAGCTTAATGATGTGTATGTATAGTCGTTTTAGGGAAATCATAACTTTTAAACATTTACGATACTTATTTTACACCTAATCACATAGAGTACCACATTTATATATATGTATATATATATATATATATATATATGAGTATATATTTTAGATATTTGTGCAATATTTACATGGAAAATGTCGTGTTTATCTGGAATGCGCGAATTCGAATCTCGATGGGTTAACCATGAGTAAGCAGCGTTAGACGTCGGGTTAACCGGGGGTCAGTCGAGGAGTTGTGGGGTTTCGGCCCGAGTCCCGTGCAATTAACCAGATATATACATATTTTATCGGCTAATGTATCAGCGTTTTTGTCGCTCAGAAAGTCGGGCCAATTTAAAATGCTTTTCGCCAAAGGTCATGCCCAGATTGAGATACAATCGCAATAAAACACCTAAATCGAAAGAATAAATGCGATTCCAGTTGCGTGTTAGCCTCGGCATAAGTTTAGGGCCAAGATCCCCGCCAACCCCTTGAAGCTTCTATTTTTTATTGCCACCAAATGCAGCCTAGACCAAAAACTAAAAAAGAAACTAAATATACATATTTGTTGGAATTGTTTGATCTGTTAGTAGCCGAAGACTTTGTTTGTTTTTAGTACAATTATTGTTAGGTTCCTAGAGCAATTTGTTGTTTGTTTTACGGTTACGGGGAGTACCAGAATTGTTAAGCTTGGACCTAATACATTTGAATATGAAAACCATATTCCTATATCGACCAGGAAATCGAAGTCGGATTCGTTTCATAAGGCCCATTCCAAATTGATGGCTTGTACAGTCTGCGACTTTAGGGCATAACCGATTCGGGCCACAAATCAAATTTGGTATGGGGACCTTAAAGAATTATCAACGCTCGACTTTTGGAAAGTGCGGATGAGGAAAACAATTCAAGGGCAATGCCAATACCAACTATGAAATGGACTTAGGTGCTGGTCTAGTCTTAGAATCCTAGCCAACTGCTACACTAACATAATGATATCTTATCTTATAATCGAGACCACCTAGATATATTTTTTCTCTTGTAACACATTCCAAAGGACCAAACGTTTTGAAACTTAAAAATATCCTATGTCTAGCTAAGCCTCTGAGTGTACGACCTTTCGTTTAGTAACTTGTTTAAACTAAGAAATACGCTTAATTTTAGTACAAAAGTTCAAGAGCTAGCCCACTAAATGGAGTAACAACGTTAGCAGTAACAATAATATTTATTGCGCAATATGTACATACCATCCTTTGCCACTTCACACATTCCACAACGGATATATACCTACATATATGTTTCTAGCTCTGTGCTTGCAAATCGGAATGTTTTCACTGTACTTTAGCGCTAAGATTTGTGACTACATTAATGTGCGTGTCTTTGAGCAACCAAACAAAAGAAATGATATACGAAATTCAAAAAGAGAAATAAATGTTTTATGTAAATGTTATTTACTGAGTTTTCGTTTTATTAAATTGAAATTGGATCTGTTTTCACTTCTAAAGGTAAGTAAATTGAGGAGTGGTTTCTATTGTACAGAAATATTGCAATTTATTTTGTAGAATAAAAAAGAACAGCACAGTTCACAAATCTAGAATTTGCAGGCTAAAAGTAAAAAACCAACTTTCCGGCTTAGATTGGCGACCAGTCCTCACCTCCTTCGTCATATATATCATAATAATATCAACTATAGTTGATATATGGCTTTGGTATAGTTTCCTGCCTCTTCTTGCGAGGTCTCTTTGGTCTCTCCATCTTTCGATCCCGACCCATCTGACAAAGGGTCGACCGACAGTCTCCGGCCGCAGCTACATCCAACTCTATCCATCACTCGAAGTAGCGCTTCTTCAGGTCCGGAGGATAGGTCACGTAGATGTAGTGCTCATTCTGACCAAGACCCGCTTCCTGCTGCACAATCTCGTGCGTGGAGGCGGAGGCACGAAGGGATTGCTGCGAGGAACCCACATGGCGCCTCGTCTCCAGCGGCCGCGGATGCGTATTGTAGTGCCGCTGGGTATCCCCAGGTGCTGTAGCTCCTTGTCCTGATCCTGATCCAGCCAATAAATTGGTGGCTATGGGTCGCGGGGAACTACTTGTATAGTCGCGTCGGTCTAAAATGTCCTGTGGGTAAGCCAGGCTCGTCGAATGACGATGTTGCAGGTGGGGATGCTGTCCCGGATGCTGCACTCGATGGTGCAACGGCGTGTTGGCGTTGGAGGAGCTGCTGCGCACGGCCCCTTGGGTGGGTGTGCCCACTGGTGGCCCCACCGGACGCTGATCGGCGATGTAGTGTCGCGGACTGTGCCGATGGTACTGAACCTGATCCGGATATAAGTCCCGGACGGTGGCAGCCTGCTGCTGCTGCTGCTGCTGGTAGTAAAACTGCTGCTCCTGGAGCAACTGCTGCTGCTGCTGCCCAGCTATCCCTCCGGCGTCCAGGTCGAGGTCGTGCCGAGTGGCATAGTCTACATGGTAGTGATGACCCGCTGCTGCTCCGGGCATGTAGATGCTCCCTCCGCCGCCGATAGCTCCCTGGCCGTAATAGTGGTTCGCGTTGATTGTCGTCTCTTCGGAGCTGAAACAGATGACTTGGGTTCGCTCAATCTCAATGGAAGGAACAGAAGGCCAGGACACACTTACTCGAACAAAATCCATATTATGTAATAGCAGAAGCAGATCCCTGTGGACAACACGAAGATCAGGATCACTATCAATCCCCAGGGGAAGGCTCTGGGCTCCAAAGGGCCATCCTCCCAGTAACGATCGCAGGTTAAGTACCAGCACACTGCCTTGTTCATCTCATCTGCGGGCAAAAGGGGTTTAATTGTGAATTTGGATTACTTATAAATGACAAAACAAACCTTCCATCTCCTTGAAGGCTTGGTCCGACATGGACAGGAGTAATCCTCCAATGCAACTCCTCAGCAGCAACTCGCAGCGGTTCTTCAGTTTACTCAGCTCCTCCGGCTTGCAGTTGGCCCTAGCCTTATTGCCGTTTCCTTCTGCTCCTGATCCCTCCTCGGCTTTGGTCTCATGGGTGGCCTGGCCACTGCCCTCGGATTGTCCACTGCCCTCCTCGTCCTCCTCCTCATCTGTTTCGTTCTGCCTGCTGCTGTCCGGATCCGCTGATGTCTTCAGGTGCGCCTTGCCCAGCTCCTTGAGCTTGTGGAGCAGCTTTTCGCCAGCCGATCTCGGCCTAGCCGCCGATCCGTCCTCCGGGGATGGATCTAGGCGAAGGGGATTGGCTGTGGTGGATGCACGCTCTCGGGGATGGATGTGATGGTGGTGGGAGTGGGGATGTTTTCGCTCACCTGCCGGCGTCTGATCCTGCTTGCTGGCCTGGATTGGCTTGTCTTGGAGTAATTGACGGTTTTGTACTTTGGCGGCACGCGAGGCACCCAATGTGGAAGTTCTAATAGATCATGAGGTTAAATATTTTAAGGGTTCCAATCTATCAGATCATACCTTGGTATTAAGCTCAAGTAGGCAGCATTCGCTTTGGCCAACGCGGAATTCTGACCCAGGGAGTCGCCCCACACCTCGATGTCCGTGACGATGTGCTGGTCCCCGAATTTCAGGCTGGACGCATCCTCCGTTTCGAAAACTTCGCACCGCATGATGTCGCAGAAGTCGGCCAAGCATACAGCGTCCTCCGCCTTAGAAACACAACAAATCAATCAAATACATGACTATAAAAATTAAAGTTATGTATATTTCTTAAGGATTCTGTTATTCCGTTTTTTAGATAGTTATTTATATATATATATTGATATAGAAAAGCTGCTTGAATAATCAATCTCAAATCTTCATAAATTTTAACTAATTTTACCTCGTTAATAATGCTCTTGTGGCGGGTTTCGAAGTGCAGATCCAAGTGCTTCTCCTGGTAGAAGCTCTTGCCACATTTCCTACACGTCCACTGGGTGGGTCGGTCCCTTTGCTTGGCATCCTGTCGGGGAGCGAAAACATCTCGAAACGGATGCAGCGGGCACTCCAAAGGTAGCTTCACCTGGAAATATGTTAACTACGTATTAAGAATAGCCATTAAAGAGGAGAATTGGAGATGGCCGACTCACCTGATGCTTGTCCAATATAGGAGTCCATTTGGAGCGCACTATCTTGCGCACCAGTCGGCTGTTATCTCGCGAGCAAAGAATTCTGATCACATTCGTGGGTGGCCATGGTATCAGCAGCAGAAAGTAGACCAGTGCAATCTGAAAGGGTTTTTAGGTCTCTTAGTTTGGCACGGGACCAGGATGGATGAACTTGTCGAGCACGCAAGTTTGCCGGCTGACCTAAAACCACCCTCCCTTTCTTTTTTGGGTCACTTAAAGTTAAAGGGAGCAGAAAATCGATAGCGAACAAAAAGAGCGGAAGGGGTGGGCAGTTTCGTCTTCGTAGAGCAGCAAATCCCAGGAATTTCTGAGGTGCCCAAAGAGGCACCACCAACTCACCTCAAAATTATGATATTTAGGCGACATTCATACTATGTATTTATGGTCGCTTTTGTTATTGGTGCCTTGTTTTTCGTGTCGCAGGTGCAAGGGATTCCTTTAATTGTTTCGACTTATCTATGCTATCTCTTAGGTTTCGTGGGGTGGAAAACAGTGTTAAGATTGAAAATATATTTTCAGCTTTTCTAACGATCGGTCTTGACTGGGGCTATCTGTAAAAAAATAAAAGCCTGTCGGAGCTCGTCCTAATTCCGTACTGGTGAAAATTTCAACGCTCTCTGACAGCGAATATGCCACTTCCTGTGCCTCTCTCTCTCTTTTCCTTTTTTTTAAGCCGTTGTCCTGCGCTAGTTATCGACAGCTGAGCCAGAGTTGCAAAAGAGAGCTTATCGATGATGTGAGTGTTATTTTTTAAATATAAAAATATTGTAGATTCTTTTACTTATAACTAACCACAATAAAATGAGTTTCACAAACAATATTTATAATTTAAATCCGTTTTATTTTGTAGGGAGTTGGTTTTGTTTTGAAATTCCTTTTGTCACCAGGAACTGCTTTTAGTTTTCTGTCCTCGCTCATTAACTTTTCCTATTTTACAAAACTCTAAACTAAAATTAAATTGTTTTTATCGCACAACTTTTTTGAACAAAGTCATGTCTTGAATTGGGGGCGTTTCAAGACCGAAACCTCCCAGCTAGGCATTTAAATACTAGAGTACAGCCGGCGAGCGCATTTTTGGGAGGGGTTGATGTGGATTCACAGTCCATTGTAGATCCGATTGATGGAGGATTGGTCGAGTATTTTCTTGAGCGCTTTAAAAGAAAAAAACATTTAATTAAAAAGTGTGTTTAGTATATGTAGAGCTAATGAGTTATTTGAAACATTGCTAGTCAACTGAAGAAAAATAAAAATTTTGAAATTTAAATCTCTTCCTAATTAAAAAACACTTACCTTCCTTGTCCTCCTCCGTTAGATCCTTCTTGGGGAACTCAACATCAAAGGTGATGTACAAGTTGCCGGTGAGGTTGTTATTCTCGAAGTTGGGCATGCCCTCACCCTTTTTGCGGATTCTAGCGCCCGGCCACGTGACCTTTTCCCTCGTGACTGGCACCAAGTGCCCATCCAGATGCTTAATCTCCATGGAGAAGCCAACTAGGGCATCCTGAAGACTAATGGTCACGTTCGTGTACAGATCGTCGTTCTTGCGCAGGAATCGCGGATGCGGCATCTGTTGAACCTTCACAATGAGATCTCCGGGTTCACCATCGATATGGGGCTCTCCCTCGGCCACAAATCTTGTTTCCTGGCCATCGACCATTCCCTGTTCCACCTCTATTTCCAGGGTGCGCTCCTCGTTGACCAGTTTTACATTTGGGCACTCATCACAGACGGTTTGCTGAATCATCTGGAATCGTCCAGGTCCAAGGTTCCGGGTGACCATCTCCTGGCGGCAGTTGCATTTCCGGGTGCCAGAGGCAGGCTTAGTTACAGGCTTGTTTCTCACAATCTCAACAAAATTTCCGGAGTAGAGTTCCTCTAGAGAAACATACAGGTTCATAACGATATCTGCTCCTCGCGGAGCATCCTGTTGTTGGCCATCTCCGTTTCCAAAGTGGAATCCAAAGTCCCCGAAGAAGCTCGAGAACGGGTCGCCACCATGATCCATCATGCCCTCTTTCTTCAGGCAGTCCTCACCGCACCGGTCGTAAGTTTTCCGTTTATCTGGATTCGAAAGGACTTCATAGGCAGCTCCAAGGTCTTGAAACTTTGTGGAGGCATCCGGATCGTCTTTGTTCTTATCCGGATGCAATTCCTTGGCCAATCGACGATACGCCTTTTTTACCTCATTCGTGTTGGCGTTTTTCTTGATGTTCAGTATCTTGTAGAAATCCCGGCCGGCTAAAGACTCCTCCACCAGCGAAAGGGCCAGTTGCACCACCAGCAAGCACTTGATTATTTGCATTTTGTTTACTGTCCTATTTGTTTCAGTAATTCATTCTATTCCCGGGCGAATTAAATATTAAATGCTGGCAAAAATGTAAAAAATGTTGTAGTTGTCGCCGCTAGCTGCTTTGTTTGTGTGTGTGCGTCGTGGTCTGCGCTGATTGGCCGGTTCCGGCGACAGGGCTGCCACCTTTGCATTATTAAAAGCAGCTGATGGTAATTAACAGACATCACTAGAAACTCTGGCAGCGCGTTCTGCGTGCTTTAACAGCTCACCAAAACGCATCTAGCCACACTTTCTCTGAGCAAAGATAAAAGAAAATAATTTACTTAATCCAATTAAAACTGCCAAACAGTTAGTTTCTGGCTTGTCTTGCGTTGTTTTTCTTTGTCTGCCGACAAGCAAGTAAGTGCCTTTATTTTTGGTTAGCTGCCGGTCTGCGCCCTCATTACGCTTAAAATCCGTGGTAAAAACAAATTGAAATTCAATAATCCTTTGCAATTAAAAACTAACGGTATTTTTGCAATTGTAGGCCTTTTAGAAAGCCAAAGGATTAGGGCCCCAAAGCGGGGAGCTCCTAAAAACTATACATATTCAGCTCAAGAAATCGCATATGTTGAGTCAAGGCCAGCAGCAATAACATCATCTGAGGCTAAAATACAAATGCATTTGTGTGCGACATAAAAGGTGAGTAATTCATGTCTTTACATATTCAGCCGGTAATAAGTGTAATAATACGTGATAATTAGCGGTAGATTCATATATAACGCCCTGCTGGTGATGTCAATATTTTTTATTTAGTCCAAGCTTCAAGCTTAGGCTTCAGAAATACGAAATTATCACAACTGACGGGCACTAGAATGTAACTTACAATCAGCTTGAAAAATTGCAGTTAAATACTACTTAGTTAGCAACAACAAAGAACTTTAGATTACGTTTTTTAAAGGTCATATATCTTCTTATTAAATTTACATAAGCTAGGAAAAAAAAACAGTACGGGATGGAAAAGATTTACTGTGGTTTCAGACCCCTATTTCTGTTGTTATCAGTTATTGAACAAAGAAGAATAGTATAATAAAAAGCCCAATGAGCTGACAAAAACAAGTCTGAGTCAGTTGAATAAAGGAAACAAAGCAAGGGATCAAAATTGCAATATGATATGCACTAGACTTTTGATAAAAAAAAGCCCCGTTCCTATTTCGGCCGTAGAGCCTTGTGGTGAACGGCGGGTGAAGGCCTATATGTTGCAGTAATACAGATCTGACCCAACACATGTTGATCGGACTAATCAATATGTTATCTAATCTGGGCCATAAATAGGAACCCCTTGTGAGCGTTTGCATGAACTAAACATCTTGACCAACAATATCGACGTACGAACTGGCTAAGAAATGCGGATATTTCCCAGATTGTCGATCTATGTCAGTCATTAACCAACAATACCATTTATTAAGACGTTTTAGAGATCAATTTATGGTCATTGAAATGAAAAGTAACTAAGTTTACCGTTCAACATTTCACTCAATGAGTTTAATACTTATAATTCTTTAATTTTAATGCAATATATCTTAATTAAAATATATATTTTCCCATTTGCGTCCATTTTTTGAGTTTAAGATTTTAAATGTTAAACCTTTTAAAGTTCGGAATTTAAAAAAGCTGAACTACCCATTCTTTGGACATTTCAGCAGGCAAACATTCCAGATTAGCGAAATCCAGAGATTAGTTACGGAACCGAGTAGTAAACGTCAAGTGGCTCCATTTAAAGACCCCAAAAAGTCCGTTGGACAGCAGTTTCGCCCTGACAGGGGACGCGTGCGGTTGTGATAATTCCAATAGTGCCCAGTCTAAAGTATTTTCCTCTTCAGTTGGAAACTTGTAAGTTTGGGCCACCTTAACAGTAGCAAGTGCTTCTTAACTGACGGCTTCTGCGGATGTCTGTACTTGAAGTTTGCTGTATGCCGAGTGGACCGTCCCCGTAATCTTCTCCAGCTGTCATGGCGGCTTCAACGGACGTAGTCTTATTCAAAAATAAACTGACTTAATCGCAGAAGTTTATCAAATACTTAAGCAGGGACAAAAAAGCGATAAGCCGGGAAACGTATTATATTAACATTACCAACTCTGCTGGGTGTCAGGATGGTAAACCGGGAAAAATCGAATAAAAATTCTTTGAATAGCCGTTTGATATCGTTTATGGACACTGATTAAACGAGCTAAAATAACCATCGAACTCTAACAAACCTCTTTCAGATGCAACGTATTGCCTAGGATTTGTCCTCTCTTATTGCTTCCTAAAACAGTGAACCTTCCGCATCCACCATGTGCTGCAAGTGCTGTGGAGAAACTCAACGCAAAATCTGGGTCTTCGGCCTGGGCTCGCTCTTCCTGGTCCTGGGAGTACTTGTCGTGGTCTTCTGGCCCGGAATTGCGGATAGCCTAGTAGAGGATGTGAGTAAATGTATAATTATTTATTTTAATCAAACCAATACATTCTAGCGAATATAAAATCATAAATTTTACCTTTATTTTAGGGCCTTACTCTCAAGCCAGGCACAGATGCCTACGACAGCTGGCTTGAGGCACCTATCCCGATTTACCTAAGCTTCTACATGTTCAATTGGACAAATCCTGAGGACATAAGGAACCCTAACATAAAGCCAAACTTCGTGGAAATGGGTCCATACACCTTCTTGGAGAAGCACAAGAAGGAGAACTATACGTTCTACGACAATGCGACGGTAGCATATTATGAGCGCCGCACATGGTTCTTCGATCCAGAGCGATCGAATGGCACACTGGACGATATGGTGACCGCTGCCCACGCCATCACCGCCACGGTGGCGGATGAGATGCGCAACCAACGCAAGATAGTTAAGAAAATCATCAATTTTATGCTAAACCGCGAGGGAGGCGAATTGTATGTCACGAAGCCGGTTGGCGAATGGATCTTCGACGGATATCAGGACAATATTACCGATTTCCTAAACCTGTTCAATACCTCCATGATTGACATTCCATACAAGCGCTTCGGCTGGTTGGCGGATCGAAATACATCGCTGACCTACGACGGCTTGTTCACCATTCATACTGGAACTGATGATATATCCAATCTGGGCAGACTCACCCACTGGAATAGAAAACCGGAGACTGGTTTCTACAAAATGCCTTGCGGCGTAGTTAATGGAACTACAGGTGACTTGTTCCCGCCCAAAATGAATGTGAACGATGAGATTACCATTTTCGCAACCGATGCCTGTAGATTCATGAACCTCCGGCCACGAGGCACGTATGAGAATCACGGCCTGACTGCCACGAAATGGGTGGGCACTGAAGAGACCCTAGATTCTGGGGAGAATTACCCGAACCAAGCCTGCTTCTGTGATCCAGCGCGGTTTGACGAGTGTCCCAAGACCGGTGTCGTAGAGTGTAAGGCCTGCCGAGACAAGGCGCCGATCTACTCCTCCTTCCCGCATTTCTACCTGGCTGATCAGTCATATATCGATGCTGTCAGTGGAATGAAGCCGGAGAAGGACAAGCACGAGTTCTTCCTAGCGGTAGAGCCTATTACAGGAGTGCCTGTTCAGGTGCATGGTCGAATTCAGATAAACATGATGATTGAGCCCGACGATGACTTCGAGTAAGTACATATACTCAAAATTATATAATTCTGACGTTTGCAAGTTAATAATAATTGTTATTAAAAAAACGGTATTATTAAATAATGATGTGTGATGATAATATGTATTCATTAAACACTTTTTTCAGTATCTATCGTGGTGTACCAAAGGTACTGATGCCCATGTTTTGGTTCGATCAGTATGCTGAATTGTCTTCAGAATTGGCATCCAAGGCTAAGGTGAGTTTTCTCCTTATTTTAAATTATATATATATTTACTTTTTTCTCCCATGTAGTTGGCTATCAATTTGTCCAGCTACGGAGTTATTTTCGGCTATTCTCTGATAGCATTTGCCAGCGTTTTCATTGTCACTGGCATCACGTTGACCGTGACGAAGAAGTGGGTTCGACGACCTTCCGAAGATGAGGACATGCTGACGAACTAGAGGATAGTATTTTTAAGCATAGCCAAAGTGCCAGGACATGTTAAGTCTTCTAGTTTTTTCTGATAGTCGCGCAACGCTTGTTGTTCTTTGTCAGTTATGCGTTATGTAATATATAAGATATACGGATCGATGTTCGTCTTGCATCTTGTGATAGCAAACCTAACTCTTAACCCTACCAAGCCCTACTCTTAATTGCATTTCACATATCATTTCCATGTCGAAACTTTCCGGTTGAGATTTACCTTATTGTACTTGATAAAACATACTACACAAATTGTATTTTTACGATTTTCATTTGAATTTATATTTTATTTTGCAAAAATAATTTTTACATCTTTTTTATGCTTTACTCAGAGACTTTTCACTTATCGTATACGGTTGTTGGATGATTCAACAATTTGCTTTATAAATGCATAAATTGAATGTTGTTGTTTTGTAAATTAATAAATTAAAATAATTGCATATGCATAAAAATTTATTTATATATATATTTATTTGTGTACATGTAAGATATATGGCAAAAATTTTACATTTTCTCAAAGATCACATTCCTCAATTTAGCCATAGACTTTTAGTCGAGAAAAATCTACGCAAATATTTGTGACAATCATCAAAAACTCAAAATCATTTTTGCACGCAAACTCACACATCCAAAAAATAGTTTGGGGCTAATAATCGAACAAAAAATAATAAAAACGTGGATACAAAAATAAATCATAATTATCTCTCGCTTACTACTATAGTGGGGATGGAGGGCAAGTTTAGGCACTCTTGAAATTCTTTAGTTCCGTTCGGCCAGCGATCGAAACGAGCAAAACCGATTCGAAATTTTTATACCCGGTACAATCGCTGGCCCGATTCGTTGAGAGTATGTGTGTGTTACGTGTGAGGGGCGATTGCTACGTACTAGAAAATTTGCATAGTTTTATGTTAAATGTTGCGTTGTTCTTGGTGACTAAAATAGTTGTAAATTTAGTGTAAGTTTAAATAAAATCAATCACAGTTGTTTGGGCGGAAGTAGTTAGTGTTAAGTATTCGCATTTCTGGCCTAACTAAGTACTTGCAGCTAAGACTAAAGTTCTACGTTGTAGTTTAGTTAATTAGGTAGTGGTCGTATTTTATACTTGAGTATTGTTGCTTCCCATTTTTTCTACTCTCTCTCTATTTCCGTTGGTGTGTCATTGTGGCTTTCATTGTGGTTACGTTACCAATTCCCTTAAGTGACTAGACTGGGTTCAGATTATTTGAATGCGTATTTGAGGTTATGTTGCTCACGTCGTGTTAGGTTAGTTATTGACTTTGTGTTCAGTTTTACTCTATTTCTCTGTTTTTCTGAATTCATTAATGAAGATTAAGAAGCAAATGTTACGGTTTCTCGTCTATTCCTTTACGTGTTCTTCTAATAACTGGCCTCTGTTAGTTAAATGCTTGTTAGTTACTGTTTAGCTGACACTGATTCTGCTGCTCTGCTAACTGATCCTCCCGGTGGTTCTCATTACCCCTTGGTGTCAAGCGAATCTCTACCCTCCGAAACACTGTGATCGAATATAGAAAACTCTTTACACAACTCGATCTATGCAAATTTCAGAACGCAGAATTAGCGCTTCACCTGGGCACACAAATACGTCAGCAAGTCGATCAGCAATCGAACTAGAGAGGAGAGTGTCGTCTTGGACCCATTGTCCATTTCCGTTTCGGGTTCCCATTTAGCTTTGCGAGTCTAACTGGTCTTGTGGTGGTGCTGCTGCTGCTGCTGCTTCATCATGACGGCGGGATCGATCACGTAATTGTTGGCCTCCGCCAATTGTTGGACAGGCAAAGGTGGCAGTTTGTCCTGCGGATGGCGGTGGCTCACGGTGGATCCTTTCCTGACCTTGCTCAAGGTACCTCCGCCAGAGGAATTAGAACCACCATTGGTGGTGGGTCCTAAAGACTGCGCACTGGAGCTTGGAATCTCCTGGCCGGTCTTCGGATGAAGCATCACCTTTGTCTGCTTCAACAATGAGCGGTCGTTGCAAAGAGCGGATATCAGTGGCAGATCCAGATGCTTGCTTTTTTCCCGGAGCAGAGCAATATCCATGGCTTGAGCTTGCGATTCGGCTACCATTGAAGCCTGCAGCTGGGCCAGTATACTGTTGTTTCCTCGATTCAACCCGAGGCCAAGCCCCAAGTCCGGCCTCGGCCGCTCACCTGCCCATTGGGCGCCACTGGAAGTCTTCGTTAGCGGAGAGTTCGCGTGGTGCGGATTCAGTGTTGGTGGCTTGCGAGGTGGCAGCGGGCTCATCATACTGGGACTGGGCTTTGAGGGTACTGGAAAGAGGACAAAAAATCGGAGATAAGTGATGGACCAAAGAAAAACCTGGGTTTATGTTATTACTAACTTGGAGGTGGTTTTTCACTGGGCGCCGGCATAGGTGGTTTCTTCAGTCGCCTGTTGACGTAGGGCGGTGGTGGTGGTGGAGGCAGACGCTTCCCCTTAGGCATCGAATCCAACGAGTTCAGAATATTATCGTCTGATCGCGATCGTGCAAACATTGAGGAAGAATTACCACTGGCCCCGGCAGCAGCGGCTGCTGCCAATGCCGCCGGATGAAGGGGTGGAGGAGGTGGTGGCTCATACGAGGAACAGAGGCTGGCCATCGATGGAGAGTAAAGAGGTGAATAAGCAGGCCCCGGAAGCTGGACATAAGTGTCCGATAGATTTTGGGTGGACGCATATCTCGAGTGGGTTGACAGTGCCAGTGGTAGATAGGGGGTGCTCCTATAAATTGCTGGCGACACCTGCATTGCCAGATATGGGTGGTGCGGTGGTGGTGGTGCTGCTTGGGCCATCGCCGCCAGCAACGATCCCTGTTTGGCATCTAGATACTCCTGCTGGCTGACCGCTGGATCCTGAATGGGATAAATCACGTAATCCACATCGCTGTAGAGCTGCTGTTGATAGAGTTCCAACTGCTTCCTTGCTAGTTCCCTCCCATAAAGATGACCGGCTAGATGAGGATGATTCGGTGGAGGAGGAGGTGGCGGCTGCCTGGGCAAGCTGGGTGGTGGTGGTGCGAGAAACTGACGGGGCTTAATCACCGGCAGGAGCACACATGACTGATGCTGATGATGCAGTGAAGCCGTACTCTTGTGTAGGCCGTAAGGAACTATTGGTATCCCAATGGCAGCGGACCCGGAATGTCTGTGGTGTGCCGGCAAGTGATGGTGATGTAGTGAAGCCTGGGAACCGCCAGCATAGTTGGAGTTATGAAGCGATTGCTGACTCAACTGGTGACTGCAAACTGATCCATTGGAGGAGGCAACCGATGAGCAATGGTGCGGCGCCGCATAACTCGGCTTCGCTCCGTCAGGTATCAGGCTGGTGTGGGCTTTCAGAATACTAATCTGTGGCCTGGTGGTGATAAACCTGGCTGTAACCTCCTCGGATTTCAAAGAACTCATCGAGCCGGCAGCACTAGGAGCAGGATTCGCCGAGGAACTCACAGATATCAGGGATGTGGGTCTGGGCTTACTGGAGCTGGTATATGGCGGCGGATCTCTTCGTCGGAGAGCCACTGGTGGAGCTGGAAGTGGTGCTGGTGGTATTGGTGGACTGCAAGATGGTGTGTCCGGTTTGGGAGACACCACAGCTATAGGCTTGGGCACTGGTTTGGTAATCGGTGGGCCACATAGTCCGGTTTTCTCATGCCTGGCACTGTAGGGCGGCGGTGGTGCTGGTGGCTGATCCACCTCTTCCTCTCCTTGATTTGCTATTGGTAATGTCACGTAATCACAGTCAGAGTGCAGGCTGCTGGATACTGTTTTCCGGCTAGGATAGGTACCCCTGCCCACAATCAGATTGGTTAACTCTTCGGCCGAGAGCAAGGAATGCTTGTTATCTGTTGGATCGCTGCCATCGCCCCTGAAGGAACTGCCCGTACTGATGTTGGAGTCCGATCGCAGTCTGAATTCCTCTGGTTTTTTCCCATCTACAGAATCAGAGTGTGTCACATGGTTATCTTCCAGCTTCTGTGGCTGGAACATTCCGTAGTGCGAACTCTTTTCTGACTCAGCCATCTCCGACGACTGCCCGGTTAACTCGCTACTGTGCATGGTATAGACTCCTGATGTTTCGGTGGGTGGAACTCCGTGGGCCAAGGTATAAACTCCAGACGCACCCGAAACGCTCTCTGTTTCCTCTCTTGCGGATGTGGGAAGATAGTCTCCGGTATTCGTTTCGCTCAGGGCGGAGTTTTGAGCTGTGTGACTGAAGCCCAGTTCCAAACTAGATGAAGTGGAGTGCACAGGAATAGGAGCACCTGCTGATGAAGCACCTGTTCCATTTGCAGGCGAAGTTACCACCACAGTACTGCAGGTGGAAGAACACTGAGAGCCAATGTTATGCTGCGAGCTGGGGGAATCCGTAGCCGTAGAAGAATCGTTGGCTGCTGTGCCCATGGAATTTCTCTGGACAGATGTGTTCATTATGGACGTGGCTCCGTTGGAGCTCGCATCTGGTGGTCTGACACTTAAGGCAGCCAGTTGTTCTTCCAGATCCTTAAGGGACATCTGTCCCACACTGGAAGTTTGCCTGCTCACACTAGGTCTGTCCAAAAGATGGGCCAAAGCTAAACTTTCTGTCGAGGGAGCAGCCAAGGGGGCAGGCGGTGTATTGATCATAATCTCTAGCTCATCCTCGGAGTGCACTCGATCGCTTACTATCCCAGAGGTGGTATTGGAACTGGTGCTGGATATCACCGAGATGCGTTGCTCGTTTTTGCTTTTGTAGGGCAGGAGCAAACTTCTGGAACAGGCATAACTCGCGTGGAGCCTCTGGGACTCGGCAGCCTCCTCCTCTTCTCGCTTTGATACCTCCTTCAATCTGGCTGCCAGCTTCATGCTCCACTGATGGGTGTCCTTACAGAGGGTCAGAAGTAGTTTATTTTTCTCATCCGATGCAGCGTACAGGGTGATTCTGCTTTCCCCTGATCGTATCTCAAACTTCTTCCGCTCAAAGGAGAGCTTCGTGATATTTGGCCACAGAAAGGTGGTAGCTTCGGGGGTGGACGTACTGCTGATACACTCTCCTCCCAGGATCTTGATACCTTTGGCATAGACCACGAACCAAGCACTGCCCGATCCCTGCTCACTTTTGGCCAACCGCATTCTATAGGTGTGGGCATTGATGGTTTCATGGAGACTGCAAGCCTGTTGGATGTACAGCAATTCCGCCTCAGCCGTGGCCATTCCCAAATGCTCCCGATGACAAGCTCTCATTGCACTTCGAGCCCAAGGAGTGTGGAGTCCGCTGGGCAGGTAATCCTCTATCCGGTAGTAATCCGCACCGTTCGGTGGCAGGGTCGGTGGCAACGGTATCGATTCCCTCTTCGATGTGGAAGCAACATAGGTCGAGAGCCTTAACATCCTTTCATTGGCACGTTTGCTGATCTTGGGTAACGTTGTGGTAACACTCAGACCTCTGCTTGCTCCAGAAGTAGATGCCGGTGTCTCCTCGCCCGAGTCATCCTTAGAATAACCCGATCCCGGCGGAGCATCGCCCAGATCCGCCTGAAGAGCCAGCCCTGCGAGGAAGACCAGGGCTTGCTCCGCCTGTTCTCGTGGTAAGTCGCGCTGCAAGATGTTGTGACGCAGCTGCAGGTAGTAGTTGTGACGGGACGTCTCATCTTTCAGCATGAACGGACTCTCGATATAGAACTGCACGCGGAAGTGTAGCTCCAAGAGTGGTCGTCCATTGGCATCCAGCCCCTAAAATATAGATAAGTTGTGTTAAATAAAATATCTTTCTGATCATGTTAGTGTATCCTTACGTGAGTGTGCGAGGATCGCCAGCTCTTCGGGCCGTATTTGGAGAGCTTGCTTTCGGGATCTGCGAACATGTACTCGCCATCTGAAATAAAAAATTGGAATTACAAATTTGATTTTAAGTTAAAATAATTTAATTTAGTCTTTAAATTCATTGCCACAATGAAAAGATTACTAATATTCCCGTCTTTATAACGAAATGGTTGTCAAGTCGCATTTCTTCATTTGACTGCATTTCCGGTTGGGATAAGGAACTTTTTGGCGCGCAATCGCCAAGGTCGCTAATCAAAATTTTAAATAAACTTTCGGCTATGCGACACCGCCGAATCGGGCTCAAATCGTATCAGGACCCAAACCAGACTTCTGTCAGTTTGTCAGGCAATAAACAAGCAACCCATTGACATCAACAAGAGTCAGAGGCTCCGGCAGATGGAGACGATGATGATGACGACACATCAGGCTGTCAGAGGCCCGTTGCTCGATGCCCGAAGAGGAGACCGGTACCGGACCGGGCTATATAGCTCAGCTCCCAGCAGAAGGGCCCAAGGGCATGTCGGTGATGCTCGAGAAGGCAGGGAAAAACAACGAAATCAACACACACTTCATCGAACGAAAAATTGGAATTCCTGCATACGAAATGAAGAGCAGCAAGATGAAAAATAATAATTATGAAAAAACAGGCAGGCAGGCAGGTTGAAGGGGACGTGGAATGGAGTCAGCGCAGCATCCACAACACAGCAGCAGCAGCCACAATATCATAATAATCATCAGCGGCCGAATAAGTGCCTATCAATGACGATGTCGTGGACGCCGAGCTGGAATGGAAGTGGCAACAAGTGGATGGCCAGGGGAGAAGAGCTATTCGAGTTTCAATCACTTAAAAAAAAATTAAACAATACTGCTTCCCAAATAAGGCTTTCCATTTCCTTTTTCCTAAGTCTGATATGAGGATTCTATAGAAAGGGGATGTACTAACGATGTTAAACCAATCCATTTTTGTGTGCTAACTTACAATATTTATTTGAGTTTGGGAAAATTACTATCGGTTTTCGCAAAGTGTAGAAGTGGAGTCAGGGCGAGAGCGAGTGTTGCATACCAAGCCCATAACGCAGCAACAAAAAAGAAAGAGGAAAAAACAGGTAGAAAGACAGGTAAGCCGCACTGGAAAAAGAGGCAGCTGAAACCCAAGTCGTTCGGTTTTTAGCCGCAGTTTTTAGACTCGAACCTCGAAACTCCAGCGATTTCTTTTCGCATCCAAATTTCACTCCGCTCAAGGAGTTTTTGGCCAATGGAATTCGGAGTCTTCCTATTCTACCAGCTAAGAGCAGGTGTGAAGGCCAGAAGAGTCTCATCTGAGGTAGCCACTCGGCAGCCTGATGGATCCTCACGCAATCCCAGCGTTCCATTCTACCAGGCCCGCTCCCAGCGGCAAAAACCTAATAATTAACATATTTTCCATCGCATTCCTCAACGCTCACAATTAACACGCACGCACACGAGTTTAAGGAGGAGGGTTTTGGGGGCAACGAAATAAATCTTCAATTTGAAACACATGCAACACAAATTACAGCCTCAAAAGCACAGGCAGCTGGCAAAGGCAAAGGCAAACGCAAAGGTAAAGGTAAAGGCTCATCAAGCAGAGGAATTCCAGGAGGAGGAGGCCAGGAGGGTCTCTAGATGGGGTATGGAGTTGAAGATGGAGAAAGAGAATGAGAATGAGACGAAGTCAGAGTCGGAGTCGGAGACGGAGACAGCTGCGCCCAATGCCATGGCCTGGCATTCTTCAGATTCAGATTTATTTTCAAAAAGGTTGCAGTCCGAGTTTGAGTGGCCATAATAACCAACAAAAAATAAGAAACCCACAAAGGGAATCAGACGAACGACTACCCTCTATATAATCGGGCCGTCAATTATTTAAATTTAAAATATTAAAATAACAAATAATGATTAATGATCTTAAATTTAATAAAACCAAACTGAGGTACAAAACAGTAATTTACTTTCCAATATCCAAGTTCGAGCATGGCCTAGCGGGTAGAGTGGAGTTTGTAGGGTATCATAAGAATGGGCAGCAACAGAGATAAAAGAGTGTGCCTGGACATCGAAACTGACTGAGAAGAAAGGGAACGAAAGACGAAAAAAAACATAAAACCAAAAGAATTTTAATTTCCGATGTTATCAGATGCACGCAGCTCGAAGAGGAGAGGCGGTAGCTGGATGGGAGAAGGGAACGGGGAGGAGGATGGACAGCCATTGCAAGGCCGTGTGTCCAAGTCCAAAGATTGAAGACGCAGACGAAGACGAAACAGCCAACGCCGTATAATAATCATTATGAGCCATTAACATTAAATGGAAAAGAAAATGCTGGTCTACACATTTCAGCTACAAAAGGGGGCGGGGCTCCGCAAGAAAGGGCAGGGGCACAGATGAGTCAAGGGGGGACCAAAAAGGCCTGTGGAATGCGGCAGAGGAATCCAGACAACAGCCAGGCGACAGCCTAAAAGTAACACCAAAATGGGAGGATGAGTAGATGACCACTGGGATGACAATGTTGCCAAATTGCCATCGGCCGAGTGCCACTTAAAGTGCATCTTCGCTGCGATTCCGAAGGAGCAGCAACAAATTTACATAAAGATGAAATTTATTGACGGTGGCTGGCCATAAAATTTAAATTCATTTCCATCCCCGTCAGCGGACGTTTTCTTCAGGGCCTTGCTGTATTCAAAAGAAGTTAGTCAGTCCGTGGACTGTTAATATGGGCTTTCCAGGCTAAAAGTTTGATAATTATTTGATTAACTAGAAAATAAGATTTTACAAGACGAGGAAGAATCAAATTTCCATTATAAGGTATTTCTTCCTAACTCGATGTCTTCTTACGTTTTTAACCAATTAAACGACTTTTCTCTTGGAGTAGTAGATTGTAATATTTCAGTACTGCCATATATTATTCAGCGTATCTTTTGGGTTTTGGGAAAGAGTGCTGCGTGAAATGCTGGACAAGGGAATGCGGGGCTGAAGCAGCACGGACAGCTATGGAGGGGCATCTGTGTCCAGGGGGCAAGAGCAACAACAATTTAACCGCATACCACTCACAAATACACTGCCAACTGACATTGGCAGGAATCCTTGGCCACGGAACCAAAACCAAACAGAAAAACATCACACACACGAAAGCAGAATGCAAACTTCCAATTTCATAGTTGAACCCGAGGAATCCTCTGCGAGGCGAGGACGTTGGCATGCCCAGCCCGATCTTCAGATTCAGTTAAAGCTGCATAAACAGCTCCTACAGCGACTCCGGCTTCGAACTGCATACCAAATTCTTTGCCGAAGATGTTGTGGCAACTTCAACGCTCCCCTGTCTCTTGCCACGAAATTGATGCCAACCAGATTCGAAAATTTACGTGTTGTGTTCTTGGGTTCTTGCGCTAACATCGTAACAGGAAAAAGGGGTATACGGAAAAAGCCAGTGGGTTTAACAGGGAAATCCTACTTTGTAAACTGAATTCTTCAAATTTAAATACGTTTTATGAAGCAAATTGGCTGCTATGATTATATAATACAAATATATAACTAGCGATTCAGAAGTAGTAATCTCTTCTTTTGTAATAATAACCAAAAACATTTCCCTTTTCAGAGTAACCAAACTTCGACTTCTATTAACTCGAATTCCTCGCTCCTTTCTCGTTTGCTCGTCCCTGGACCCTCTCGCCCCCCACCCCTACCCATTTCTTTCTGTATGCTTGTGGGCCTTTGGAGAACGCATATATCTGTGGCCAATGCCAAAGACGTTGTCTGCTGGTTCTCCAAGTTTCAGTTCAGGCTCCGGAGCTCTGAGCTCCTCCATCCTCCATCCTCCAAACTCGAACCTCCATCCTCCCTGGCTGTCGTTCGATTCGTTTGTGTTAATGCAACGCGCGACGGCTACCTGAATTACTGAACACGCGTCTTGTGTCTGTTCCCCTACTCTTCATCTTCTCCTCATCTGCTCCTCTTTTCCTGAGCCCCTTTTCTGTGTTCCTGAAATTGTTTGTTCGCCATGGAGGCGACGCGTTCCCTGCCTTTTTGTTCGTTTTATGTGCCATTTTTGTGTTGCTCCGCTGTGTTGGTATTTTTATGTGTTTTGGCAGATCGCTTTGGCCAGAATGGAGGATGGAGACTGAATTTGCTGCTGCTGCTCCTGCTGCTGCTGCTGCTGCTGATGATGATGATGAGCAGCTTTTAGAGCGGACTGGTTTATGTTTATTAGTTGTATTTTTCATGCCTTATCGCTAGCATTTGGCTACTCCACAACTCGGAAACAAACTGGACGCTACGTGGAACCACAACACCGAAAGAGACTCACCTATGAGCACAGCCAGACCGAACAGTTCGGTGTCCAGCATCCCTTGCGTGGCAAAGTGCAGACATGTCTGCGTGTAGACCTCGCGAACTCGACTCTTGGCATCGACTAGGAAGTACAAGGTTTTCGGCTGCTGCTGCCCCAGAAGTCTGCAACATTTACAAAAATTAAGTAACTACATTTTCGGGCAGATGTTACCGCGCCAAACACTCACCTCAGGGCCAGGAATCGCGAGCCTGGTGATAGTTGCTCGGCTGAGGACGCGCATACTTCCAAAGGCGCGCTGACGGTGCAAAATGCTCGCATGCTGCATCATTTTCCGTATACAGCGCGCGCGTTTGAAATACGTTGCTATTTGGAAAGAAAATAGAAAACTGTATTAAAATCTCAGATTCTATACTTATAGAAGTTCTTAAAAACAAGTTTTTGTAAATTTAATAGCATCTATGATTAGCCTTTCCAAGATAAAATTTCATCACATTCCAGAGAGAAATTGACGCATCTCTAGCATCATTTCTAACCGCATTTCTGGCTCAAGAAATGCCGATAAAGTTGCCGCTTGATCGGCGCGGTTAGGCACCATTCTTTTAGGCAAATTGATGTCGCTGGAGCCGCCCCAGACGGAGTTGGAGACGAAAGCGGAAGACGGCGATGGCGCCCGCCTGTGTTGGGCTCACCGACTGCCGAACAATTTCACCAATCAATAACGAAAGACTTAGGCGACAAACTTGATAAGCGGCCGGGGGACTTGGACTCGGATAGAAAACTGAAAACTGAACAGTGAATAGTTGGGGACTCGAGGCGGTGCGTGCGTGGCAGCTAAACTCCCTCCCCCTCTTGATGCGTTGCGCATAAAATTATTAAAATTCAGTTAAAGAAAGTTCCAAAAGCCCGGGCACAGAGAAAGAGAGAGATACAGCTGACCGAAACTGGCCTCGTGATGAAAGAAAAGTATTTTATGCATAAATTAAAATCAAATCGAATCAAATCAACATTTTTGTATAGAGCGCCGGCAGCGGCGACTACAGTTTCTACCAACCCGGCGGAGACGCATAAATTTCAATATTGGCGCATTTTCTGTGTCTAATAAATTTCAACGTCCAATAAATTTATTCAGAGTCAAGTCGAGAGTCGGACTCGAGAGCCGAAAGAGAGGGCCAGGGGCATCTGCATGCCAAAGAGAGACAGAGGCTGGCAGAACCGCCCTGGCTTATAAATACATGCCCGGTCCGATCGAAGGAATGCCTCCGCCACCTCCGTCTCCGTGCCGAAAAGCGATCATCAATCAAAGCGCACATTTGACATAAATTAGAAACCAAAGAATATCTGGGAACAAACCAACAACAAGCGAAGCTCCCTCCCCCGGAAAGGCCTCTTCGAAAAAGCTTTTGAAAAGCAATTATATTTAAGCCGATTTCCATGCGCACCTTGGACCCGGCTAAGGTGCTCCGGAGAACAGGCTCAGACACACACTTTATGCCAGATCACCGACGATTATGAAACGAGAATTGAAATTCCAGGTCTCTAATGTGCTGCGATTGACTTATTACCGAGGAATTTATCGGATAAACATAAAAAATTTATTATTGGGCTCTTAGGGGTACTGGATTAAGCGATCACACAGTCTCAGATGTTAAGTAAGTGGTCAAGAAACAGGCTTTTGAAACGATTTTTCTAAGATTGGACAACCTTTTTCAGTATTATAAATCTAGCATTATGTTTTCTAACTAAGACTCGACATTTTAACGACATATAACTACATATCATTCAATTACACACTAATACCAGGATAATGGAGTGCGCAGTAATCAATGCTAGCAAGCGATTCAAGGAAATTCTCTGTGCCATTTAAATTTTAATAATATGCAATTAGGCCCGACAATAAAAGGAAGGCGTCCTATCAATTCTGATAACAACAAAAGGAAGCCAATTGGCTTTAATGAGGAAGAACTGTTGCAACAAGCTGATAGCCGTTTGATAGGATTTCTGCGGAAGTAATGGCTCAGGGTTGAAATGATTGATCGAATGTCTTGATCAATGGGTACATGATGTTAGTAAAGCAGCAATGTCGCTGAAGACCGCTCCAAAGAAAGCCCCCCGCAATTAAATCTCTGGAATTCCAGACCCCTCACAGAGCCGGCCATTATGCAATCGCCAGTGCCAAAAAGCAGAGACCGAATAAATATGCGATCACGATCAAGGATGAGTCAACGCAAGGGGCGAGCGAAAAGGTGTTTTTAATTCGAAATGCAAACAAATTAAAAGCATTTAACAATTTCAATCGTAGCAAATTATCCGCATTCCATCCGCTAATGAGAGCGGGAAGCAAAGAAAGCCGTGGCGGCGCTAATTACCAAAGCCAACAGGAGAAGGGGGGTCAGAGAGAAAAACCGATATGAAATCTTGATCAATTTGACAACTTTATAGTTAAGTTGACCCTACTACCAATAAGGTGGCTTATATGTTTAATATATATTAGACACATAATTTGCACCTGAAATATGAAATCGACATTAAGTTGCTTCTTTTTCCGCACAGTGTGCTGGCAATTTAAAAAACGCGGCAAAGAAGCGAGCCAAGTGGAGCTGAGCGACCGCAAGAGACACGCTAATCAGCAATTAGCAAATGGCAATAAATATTTTGTTTATGATTAAGCGAGGGGCGAGGTTGTTCAGGGGGTGGTGGGCGGTGGCTCTGTGAGTGTGTTTTCGAGAGAGCTTGGAATGCAGACGCTGGTATAGAGTATAGAACCGAAGAAAGAGGAATGGGGCCTGATGCCTGGGGCAATAAAATCTCACGGGCTCTGCCGCGATCAAAGTCAATTAAATGGCGCAAGCGCCAGCAGAGAATTTTCTGCTGGCTAAGCGAATGCCAAAGGGGTAATGAGAGCGAGAAGCAGAGAATTAAGTCAGCGGCTGAGACAGAAACAGAGACGTTCCGCATACGCCACGTTGTGCTGCGACAGCAACCGAAACAGCCAGCACTGTAACCAGTTAAGCATTTAAGCTTCAGGTCTTTTATAGCTGCCTACGCCTAGTAATTATAACAGTTATAACAGCGACTGAATGTTTTTTGATCCCTAATACAAAATATATATATCTATACTGAAACTTGCGTACAATTTAAACTTCTTTTCTCCCCGTGGACGCACCTTCGCTCACCCCTTGGCAACCGACTGACGGCTATGTCAACTGCACATGCCATTGCACTGAGCTCATTCGGGGCGTGTGTTTGTCAACCGAGTTTCAGTAATCGCCAAAGTCGAACGATCGATTCGAACGATCGGACCCCAGAGCCCAGACCTCAGGGGGGGTGCAAAGAATTTCGGGTCGAGGGGCAAGCCAAGGTGCCGGAACCGAGACCTATAGAGTCGATACTTCTATAAACGCTTTAACCGCATGTGCAGGTCCATTGAAATGCTGAACGAATCAAAAGTGGAAATATCCATATGGATCTCAGCGCGGAATGCGAGTGCGCATTGAGCAGATCAATAAACATGGCAGCGTAAACGATCGTAAAACCAAGCAGCGAGGAATGCGAATCCAATTGGATCCAGAGAGATCTTAGAGATCACGAAGTGAATATATACTGTTGGGGTAAAGAATACCTTCGAGTATACCTCATCGGGTACTGTGATTTTTGGGGAGAATTCGGATTAACCAAACTCTGAATTTTTAAGGACTTTCTTAGTTGCCGAAAAGTTAGATAAGTTTTACATTTCTAGGTTTGAATCCCATTTTGATGGGAATTAGTTACAAGATCAACAAGATATAACATACCGACTATTTTTGGCTTTTGATATTTAGGGTGTAAATCAGGGTAATCTAAATTTCGAATTTTCGGAAAGGGGTAACATCGTCAAATTTTCGAAAAATGGCCAAACATTGACATTTTAAACTGTGAATGCTGTTTTATTGGAAATTCAATTACGAGATCAACGAGATATAACATACCATTTTCCGACCAATATTGGCTTTGCTATGGAAAAAATACTGTTCTTTTGGAGAGAAAATCGTGATAGACCAAATTTTACATATTTGAGAATACTCTGATTTTAAATCGAAAAATGATTAGAAATCGGTTATGAAATCGATTCGTCAAATCGGTTATGAATAAAATTCCGAATCTTTTTTGCCCTGAACTGAACATCCGCTACAGCTGATGAAATAAATCAAACTAAATTCCAAACTCCTGTTGATACACCCCTAGTCACTTACTTGCTCTCTCCAGGGAAAGCTTCCAAAGAGCACCTTAATAATCAGCGAGATTCTTTAAAATTTTAAACCCCTCTTCTGCGAGAAAACGACGATCTTTTGAGTCAGAGAAACATATGTAAGTGCTTAAGTTCAGAGTGGCTCTCAAACTGGATTCGCAGTTTATTGAAAGTGTTTCGAGCGCTCTCAGCTTGCCAACTAATGAATGACGATCGGCGAGCGGTAACTTTTGACGTGGAATATTTTGCTCATGAGTTGGCTAGCCAAGACCGGAATGGAATGACAGGCTGGAGCGGGTTCTACGTGAGTCTGGGCCTTTTAATTACCGATAGAACGACTACTGGCGTCAATGGGGCGGCCAGAAATAGTTCAGTTTAAATCTATTTGGTTGGCATTTTCACACGCTGGCCAACGCGGCGGATGCGCGTCATTGAGAACGGGGCCTAGTAGTGTCATTCCAAAAGGGGTGTGGCTGCCGTCACGCAAATGGGCCTAACCTTAGTCGATCTCCGACTGAAACGGAGAAAAGCCACCCCGAAAATGGTAATTTTAGGACTGATTGTTTATTTATTTCGACCTAAAGCCCTTTAGAATATCAATTTTGAGCACAACATTCCTGAATTCTCATATTTTTAGACATTTAAAGCAAAAACTTTTCAGTTATACTATAATAATTCGCTTTCATTTTGAACGAAAAGAAGCAAATGTTTAATATTATTATGATGTTTGTTGTACGCGGCCTTTACTGTGCCATCAAATCGGCGAATCATTCAGCGTATTTTCGCCAAATTACGAATATTGAATAGGAGAAAACATAAAGAAGAGGAAGAGCGACAGAGACGCAGAGAAGCAGAGAAACAGCGGCAAATGCCGAATTCCGAGCTGCGGAATTCCACTTGTTGTGCCAGTTATGGCCAAACAATTTAGTGTCTTTGAAATGCGTGAAATGTCCCCGCCGATGATAATAACGAAAATGGTTTCTTGTGATGAGCAGCCAACTGGGCGGTTTGGGCCAAATGAAACCAGCGCACACGTCGCCGCCTGACTTCAGTTGGCTTGGCACCACACCCCGCAAAAGCACAGAGCCGAACTGGGCGGAGGTGGTAACGGTGGAGGAGGCGATGGCCTCCGCAATGAGAGCAGCAAACAGCAAGACACAAAAAGCAGCCGCAACGTGTGCCGCATGCCAAACCGAAGGCGTGCGAAACTATGCCTACCGCAATACCCTATAAGAAATAGCAGTGCCTAAAGGGTGTCTCGGTTTAATGAATGCCAAAGTATAAGACAGCTAACCTTGTCTAAACTAAGCAAAAAAGCATGGTCTACCTGAAATCATAGTCAAAGCCATTATAAGTTTGGATCCTCATATAGATCAGCACTAAAGTTACGCCTCTATCAGACCATCGAATGTGCTCTTTTTCCCAATTACATATTTGTTTAAAATATTTGTATATCGTAAATACAGGATGACTAAGGCTAGTCTGAGTACAGCCGGCGTGAAATGAGTAGCCATAATTTCCCGAACTCGAGTTCTCCTTAAAGGTCATCTATAAGTCTATCCACAACGGAATGAACTGGCAGCGCTATATCTCTCTGTCAGCCTCGACTCCGATTGTCATTCAAAATTTGTTTAATTTGTTGTACATTTTAATTGCTTGAATTGTTCGAAACAACAGGCAACCACACTTGTGCTGCGGCTATGTGTATACGCATATGACTGCGTGCAGGAATTTCGGTTTACGAAATTATTATTTTAAGTATTTATTATCATTGCTGTTGCCGTTGTCAGTTTCAATGCAAAACCCCAGGGCCTGAGGTCAAGAGTGATGTGGATATGGAGATAAAGATGGAGATGTATATGTCAGTACTCAATCGAAAAAACCACAAGTCGACAACAACGAATCGGTTAATACATGTGTACATGGCGAGACATAGATACGTCTGTTCGAAGATACAGTTACCCATAAGTATAATTGCCTGGTGGCAAAATCGTTTAACGATTAGCGTTTAAGGTTTAACCGCTTAAAGCTCATCGCCTGATACCTAAAGCGTGTGTTTTCAGCCGTTTGTTTATCTTCCGCGGCTGATTTACATTTGAGATGTCTGAATTGTCGGCCGGGGTCTGGTTTCACCTGTAGTTCCCTAGATCCCGATGGCCAATTGAAAGCCCAAACCCCTGACAAACAACATATACCCAGCCCCATCGAGAGATTCAATTTCCACTTAATTGTTCCACTGCCAATCGTTTTCAGACAACAGTTTAAGTACTGTCCATATAATCAAAGTACTCAACCCACTGCAACTTATTGTTCTTGCCTATTTTAATCAAAACTTAATTTCTGCTTTTTCAGCTTGAAAAAATCTATTATCACAAAATTTTCAACTCAGATAGATTTCATACATATATTGGTCTTGGAGACAGCTTCCCTTTTCAATGCACACTCCTTTGGTGTCCAATTTGACTGACATTTGATACTCCATGGCCGAAATGGGTTAATTGCACAATTCCCTGGATTTTCGACTCTTTAGCGGGGGCAGAAAAAAAAAAACGAAAAACTGGCGACAACAACGAAAAGTTAAACAATCGTTGGACGTTGGCGATTTTATGGTTGGCAGATAAGAAATTCGCTGGCATTTGTTTTGTTTGCCGTTGGCTTTATGAAACCGTTTTCGGGGAGTCATTAAAATTCCGGGGAAATGGGCCCCTTGAGTGTATACTACTCCATATACTATACGTGTGGATTCTTTCCCTTTCTTACCTTAAGCCGCTGCAGTGGTCGGCATTGTTGATTCTGTTTCTGCTGCTGTTTCGCGTAATCCACAATAACTGAGTTTTCAATTGGTAGTTTGATTAATTTTTTAGCTCACTCTTTGTGCACTTTGGAGGAAACTCATCGATTTGGCTATCGATAAATGCCTAAGAGTACAATTTTCGATTCGTTGTTGTTATTTTCTGACCTCTTCCACGACGCGCGCTGCGACTGCGCAGTCAACAGCGAACGGGCCGCATTCCAGCGTCGCTGGTTGAGGAAGGGGCAGTAACAGGGAAGAGGGGTAGCGGCCAAGTGTGGGAGAGGGAGAGCACACTTTAATCAAAATTCACTCACAACAGCACACATACACACGCGGGTGAGCGCAAATGGGAGTAACTGTGTGCTTGCTCTCTCTTTCGAGTCTTTGTTGTTGCGCGAAAGAATGCCGTTTGCTGGGTTGTTGTTTTTGGTTTTGCTGTCTGCTTTATTTGTTGTAGTTGTAGTTTCCAGCGGCCAGTTGTTGTTGTAGCTTGATTTTTTTGATCACCGTCAACTTTTAAAGTTGGTTTTTTTGTTGAGTTGGATTCAGCTTTTCCACTGCTAGTCGGAGTAATTTTGGTAGTTTTAAGGCGCGTTTCCCTAAAAACAACACTAGTTACACCAACACCAACAAAAATAAATTTTGTAATTTAAGCTAGTGCAAAAACGAAACACGCTGTTTGTGCTACTATAAAAACCGAACTTCACTTTTGAGCCACTGAATCTGTGTGCCTATGTGTGTGCATCCGTATCTGGTCGAGCTATTGTATGTGTGTGCATTTGAAATCCGCAGATAAACTTTTTCCAAAAAAGATCGCTTGAATTTAATAAACTGTATTCATATTTTTAGTGTAAACCACATGTTTTTTCCCGGCGATCTGTTCCGTTACCGTCGTTCAGTGATAGCAATTCCCTACTGATTTTGTCACACCGAACCGAAAGGCACGGACACAAACGAGCGCTGCTGGAAGATCGAGAGAGTGAGCGAGCGAGGTTGCTTAAATAGACTTTCCCTCCGAAAACTCAACGAAGCCCGCGTGCAGATTGGTTCCAGGTGAGCAAATGAGAGCCAAAGAGCCAAAAGAGAGACTACAAGATTTAAAGCCCCGCAACTCAAATCAATTATTTTTTTATTTCACAGAAAAAAGGTTTATATTTTAAATTTAATATTAGCTCTTAACAATTGTTTTAAATTCTACGCATTTTTTAAAAATTTATATTTAAATTCTTCCTAATGTCTAAATGTTATGAATTTAATCTAATTTTTAGCTTTAGGAATGCGGATAAAACAGTTAGAGAAATTAAAAAAAAAGGTTTTACGTCACATAAAATATAGCTTATACTGGACGAAGTCATTAAATATTTTTTAAATATAAGAAGGTCAATAATGATATATGTACATACAACATAGAACTCGGATGTTGAATGAAATATTCTCAACACAATAATGGTTTTTACGCTAGTTTTTAAATAGTTAGTATCTATACGCAATTCTTAGGGTCATGTTAAGTTGCTTAATGGTTCTTTTTAGCAGTGACATGTTTCACTCCAAAAGCGTTTTGGCTAAAATACGTGATTTTAAAAGAAAATTTTCAAATTAATTTATTTTTTAGCTAATTAAAGCTCTTAAAAATCAAAAGAGAGCTACAATCTGAGCGCCACAGGTGAGCCGAAAATGAAACTAGCCGCTCGCTCGCGAAGATTACAAAACTTAACGAAGTCTGCGCTTAACGAAAAGAGAGAAGAGAGAGCTCTATATCTGTATTTGTATCTCACTGAGATTTGAGATTGGAATGCGAATGAGAGCGAAAGAGAGAGATCGGCTCAGGCAAAGCAATTTAAAACAAAAAACAGAAAAAACTCGCACACAGTTACAGTTACATCTACGGCCCCTATCTCAAAATACGAAAAGAAAAACACAAATCCAAGAGCACCACAACAGCCACGAAAAATGTAAATAGCAGTAGGCAATAAAAGAAAAACAAACTTCAAAGGAGAATCCCAGTAGCCAACTGCCTTTGTGGCTGTATGTGTGTGTGTGCGATTCCGAGTGTGAGTGGAATTCCAATGGTTTATCTCGCGAGAAGACGAAGGAGCGAAAGAAGAGGTTCGGTCTGGGAGGGGCAGCCACGCCACTGGAATGCGAAACCAAGAAGGTAACTTCCCTGAAGGGCTTAAAGGATGTCCTGTAAAGCTTAAAGATATGATTCTTGGACTTATTTTAGAGGACTCTGAAGATAGCATACGCTAAATATAAAGATATTACAAAATGACAGCTTTTAAGAAGTGACCATGGATAATCAAATGAATATAAAATGAATGGGTATCCTAGATTTAACAATACATACATATGTACATATGTACATACACACTTACATTTTATTTATCACTTATATCAATGAGATTAAACTAAGCCTACATTGCTGTATAGGCATAAGCAAACAAGGAAAATCGTAAGACCATTGAAAAGACTGCAATACTCAGATCTAACTTTCAGCATCCCTTCGTTAGCTATCAATGCGGCTATCTTAAAGTTAAGCTCCCTGGGCAGAGCTCCAGGGACGGGCCAGGGGGTGAATTGGAACTTGGGCGTCTGAAGACTCTGCCTCGGCCGGCGTACTCTGCTGCTACGATATCGTCACTTGGGCGCATTCCTCAGCATAATGTGAGCTTGATTTGCTGGATTCTTTTTTCGTGGGTTTTGTTTTCATTTTTTCTTGCTGCTCCCTCTTCCTTCTTCAGCTTTAGCTTTTCTTCCTCCTCTTCCTCCTTCATTTGCTTCAAATATGCGGCATACATACTCCCCACAAAGGAGCGGGGAAAAAGGGATACCCTCAGAAATACTCAAACTGCGGCAGGTTAACTACACGAGTCGATCAGAACGAAATTGATCGAAAAATAAACTTCAAAATAGGAAAATCATTTGCCCCTTCCATGTTAAGTCCTGCCTACGCCCTTGGAGTGTTGGCCACAAGTCGCAGTAAGACTCACAGACGAGGAGTCGAGAGCCGAGAACCGAGAGAGCACGTTCTCAACGGGTCGGGGGTCGGGGTCGGGTCGCCTTGCCATGGTCATAACTTGTTAACTGAAGTCAGGGAGGAGGCCCAAGGGGCGGGACTCCCCGTGGAGGAGGGGGAGTGATGGGAACAATCCGAACAGCCTTTGATTTCTTCGAGTGTACTTAGGTGTTTTAGTCTGTGCCATGCACTATTTCGAGCGGTATGCTTAGCAATAAGGAGCAATTAAATAAATTGAAACCTCACTTGATACAAAAGATGGTAATACTCCGGAATTGTTAAGAACCTTCTAAAATTTTCCTGCGGAAGGTTCCATTATAATCGTCAAGCCAACCTAACTACTCCCGAGAAATTTAGAGTACTTACATCTTCGACTTCTTCAATCCGAGCTTTTCATTCTTGTTTTTAATGTTCGTTATTCTTTCGTCTTTAGTCGATCGCTTGGTCGCTGGTTCTCTAAGACCGGTTGTTGTTGCTGTTGCTGTAAGCTGCCTTTTGGGCGCTACGTTCTTGGTCAATATTGAGCAGATATATGTATGTACATACATACATACATGTACATATGTATATACATTCTACATACATTCATATACATACGTATGTGATTGTGTGTGTGCGAGATGTTTGGAGCCTGGTCGAGGCCGAAGTTTCGACGGCAACGAGGAAAGCGAAAAAGAAGAAATGAGCAAAAATGTTTTATGCAATTCCTTGAAGTCGATTTTACTCTGCAGTCTCCGGGTGGAGAATCTCTTTTGTGGAATTGGCGCGCAACTCTGGCCAATCTGTTTTGGCGAAGTGATCTTTTAGCCAAGAGCAGCTGCCACTGATCCTCTTTCTATTCAAAATTCCTCGGGCATTTTTCGGTTTTGGCCAGATCCAAAAGTAGTTGGCGATGATGATATGGCGAGAAGGCCAGGAATTTATTGAATAAGTTGGCATATGTATGACGTGGGTACCAACCTGAAGTAGTATGTGTCGCTGTTTCTGGTGTGTTTTCGTTACGCTCCATTGCTGTCGATGGCTTGTCGATATCGCCGATTCTCGCCCACTTTATACCCTTGTTGAAGACAATATATTTGATAAATTGTTCGAAAATATCCATTACACATGATAGTTAAACTTAATATCTCTAATTTATCTCGATAAGCAAAATTATTCCCATATAACACCTTTTCACTCCTGATAGAGGGTATCGTAGGCTTCGATGAGTTGACGATTAGGTTTCCGCTTCGATTCGCCGATCAATTCGATTTGTGTTGTTGTTTTGTAGTCTTTTTATTATGGTCAAATATTTCTGCTGGCCACGATAATGTTAATGGAGAGTCCCTCTTTCACCACCTTCATTTCGTGCCGAGCCCATCATCGTACCTTCTGTCCCAGGAATTTTTATCACTTCTGTTTTACTAAGTCACTTCCTATTAGATCGCTGCACTTTGCCCTTGCTTTTGTTGTTGTGACTGAATTCAAAAAACTTTTGGGTATTGGGAATACGAAAAGAGGGGTAGTAAGTAAGGTGAGATTAACGAATGGGGAGTCTCAAATCTGACCTTTGACTGTCTGGTTGGGACTTAAGAACGTTGTACCATCTAGGTTTACTGCCTTTTCTTTCTTTTTTTTATTAAAATAAAACTATACCAATGACTTTCGGTCAAGTGTACATTGATCGGCAAGTTGGAGTCAGATCCAATCCAAAGAGTCTAATCTGCCTACCCTACTTTCACTCCATTTCCAGTCGGCATCGCGACTCTTTGGCCTCTCATTCGTTTCGATTCAATTTATTCGAACCAAACTTTTCTCTCTCCTCTCTCAGTTTTAGTCAGCGAGCGGGAATCCGACTAAACTGCAATGAAATTTCAAGCCTCCAATCGATTTTGCTGCTGCAGCTGCAGCTTGGGATTTGCCTTTTTTGGGCCTTGGAATGCAGCATGTTGCTGCTGTGCTGCTGTTGCTGTTGCTGTTGCTGCTGGTCCTGCTAAGCCCCGGCAGAAACATCGATGGCAGAAACGGCAACACCAACAGCAACATCCAACGGCAGCAGCAACAATGTGTTCTAAATAAATTCCAGTGAAACGAAATTCAGGGAGCAGGGAGTCGAAGAGTCGCAGATTTATCTTGCAGATACAAATTCTGTACGCTGCGCGCAACGTGATTGCAATCTTTAGCATCGTCATCATCATCATCAGCAGCAGCAGCAACAACACACAAGGAAGAACTCGACCTGGCGATACTAAGGAACTCAACGTTTAAAAATTTATAAATTTTCTTGAGCCTTTGAAAATTTCTCCGGAGTTTTCAGATCTCGAGATATGAAATTTATAAGAATATATTGCTTAAAGAATCAAAACTATCTTAACATGCTTGAAACCCTTTTTCTATTACTGAATCATCGTGTATATACTACATGACACATTATACTCCAGTGGTTCCCTGTAAATACCGGCTAATAGCAAGAAGAAGAGCAACACAAGGCACGAGGTTCGAGGATGCCAAGGCCCCAAAGCCCCAAAAAAAAAAAAAAAATGGAAACAAAACACACACACTCTAAAGCAGCCAAACGCAGTGGAGGACGCCGACGTCTACGTCGCGCGTGCGCAACCCGAACGGGCGTATACACTGAGGAATCAATATGCTAGAATTATATTAGCTGTATTGCAAGATCCTGGCTGGCTCTTAATCTACTTGCAGGATTACAGAAATTGAAAAGTATAGAATTTGAAAATAAATATATATTTTTGTAAGATTTAACGAATGAACTGTCGGATGCCAGATATGTGATATAAAATGTCTTTATTGATTTTTTCTCTGTGTAAATTGTATGGATGTTGTTGACTTACCTGTTTTGGTCTTTCTTTTGCTTTTCCTCCTGGAAACACCATAAGGGGGTAGGATATATGGCCGCGAAAAATCGACAAAATCAACCAAGGTCCGTACAGTAGCTGCTGCTTTGCCTCCGTTTGGCTGGCTGGTCATTTTTATGCTTTTAATGAGCTTTTATATGGGCTGCAGGATAAGGGAATCGGGAGAAAGGTGAAAAAACCCGGGGCAACCGTACTACATCTCTGTGTCAGCAATCCTAGACATCGACTCCCCGGCCATCAATGAATTCGCTGCAATGCATTTGGTTTTCCACAGGTTAAGGAAAGAAAAAATAGCGGGCCGGCCTTATTATTATGGTAACACAGTTTTAGGCAGAAATAGAAATAAACCGCAGAAAAACACTTGTTCAAACAGAGGCGCGTGAAGGGCGAGGAATGTACATAAACAATTTCACACATGACACCTTAAATAGCAAGCCTACCGATGTAAAGATCTGTGAATGTTCTTATAAAACTCTAGTTTACGCTTGTGTGGAACAGAGATCTCTGAGGGCTGAATGAGTCTGGCAAATTTTAGTTTAATCTTTGAAAGCCGAGCAAAGATGAAAACGGGGTATCTGGAGCCGCGATGAAATACCTTTCTCGACTCGACTCACAGCTCAATCTCCAGCTGTCAGGTGGGGCCGGCTAATTGGGAGTCGCGTTACGAGATCATCTTGACACTTTGGAGGCACCTGCCGCCGGACGAGGCAAATACGCCAATGATTAACTAGTCACTCCGAGTGAGGGGCAGGTGAACAGTGCTGCAAGTCGCTGGCATGTCTGTGATAAAAAATAAAAAGCCCGTCATGTGCCCGCAAACGCTGACGCATTTCGGCCCAAACACTGATAAGCCCAGTCTACGCGAATTCAATGCCAAAAAGAAAACGAAACTCTCCTCGAAAACGGAAACGAGCAAATACAAGATACAGATAGAGATATATTTACAGCTAGATGTGTGGAAAGAGATACACATGTACACGACAACAAAATGTCTGGATTCGCATTTAAATTAGAAAATAAACAAGCTTTGCGAAAAACAAAGTAAATATGTAAATCTTTGGTAAAATTAGCACAGCCCTAACGAAATAAGGTATTTGTGTGACATTCATAGATAGATCAAGCATTTTAAGATATTCATAGCATGCATTATACTCGTATAAAAGCAATGGCTTAAATCAAATTTATTATGACCATTACAAACCAAACATGATGGGTCCCCAACTTACACTATTCCTATGAGTCCAATTTGCATCTTGGAGCTTTGCGCATCTTTAATTCATGGAGTTGGTTGTTTTTCCGAGTGTGTGAACAGCAAGTTTTTGGCACAACCGAAAACTCGAAAGCGTTATTCAAATTTCGATTAGCATCTTGGCCCCCGAGCCATGGGATCTGTTATCCCCAGCTAAGTAGAACTGGGTGCTCAGTAATTCTGTGGCCTGGCCCCTTCTAGGCTGATAAATATTTGGCTTTTGCATGCCAGCGCGATGAGTTCAACGTCGTGGGACGTTGCTCATTTAATTTTTAAACATTTATCAACAAATATTTGTCGCTTATCATTTGTTCCACTCAAACAAAGGGAAGGCGCGCAAGCCGAGTGGTTGGAGTAGTGCGACACTCCCACTACTCGCCAGAAGCCAAATCTTTGGCCTCAGCATCAGCAGATTTGCTGACCCGAACACCTGACAAATTGCATAGTGTTTCCACAAACTCCTCTATTCTCTGTTGGATTTTTGCACAACATTGCCGAGCTGTTCTGCTGAGACTGTTAATTGAAACGGAGGAACGGGAAGCATAAGCAGGTGGGTGGCTCTGGGGTCTTATGTACTCGTATTTCCAAACATAAATCATTTTTCATTGACTGTAAGCGAGGTAAAGAAAAAACGAAAGTCATTCATCGGGCGCAACTACCAAGTATTTGGAACTTAACCCTTAAGGCAATTCCCGACATATCCGTTCGATTTGCGAGGCTTAGCAATAGTTCATCAACAATTTTTAATTAATGTTTACTTTTCTTAAGTTGTTCAAAACAGTACGATCTTTTATCTGTTATCTTCTTATATCTACAGCTTGTAGTGCACATCCATAAACTCCAGATTGGTGGTAACCTCCGCAGCTTCCGGCATCACATCCTTGGCTGCATTCAGATAGGACTTAGCCCCCAAAATATCTCCAGCTTGGGCTGCTAGTACAGCTAAGTTATTAAGTGCAGCTCCATTCTGGGCATCTGATGTGAGACACAGTTGGAGACATCTTCTGGCCAGGTTGAAGTCACCAGAAGTCTACAATGAAGGTATTTTTGAGTATCAACCAACACCGAATATATAGAAAAACATTCAATGCTTACCACTGCCACAAAGCTGAGATTATACCAGATGTCCGCCTTTTGCCCGGGCTGAGTAGCCATGGCCAAAGCTCTTTGAAAACAAGGTAGAACCAAGTCGATTTGTCCACCATATAGGCAACACAGTGCTATATTGCAATAGAGCTCAGGAGACTGGGCTCCCAAAGACAAAATCCTCCGGTAGTACATAAGCTATGAAAAATGGTTTCATCAATATGATAATTAATGATCCTTATCGTGATAATCATACTGCCATTTCCGGATTGTTGTCGTAGAAAAAGCCCACGGCGATGCTAGCCAGAGATTCGACATTAATTGGCTGCAACTTGGCCACCAGTCTGTAGAGCTGCAGTGCATCCTCCTGCTGTTCCATGTACTGGTGAATCCTCGCCTGCTCGAGGCGGTAGGTGACATCGAAGGGTCGCTCATCCACTACTTCGCTGATAACATATAAAGCCCTCTCGGGTTGTTTTATCCTTTGGTAAACCCTGGAGAGAAGTAAATAAGTATCCGGATGGGGAAAGATGGCTAGGGATTGCTGAAGAAAGGGCTCCGCTCTTCGGGGATAGTGAAGGGCCAACAGACATCTGCCCATCTGCTGTTGCCACCACCAGGACGAGTTGGACGCAGTGGATCCACTGGGCTTCTGACGCTGAACCTCCAGAACCGCTTGGCAAAGGGAATGGGCTTTTTGCACATCCGCTTCGTGGTAATAGAGGAACTGGAACAGGGCCTTCACCAGAGTCTCCCGCTCAGCGTATATGGTGGGGTTTAGACGGGATGCCTGGTAAAGCTTAGAGGTGGCATCACCCACATTGAATGCCGCTGCAGAAGTGGCTCGAATTCTGGAAGCGGTGCCGCAACGAGAGCCTAGGGAAGACCCCGGTCGACTTAGACTTGTTCCAGGACGGGCCACCGCCGCCGATCCGGGCCTGGAACTATTCAACCGACCGTCGCTGGAGTGGGCCACCCCGGAACCTCTGCTCCTCGCCTGCTGCGCCCTCTGACTAGTGAGTGGGCGTGGCTGAAAAGCAGTCTTTATGCTGCTCCCTGGACGAGCAGCAGTGGCTATGCGCTCGAACTCAACTTCCTCCGTGCCTAAAGGGGTGAAAAATTATTAGAAAATTAAAAAGTTTAGGTGAAATTATAAAATTGTCTCACCCTCATTTCCGACCTCGTCCTCCAGGTCGTCCAGGTAGACGCGCTGCGTCAGGGCGCGCATCTTTAATTGCCAAACGCCCTCCATCAGCCAAGTGGGCATTATGATGGATGCTCCAGAGTCTGCTACTCCTCCTGCTGCTCCTCTTGGCCTGGGGCCAATGCGTTGCAAATTGCTACCGAATCTGCTATACTCCGTCTGCTGCTTCTGGTCTACCTCCTCCTCCTCCTTGGTGGCAAACAGTTGGACATGGCCATCGTGACCGGCCTGCAGGAGTGCGTTGCACAGGTCCGCACAGCGCTCGTAGGAGCGACGTCGGTAGAGGGACACCGCCCTAAAGTAGTCCAGTTCCAAAGTCGCCAACGTCGCCGTCGCCATCGTTTCGCGTCCTTAGCTTTTTAGCTGCCACACTCCAAAAAATTAGTAGAAATATATGGGCCACCTAAGAATATATAGTTGAGATAAATTGGTTAAAATAATTTACCAAGCATTTTAGTAATCTTTATCAGTAAAAAGAGGTGATTTTCTAAGTTTCAAAGATCTGAAGAACACTAAAAATCTGTACTTCACATTTAAGCATTTTTGTGGAACATTTTTTTTTTTTGAGTGCATTCGGCTTCTGTGTCCGATTCAAGTGTTTGAATTCCTTGGCTTGGTTCCTTTTTTCGGGTTCTTTTACTGCGCTCCGATCGCTGGAATTTTAAAACCGGATGCGTGTCATTCCTCTGCCCCTCCAAGACCGAAATCCAGGGGCATCAGGAATGTGGCTGCCGCTTCCTGCGGTTCTTCTCCCTCCGCACCACGTCACTGGATTCTTCTGGTTTCGAATCTGGTCTTAGTTCTTGGCTCGTCTGCATGCCATCTAATTTTTCTATGCCCATAATTTGTACCTCCCGCCTACCTCTTTTCCACGAGACTTAATTTGTAGATTCCTCCGCTGTGGTTTCTTGTATCGACTGACTGGCCTCTGGCAGGTATGTATATACGCGCCATATGGAAAGGGTCTTCCGGTTCGGTTTGGTTTGGTTAAGTTCGGGGTAAGAGGTGATTGCCATGGAGACCTGGTAGGCCAAAACATTAATTGGTTTGGTAGTTCGCCTGTTCCTATCCCTTTTCTGACACACTGGCTAGACCACCCTGTGAATCTACCTGACATTCCAGTTCCTATTTAAGTTTTAGCTAATATAACCTCCAGTTAAGACCATTTCCCGGAAGTATATAGAGAGCATTATAAGCCGAACTTTAATTATTTTATTGACAGATTTTGATTAAAACACGATGAATATCTTTATCATTTCGGTTCTTGTCTCCGATATTTTTCATTAGGGTCTCTGGAGCCAATCGTAGATGGGATCTAGACCCACTTTGGTTACTGCGCTGGCCTCCACAATTGTAACCTGCTGGCGAATTTGCTTCTGTAATTTGGACATCTGCAGCATAAGTAGGGCCTCGTTTCGCATCTGACGGTAGGAGTAATCCATTTTGGCCAAAACCAAAAGGATCTTTGTGTTGTGCCTACAAATAAATAGATCGATTGGCCATTCTTGTATTTGCCTTGTAACAAGAGGATACGTTTGTGGCCGTACTTACTGAAGTCGCGGTTCTGTTAAAATTGAATAGAAAAGAACACCAGCTGCGGAAATCTGGCAGAGATTAGAAGTGTCCACCACATAAATAAGCTTCTTGACATCCTCGAAGTACTGTCGCCACAAGGGAGCCATACTTCCTCCGATCTCCAAAATTTGTATAGATTTGGGCAAATTTTTACCGCCTTGGGGTATGTTAAGCTGAGTATCTGCGGGAGGGGGCCTAAGTTTATCCCCGTTGGGCGATTTTGTTGGAAAATGGATGCGGTAAATCCCAGTTCCAATGGTGGGCATTGAAAAGGTGGTCTCGTCTATGGAATCTGGATCTTGCAAAGCTTTGAGCAGGTGAGTTTTACCCGCCCTTTTGGGACCCAAGCAAATGCAGGAGGACATTTCTGTTAATATATACTTTAGTTATGGATCCAACATATGTAGCCTTGGTAACCAACCAATTAAATTCAAAATTGTATAGGAAATTTAACATGACGTATTATTTATTTACTTATGTTCTAGAATTTTCGTGTTTATTTCTCAAAAAGGTATAAAATTAATGTTTATTATACAAAGTTACAAAAATAACATTTCTATTTAAATCCGATAAGAAAATATATCGAAAAGGTGCGTAAGTCTGCATAACTTTTCCGCTAGGGGGCACTGCTACGCTAATTTAAAATAAAAATGTATATAAATAACTACGATTTCAAAACATGAGTTGCGCCATCTCTTGGGCTGAAACAGGAAGTTTCGATAGTGTTTTAAATTTTTCACTATGCGGTCACACTTTTTGCTATCTCATCGTAAACAAATCAAAATTGTTTTCAAAACTCTTTAATTTTGCCAAAAACATGACCAGTGGAACAGTTAAACCTCGTGATGTCGGTTTTGACAGGCAATTCTCCGCTAATGTAAATGGGGTACCCACCGAGATAGTGTTCCATTGTTTTGCCAACAAGTGGTTTTTGGTCATAACCCAGCTGGGCAAGATTCCCGGCATGTACAACGTGCACTTCGACGTCCACCGAGATGAACGTGTTGTTCCCTGTATGCATGGACCCGTGGACAATCCAGAATTTCACGTTTCAGTGCCCATCACGATGAATTGCTGTTTAGGGTTGGACACTGACGAGACCCGCAGCGCCATTCAGTTTTTGGTCAACAGAACCGGTCTCCACAAGTGCCCGACGGAGTTTGTGGTTGGATTGGGTCTCAAACAGATTGACGGGCCTAATCTGCGAGCCTTGGCCAAGGTCCTTGAGGAAGCGATCTTCTAATTTACGTTTTTCACAACCAATAAATAGTTGCTGTACAACAGTGTTGAGATAAGAACCGCATTTATGTTTGTTTCTGGACAAGATTTTGAAACTAAGCCATTTTATCATATTTAGAATTGAAAACGAAATTTATGAATTTCCATTTTGGTATTTGGCTGCATCCTAAGAGAGAATTTAGTAACCCTTTTTGATACAAATAATGTAATACACTTGATAACCATTCATTAAATACTTTCCGATTAATATTGAGTTTGATATTATCTGTTTAATTCGATTTTTCACCATGAAGTTGTATAAGTTTAAAATTCATTAATACCAGACCCTTTATGCCTAAATACAATTAACACCCTAGGGCCTACGCGGATATATTCGTGGCTTGTCGAACAAATTTCCTTAACATAATTAAATCCGAACCGTTTCAGTAAAAAGGCAGTCAACACTTTTTTTTAGCAAACGTTTTCTATATTTCCTCGAAATTGTACATTAAAACGTGTACGAAGGTCGGGAAACAAGAGCACACGTCCGCCCCTCGAGGATTAGAGCACAAACACAACGGATGTCAGGTTGTCCAGAAGATCTCTATAGAATGCCGGGGTTGTGGTACTAAGCTTAGTCGAACAGACCGAAGCCCATGTCGTCGTCGGACTGGTCGGACTCCTCCTCCTTCTTCTTCTCCTCCTTCTTAGACTCGGCGGCTGGAGCAGCTGCGGCGGCAGCAGGGGCAGCACCTCCGGCTGGGGCGGCACCGACTCCGGATCCGATGTTGGTGATCAGGTCCTTGACATTGATGCCCTCCAGGGCCTTGGCGAAGAGGCCGGGCCAGTAGGGCTCAACCTCGACGTTAGCGGCCTTCAGAATGGTGTTGATCTTCTCGCCCTGTTAGGATTTTGCGAAAATACTATTAGCACTCGTAACCGCAGCATCGACTATGCAGTAAGACACAGAAACCATCCAACTTCTCAGCCAGATGGCTTAAGCTTTGGAGGATTTGAGGTCCGCAATATCCGAATCCAAAAACTTACAGTGACGGCAACATCATCATCAACCAGGATGAGGGAGGCGTAGACGCAGGCGAGCTCGGCTTTGGTGGACATGTCGAAATGCTGTGGCTAATCACTGATTGTGCAAGTTGCCAAAAATTAATTGTTTATAACAAATGGCCTTAGCTCGAGACGAGAACAAGCACGCTGGTTAAAATCCTAAACCGGAAAGAGAAGGAAAAGGTAGAGATGGAACCAAAGCTGCTGAAACATCGATTTTGATATCGATAGTCAGACTTTACTCGATTTTATTTGGGAGCAACGAACCATAAAGATACCATCGGTGCCGTAAAATAACTACATAAAAAAGGCGCAATTATTTATACGGGCACACTTAATATAAAAGTAAACAATAAAAAAGCGCGCAAAAATGTCGGACCAAGATATAGAAATAAAACAGGAAGATCAGAGCATGGAAGACATGGACGAGAAGGACAGTAAGACCGAAGATGAGAACATTACGGACAGCGGCAAGATCACCTCATTGAAAACCTTGGGACCCTTTATAGCCGGCAGAGAGAACAGTCGTAATACGATTTACCTTAGCGATGTTCCGGATATATGCAAAGAGAAACCCTGCATGTTGGGTGTTGATGAAGCAGGTCGCGGTCCTGTCCTGGGTCCCATGGTATACGGCATCTCTTACTGTCCTGTGCAAAGCAAAAAAGCTCTCGAGGACTTAGGTTGTGCCGATTCCAAACAGTTGACCGAGGATAAACGGGACATCATATTCAACGATATTAACACCAAGGAGTATGCCACAAGTTGTATTGGCTGGGCCGTAGAGATCATATCACCAAATACTATAAGCACAAGCATGTACCGGCGGTCCAAGTGCTCATTGAACGAGGTTTCTATGGATTCGGCCATGGGTTTAATCCAACAAGCGATCGACGCGGGTGTCAATATAGCTGAAGTATATGTAGACACGGTGGGTCCGCCCGAGAAATATCAAGAGAAGCTTCTCAAACGTTTCCCCAACTTTAAGATCACCGTTGCCAAGAAAGCTGATTCCACTTATCCGATTGTCTCGGCGGCCAGTATTTGCGCCAAGGTAACCCGTGATCATGCCCTCAAGGTGTGGAAGTTCCCCGAGGGATTGGTCATCAAGGACAATGCCTTTGGCAGTGGCTATCCAGGAGATCCGGTTACGAAGAGATTTCTGACGGAGCACATAGATCTAGTGTTTGGATTTCCTCGCCTCGTGCGCTTCAGTTGGTCTACGGCGGAAAATGCGCTAGCGGACAAGGCGTACGACATGGAGTTCGACGAACCGGATTCCGAGAAACCCAAGTACGCCGGCACGAAGCTCACAAAGTTCTTTAAGGGCACCACAAAGTCCGGCGAGGTAATTCGAGAGGATTGTCGCTTTTACAAGCAACGACATCTTGGAAATGTTATAGAGTTCTAATTATTTCTGGATATTAAGTATCTTAATATATATTAAGTTAAACCTTTGTTAATCTGCTAAAATATTTTTTAACATTATTTACCTAAGCATTATAAAGTTCTATAGTTTTTATAAAATTTCAATTTTAAGATTAAGCCCAATTTAAAAATTTGTCCCAAAATAAAAATATAACGATTTAATTTGTATCTTTAATGGATTTAGCTGTTTTTGTGTTTTCGCCATTCTCGTGTTTTTATAATTCTTATGGTTACGTTCTTTTACAGACTACAGGGGATGCAGTTACACTGTTCTGAATGTATGCGTGAATCGGTCTGATCTGATCTCGTTGAAATCCCTCTATCTCAGAGGAAATATGTGGGATTTGATTAAGGTTTTTGGAGTGGGTGTTGGTTGGTATCTTCGATCGACACAATAACAAAATGCATAAAGTTATACTAAACGATTTCTGTATAAAAAGGGACGACCTTAGAAACATAGAGCTTATAACTAAGTTTAAAAAGAGACGAGTCGCATTCCGCAGATCGGAAAAGAACAACAACCAAGTTGAAGCCTTTGGGAACCCAGGCGCATTTCGGCTTGGTGTGACTCGAGAATAAGCGTACGGAAAAGACGTGGACAGAAAAGGGAGGATCTCAAGAGTTGAATCTTAAACAGCTAATTAGAAATTAAAGCAATTACAAATATAGATAGATTGCAGGGCGGGATAGCTAAGAAAGGATATATACGGCCTGGTTTCCAGTTCCAAATCTATTTACTTTGGCAGATTTTGAACTAATGATATTTCACTTCATTTGAAAATTTAACAGAATTAAATTTCTTAATAAAATTTAAAAGTTAAGAATTTCTGATTTCAAAGACAAGTAAAGTCCTACTGATTCTATTTCCACCAAATTATGAGTTGGAAAAGGGACACCTAGCTAATATAAGCGTTTGCTCAATAGACGAAATCCAGAAGAGGCAGCTGCAGCGATCAGAACTTTCGTAGATCCAAAACGAAAACGCTGCCATCGGAGGCACTGGCGCCGACCTTAGTTCCCTTGGAGTTCCAGCAGACCTCGAAGATGCCGCCAGTACCCTTGTAGCTGTGCACCAGCTGTCCTGTTTGCGTGCTCCAAATGTGGACGCACTTGTCGAAGCTGCCGGAGGCTAAGTGCTTGCCGTCCGGGCTGAAGGCCACCGAGTAGACGGGCTCCGTGTGCTTAGTCAGCGTGTGGATGCAGCTGCCTCGTTCCACATCCCACAGTCTCACCGTAGAATCGAAAGATGCTGAGGCGAGGATGAGGTTTGTGTTTGGATTATTGGTTCCTGGACCCGTGGGCGACCACTTTATCGTGTAGATCTCCTTTGAGTGCGCTTGCAGATCGTGGCAGCAGCGATCGCGGTTCATGCTCCAGATCTTTAGTGTCATGTCATCAGAGCACGAGGCCAGCAGCTGGCCTTGCGGGCACCACTTGATCGCATTTACCTCGTTTGTGTGTCCTTTGAAAGTTTTAATGGGTTCATTTACCCCCAGCCGGCACACATGAATTCGCTGATCCGTACTGCACGATGCAAAGGCCTGATTTGTTTGCCAGTCCACATCCAATGCTGGGGCGCTATGGAAAGCGAATTGCTGTGTGCACTGTCCCGTGGATGCGTCCCAAATAATTGTTGTCTTGTCTACACCCGCCGAAAGAATATAGTTGCCGCACTTGTTCCACTTCAGCGCAAAGATCGGACCCTTGTGTTGGCCCAAAGTGGAGGCCAGTCGGCCATCGGTCTTCCAAATCCGGGCATAACCATCATAACTGCCTGTGGCTAGCAGGGATCCATCACACTGTAAGAAATTATAAGAAAATTACGGTTAAAAAAACAGTCTGAAAATACTTTTTAAGACAACCATACATTCCAGTCTAGAGATGTGACATCTTTATTACTCGGCACCTCGGCGCCGCCCTTCTGGATGCAGTGGCGCAGTACAAGCTGGTTGGAGTTGGCGTTCGCATCGGACATGTCCCAGATTCTTGCAGTGCTGTCTCCTGATCCACTAGCTAGTAGATCCCTGCTTGGATTCCAGGCGCAGATGAATACCTCGCTCTCATGTCCGCGCAGAACACGAGCCTTGGACTCTGGAATTTCAATGCTTTCGTCGATTTCCATCGGCACAAGAGCTGCGGGAGTACCGGCGCCTCCGCCTGTGGACGAGGAGATGGTGCCGCTGGGCGCCGTGCTTTGAGCAGAGGTTGAACCAGCTTGAACATTGCTCCCTTGGGCTCCTACGCGAATCGTGACCGCTCCACTGGGCGCTTTGGCTCCAGCTGCCGTTGATGCAGTTCCCGTTGCCGCCGAGTCTGGATTAGAGGTGGATACAGTGCTACCAGCGGCCGTTACTCCGCTTGAGGGCTGCTCTACGCTGCTTGAGGTGCTGCTATTGCCATTTGTAGAAGTCGAAGAAGCTGCATCATCGGTGCTAGTTGCATTTGCATTGCCTGCATTGCCACTTGAAGAGTTGCCTGCCTCATTGGAGTTTTGCGATTTCTTTTGAGTTGCACCTGGTGCTGTTGAATCTCCAGAAGCTGTTGTACTTGTGCTATTGGGCCCTGCAGAGCTTGCTTGGTTGCCTCCAGCTCCATTGTTGCCGGCATAAGTTCCGCCAGTACTATTTGCCGCGTTCCCACTGGAGTCCACTTCACTGGCCGACTGGTCTGTAGGTGTGCTTGTTCCCGTGGTACTGCCAGCGGTCTTATTCCCTGCTGCAAGGCCTGCAGCACCGGTACCCGGTTCGATTTTGATCTCAGGCTTTGAATTGCTGTTCTGGTTGCCACCGGCCGGGGCAGAAGAGTCCACTGCCCCTGGTTTTCCTGGCTCTGTTTTAACAATGGGCTTAGGGGGCTTCACCTCTGGCATGACTGCGTCTATAAGTGATAGTCCCTCGATGGGTCGCGCTACCTCGCCGTCCTCGCCCACGCTCCACTCCACTTCGGTGTAAAGCAGACCCTTCTGCAGAATGGTCAGCAGGGCTGCCGGTGGAACCAATGCTCCATTGATATTGCTCTGCGAGATGTGCGACTCGATGCCAAATACGTAAGCGGAGTGCAGAAAGCCTGAAAAACGCATATTAATGAAGATTAAATCGGGTTATCATCGTTTAATCGGAAAGTTCCGAATTACTCACCCGACTCCTGTAAATATCGGTAAACCAGAAAGTTCACTTCGTCGCTGGAAAAACTCATGGCTGCCCGCGGTTTCCTCCTGCTACTAGCTTACTTCAAAATCTCCAATCTTCAATGCCAGTTCGGTTTTTGCGGTGCGAATATGGGAACTCTGCTGCGTAACATATGCGTCTGCATTCGGCACGCTTATCACTTCCACGCAAACGACAAAGGGCTACTCCTGGTCGTTCAGTCGGTCTGGTTGATCCTGTGTTCTCAAATTTGCCAGTTCGCTGCTTGCCGCACTAGCATTTCACATATTTTTTCCACAAATAAAAACCACGAATCGAAAACGCGTTTCTGAAACGCGCAAAAAAATGGCGGAGTTATGTCAGGGTGCGCTGTGTGCGAGGTGACGCAGCTAAGTGTGAGAAAAAATAAAACAATTTATTTCGATTTTAATTTATTAATGACCTAAATTTAATTTAAAGTTAGAAAAAAAAAGACAAATTGTGTCAAGAAACTTTGTACACAATGTAATTAAATTTTATTTTGCTTTGACATACACATCTGTATGAACATTTCGCGTAATGTTTGCAATCCCTTTTCCATAATTTAACATTGAACAGTAAGTTTTTCTAAAAAACAAAGGAATATAATGTTTAAAAAGTTTTTTAATAGTGTCTAGCCTGCGTAAACCTAAGTTTTTTGGTTCATATTTTCTCATTTTACATTAAAGCACATAGCTTGCTGATTAGTGTGTATCGATAGTTTCTTGACATTCTGTATCTCTTGTATTAAATATAATACATTTATTTCTTAACTATATATATCGAATTCTTAACGATATTGTAGAAACAATATAATGAGTATATGATAGCAACAATATGTGACGTCACACTTCCGACACAAGTGAAAACCTCGCCCATCCCTATTGCACCAAAAGTAAAAGAAATGGCAATATGGCAATATTGCGGTCATATGCCCTCTCGGTCACACTAATTGTTCCACCCGCGCCCGCTAGATGGCTCCACTTACTGGCAGCGAGAGCGAAGAAAAATCAATAGAAATTTTCATTTTAGTGAATTGCTCTGCGCTCGGGAATAGTTAACAAACAAATTAGCGGCGAAGTAGTGAGACAAAGCAAAGCCAGTTGAAGTTACATAAAGGGAAGCACTTGGAAATAAGCATTCCGCAGCCAACACCCCGGATTCCGAATTCCGATTCAGAAGCGAAGCCAACTCTAAAAATCTCTGATCTCTCTCGCTCCGCCACAGAAATTCCGCAACGCTAAGCGATTTTGCCCGCTCCGAGTGAAAAAATCGGCAAAGTAAGCCCCAAAAAATAATTTATAATACGCCCATTAATGTTTTAGTGGTGGCTTCATTTGTTTCTTTTTTTTTTGGGGCGAAACGCCTTCGTCATCCAGTGCTGAAAAAAGTGACGTGACATGAAGGCAAGAAAGAAGGCGCAAAGAGCGCAGTGAAAAACAGAAAATAAAACGAAACGGAAAGCGAAACAGAAAACAGAAGCCGGTGGTCGTACAAATCAAAAAATTATGTCCAAGTGCACATCGCACTTCGCCAGGCGATAAAAAGTTGGCGAGCGAGGTCACAGAATCTTTATCAGCGTGCAAAACCAAGTTGATGCCAAGTTGCAAATACATAAATCTGTTGCCAAAAGTGCGGGGGCACCACTTCCACCCGAAAATGTCAAAGTTCGCACTAAGTGCACTGCTCGAAAAATAGACATCCAAAGTTACTGGTTAAGTTTTCACAAAATAAAAGACCGCAACAAATGTAATCAAATTGATATCTGAGTAGTTTACTGCGGGAATTGTGTGGTGTATACATATTTCATTTTAAAGAGCCCCGATGTTTTATTAATCGAAACCTATTTGCAGGATCATATGAATAATAATTTGAAGTACGAAATGATTTCTTTGTATATTATGTTAAAATTTCACAATTGATAAGGGCTTTGAAATCTTAAAATACTAGTAATTGAAATTATAATTGTATCACATAAAGAATTTTATAAAAATTAAAATAAATTCTTAAAATATTATTAAACGAGTATCTTTTCTGTTTTTAGGTCCCAAGGAACAACAAATATCCGAAGGAAATATAGAGAAATAGAGAGGAGAGCAACTATTATATATCTTAGTTCCGACGTCGAGTTCGAGCGATAAGAACGCCTCGAGACTCGGCCGCCTTCCATCGACGATTTTCTTGCGCCCCCAGTTTGCATAAAACCAGCGAAAATTAACAAGCTAACTACCATGGCGCCGGTGCGGGGGGATGGCATGAGAGGGCTGGCCGTCTTTATATCGGATATAAGAAACTGTAAGTGCAGATCAGATCTCTTGGGTAACCACCATTAAATCCAATTGAGCGGATGACAGCAAGAGATTTTCCATAGGGGCGGAATCAGCGCCATTTCTTGATCAATTACCAGGAGCAGAACACTGACAATAAAGTGGGGCGGTACAATAACATATATACAGTATGCAGTCGATAGGAGGGATGTATTGAGATTACTATTAAATATCATTTGTTTCTTTAAATAATAATATTTACTACCAATCAAGTTAAACTATTAAATGTGGAAAATTTTTGTAGTTTAACTATTTAAAGGGTTTCTATAGTATTTCTAAATTTATGTCCGTATGTGTGCAACCGCCGCAATTGCTCACCGCCGCTTCGCTGTATAATGCTATCGTCACAACTCACTGTTTGCTGTATGCTGGGTTACTAGTTTTTGGTTTGTAGACAGCATATCAGAGAGCAGAGGTTCCGCAGCGGATCGGTGACTGGTACTAATTGGCGCCTATATAAACCGGAGAAAAAACGCGACATGGAGAGAGTGAAAGATGGTGAAGTCGGATTTGCCATCGATCGGTTATGGGTTGGAGAAGAAAGCAATACTTCCGCCGACGAATCGCTGTTGTTTTACTGTGAATCTCCATTTCTGACCTTGATACTTTTCTATTTTAATGCTAATATTCATATATATTCCCGACAACCATCGCAGGTAAAAGCAAAGAAGCGGAGGTCAAACGCATAAACAAGGAGTTGGCCAACATACGGAGCAAATTTAAAGGAGACAAAACTCTTGACGGCTATCAGAAGAAGAAATATGTTTGCAAGCTGCTATTCATTTTTCTCCTCGGCCATGACATCGACTTTGGCCACATGGAGGCGGTCAATTTACTGTCCTCCAACAAATACTCGGAGAAGCAGATCGTAAGTAAACCAAATATCGATAGATAAAACATATTGTAATTTAGCGACGGGAAATTGGACTGCGTTTATAATGATATTTTATGTAACTTAAACTAAAAACTAAGAAAGTTGTATTTGTATAAAAAAAATCTATTTAATCTGATTACATTTTTTAAAATATTTCATTGTGATTACTTTTATGATCGTTTCTAATAAACTTTGATTGTTCTAGGGATACCTATTCATCTCTGTGCTGGTGAACACGAACAGCGACCTAATTCGGCTGATCATTCAGTCGATCAAGAATGATTTGCAGTCTCGCAATCCTGTGCACGTTAATTTAGCCTTGCAGTGCATCGCCAATATCGGCAGCCGGGATATGGCTGAGTCCTTTTCCAACGAGATACCTAAGCTACTTGTTTCGGGGGACACCATGGACGTGGTTAAGCAGTCGGCGGCGCTGTGCCTGCTCCGCCTGTTCCGCTCCTCGCAGGATATCATTCCTGGCGGTGAGTGGACATCGCGCATCATCCATTTGCTCAATGATCAGCACATGGGAGTAGTCACAGCGGCCACCTCGCTGATCGACGCCTTGGTGAAACGCAACCCAGACGAGTACAAGGGTTGTGTAAACTTGGCAGTTTCTCGCTTGTCTCGGATCGTAACAGCCAGCTACACGGATCTTCAGGTAGGAGTTCTAGGTTCTGTTGATATAAAAAAACACTTAAATATATATATATTCCCTTGCAGGATTACACGTACTACTTTGTGCCGGCGCCGTGGCTATCCGTGAAACTTCTTCGGCTGCTGCAGAATTATAACCCAGTGACCGAGGAGGCAGGCGTACGGGCTCGGTTAAACGAAACTCTAGAAACGATTCTGAATAAGGCCCAGGAGCCACCGAAGAGTAAGAAAGTGCAGCACTCCAACGCCAAGAACGCTGTGCTCTTCGAAGCCATCAATTTGATCATTCACAGCGACAGCGAGCCCAACCTGCTAGTTCGCGCTTGCAACCAGTTGGGCCAGTTTCTTAGCAATCGAGAGACTAATTTACGTTACTTGGCTCTGGAGTCCATGTGCCACCTAGCCACTTCGGAGTTCTCGCACGAGGAGGTGAAGAAGCACCAGGAGGTAGTCATACTGTCGATGAAAATGGAGAAGGATGTATCCGTCCGCCAAATGGCGGTGGATCTATTGTATGCCATGTGTGATCGTGGTAATGCCGAGGAGATCGTTCAAGAGATGCTCAACTATCTGGAAACAGCTGACTACTCGATTCGCGAGGAGATGGTGCTCAAGGTGGCTATTCTCGCAGAGAAGTACGCGACGGATTATACCTGGTAAGAGCTAATTTGTCAAGTTAGGAAAAATATTTACATTTACTCTTTGTTTTTGGAGGTATGTGGATGTGATCCTTAATCTTATCCGCATTGCTGGAGACTACGTGTCCGAGGAAGTGTGGTACCGGGTCATACAAATCGTAATTAACCGTGAGGAAGTTCAGGGATATGCCGCGAAGACCGTTTTTGAAGCGCTACAGGCACCTGCCTGCCACGAAAACATGGTTAAAGTTGGAGGTTACATATTGGGAGAATTTGGAAACTTAATTGCCGGAGATTCCCGTTCCGCGCCATTAGTGCAGTTTAAACTGTTGCACTCCAAGTACCATTTGTGCTCGCCAATGACGCGGGCCCTGCTCCTATCCACGTACATCAAGTTTATCAACCTGTTTCCTGAGATTCGCACCAATATCCAGGATGTGTTCCGACAGCACAGCAATCTTCGTTCCGCAGATGCAGAACTTCAGCAGAGAGCCAGCGAATATCTCCAACTTAGTATCGTGGCATCTACGGATGTGTTGGCCACCGTTCTCGAAGAAATGCCATCGTTCCCGGAGCGCGAAAGCTCTATTCTAGCAGTGCTGAAGAAAAAGAAGCCCGGGCGAGTGCCGGAGAATGAGATCCGCGAGTCGAAGAGTCCGGCTCCGCTGTCTTCTGCAACGCAGAACAACGCCCACGTGAACAATTCTCACAGTAAACTGAATAACAGCAACGCGAATACGGATCTGCTTGGTTTGAGTACTCCACCATCAAATAATATTGGCAGTGGCACCAATAGCAACAGCACGCTAATTGATGTTTTGGGAGATATGTACGGCAGCAACAGTAACAACAACTCAAGTGCCGTGTACAACACAAAGAAGTTCTTGTTCAAGAATAATGGTGTCCTGTTCGAAAACGAAATGCTGCAGATCGGCGTAAAGAGCGAGTTTCGCCAAAATCTGGGACGACTGGGTCTGTTCTATGGTAACAAGACACAAGTCCCTCTGACGGTATGTACATATTTTTTTGAAATCTTAATACCAATACATTTCCTTTTTATTTTTTCGCAGAACTTTAATCCCGTGTTGCAGTGGTCCGCAGAGGATGCTCTTAAGCTAAACGTGCAGATGAAGGTTGTGGAACCGACCCTGGAGGCCGGCGCCCAGATTCAACAGCTGCTAACTGCGGAGTGCATAGAGGACTACGCCGATGCCCCAACCATCGAGATCAGTTTCCGCTACAACGGCACACAGCAAAAGTTTAGCATCAAATTGCCATTGAGCGTTAACAAGTTCTTTGAGCCTACAGAGATGAATGCCGAATCATTCTTTGCGCGATGGAAGAATCTAAGCGGGTAAGTAAAAGGTTCTTTACGGAAATGTTCAATATTAATTTTATATTTGTAGGGAGCAACAACGGTCACAGAAAGTGTTCAAGGCAGCACAGCCACTGGATTTAGCCGGAGCCCGCAATAAGCTGATGGGCTTCGGCATGCAGCTGCTGGACCAGGTGGATCCCAATCCAGACAACATGGTTTGTGCAGGTATCATTCATACGCAATCCCAGCAGGTGGGCTGCCTGATGAGATTGGAGCCGAATAAGCAAGCTCAGGTTAGAGACTATTATCTAATTTTATCATAACAAATTATAAATTCTATTGACTTATCAATAGATGTTCCGACTGACCGTCCGGGCCAGTAAAGAGACCGTTACTCGGGAGATCTGTGATCTGCTGTCAGATCAGTTCTAAGCCACAACAATCATTGACGGGGAGGATCGAGATGGAGCTACGAAGACATGGAGCCACGGCAACCACTTTACAATGCACAATCCCAATCACCTAGAGAAATATCAAAGCAAAAACAGTCCTCACACTTTGCGCGTTTAGTTATGCCAGTCACTCCTACTCTCTTCATAAGTACCTTTCATCTTTTTCAGCAGCGCGTTGCTGATTGAGCTTTACCCACTCTCCTGTTTACTTTTGAATTGAATATTATTTTTGTAAACCTACTCGTACTTTATCCATTTCCCTCTTTCATGTCCCCAAAACCCTTATCCGTATCAGAATTCTTTGTAAATGTTAAGCTCAAAAAGTTCATAGTAGAGAAAAGAGAGAACATAATTAGATTATGTTTATATGTATGACAAATTATATATTGTTGCATCATTTCGAGGCAGTAGCAATTGGATATTATATACCTATACACAGAAATACATTCATACAAACTACATACATATACATAGTATATACGTCGTTGTAATAAAAACAAAAACAATATAAAACAAAAGAGAAAAGCTTGCAAGGAAATTATTAAGATGCCTGCAAATGACAAGTATGCAAATCGTTATCTAAATATTTATACATATATTGATTATTGCAATTGCATCAAAACGAAATTCATGTTTAATGTTTTTGATTGTGAAGATTTAATGGAAAGCCGCAGGAGCAGAAATCTCATTAAATATTAGACAAATAATTAGAGATGGGTTAACCAAAACTCCCTGATTAATCACTGTTGAGCAACTAAAATTGATCGAAGACCGGAGAAAAGTCCAATTTTGAGAAAACAAAAGAAAAACATTCAAAATATTATTATACCTATAGCAGAATTTTTCGATTGATCCTGGGTAATATTTCGTTTTATATGTGTACCATAATAAACTGACGAGAACTACATGTTGTGCCGCTTCCTGGGAAGGAAAGCGATCTCTATAGCACCAAGTATTAACTTACCCGAAGCAGTAGCAGCAGCAAGCCATAAATCTGCTATAACTCTCTTCAATTGCGAGGCCGTAGCCGGTGAAGAACAAAGAATTGTAAACTAAAATAAACATTATATAGATACTGATACTGAATACCGATAAAGCAAATTGTCATCGTATACTTATTACCACTAAACTCTCAATCCTTTCGTATCAACCAATGTGCATGTCAGTTGGAAGTTTAATTATTTCCAAAGTGCAATAGTTAAATGTTAACAAAATTCCACAAGAATTCCATTCAACACAAACGCAAAGCAAATGCGACTAAAACAGCAACAAGAACATAAACCACAACTACATATAGCAAATGCAGGAATTTAACTGTAAACGTAAACAAATATGTATTTAAATAAATAAATAAATATAAATTGAAACCATATTGAACGTGTTTTAGAACGTTGCTAGATGAACAAAGCCAGATTAAGCTTATATAACACAAACAGACGTGGAAATCTTTTTGTCAACTTTATTGTGAATAGTGAAAGGTATAAAATGGGGTCTAATAAGGTTAGTTTTTTAAATCTCGTTTAATTTAAACCTGGCATTGATGTTCACTGAACTCAGTTCGGTGACCAGGAACTTAAAAGAGAATGGTATCTCGATCATTGAGACTGAACTGTTATCCCCGCACAGACGACAAGTCTTCGGCTGCGAGGACAGACCTCCAGTTTCATTACGCTTAACAATCTGCTGCAATGGTGCTAGTATAGAGCCACACTTGTGGCAAACTAGCGTGTGTGTTTTATCCGAGTTGTGGAATAAACGATCCTGCAGCAGGAAGGCCGCTCCATGGGAGATCAAAGCATCCCGTTCCATCTCTCCGAACCTCACCCCACCACCTCGTTTTCTTCCCTTAATTGGTTGATGGGTACGAGCTTCTACGGCTCCTGTGGATCTTACTTGCCACTTGTCGAAAACCATGTGACGGAGACGCTGGTAATGGACCACCCCAAAAAATATATCTGCTGCCATCTCGCGTCCATCTACTCCAGAATATAGTCTCTCCGTTCCATAGTAATTGTAATCCTCCAGCCTCGAGCATCTTACCGAAGTAATCAATAGCTGTATTTTCTTCGGAAAAGCGGAAAGGTGTGGCGTCGTAAACATCCCCGTGGATCGCTGCACCCTTCCCCGCCATTGTCTCGATCATCATGGCTATGGTCATACGAGAGGGAAAACCATGGGGATTGAACACTATGTCTGGTATCAAACCTGATTCCGTAAAGGGCAAATCTTCTGCCGGATATTTTTGTGAGCAAATACCTTTCTGGCCAGCTCTGGATGCAAACTTATCTCCAATAGTAGGTGGTCGAGGAACTCTCAAAGTAATGGCTACCGTTTTCTTGGGAGATAAATCAAAGCTTCCCAACTGTCGGACGCTTTCTACCATGCAATCCTCCTTCTCATCCATTTTCACAACTTTATAAGTGGCTACCTCTCCGTCAAAATAGCAGTATAACGGGGACCCATAACTTAATTTAGAGCCAGGATGTGGAAGACCATCTGTATCCAGATATTTAGTCAGTTCTGGCATATGCGGATGTCTGGCGAAGTAACTGCTCTTCTTGTCCAGCGTCAAGAACTTAGTTTTGTAGATACTCCCATATGCGAACCCTCGTTCATAAGCTGCTTTATTGATTATCATGGCATCTTCCATATCGTAACCTGTGTAGGATATTACAGCTACTATAGCGTTTGTGCCCATTGCGAAGTCATCCAGCTGAATGTTGTCGTAGTGAACGGGTCTAAAGAGAGGTGTTGCTGGAGTTTGTAACCGGTATAACTTATTGGCAGCTTGCTTGGGCCAATTTAAGCAAGGTGTTCCCATCGTTTGCTTTCCCATCTGACACTGGTACATGTTACGAGGTGATTGATTGTAGTCCGGCATGGGAATCAAGTTGGCCAGGTTGCTCATGAAATGCGTTTTAGCCAACTCCAGATGAGTAGTGAAGTCCGGATACATCTCTTTTGGATCAATTGCAATCTCCATGTACAGCTGCTCGAGTGTTCCAATGTATTCCACCCGCTTCCATTTTAGGTTCCAAACGGGTCTCATCATCCTAGCAGGTCCCGTTGCAAGGTAGAGTCCTGGGAACTGACCGTTCTTTTTAAAAGGTATATATCCAATTTCCATCATTTGTGGAAGGGTGCCAAATATCTTGCCATAGCGCAAATCATCTACTATTTTGGTGGCATCTGATTGATAAATATGGCCCAGATGTTTGCCGTCCAAAAATACCACGTAGAGTTTGTCCTCCGGATCACTTTGGATGGTCAATGGCATCATGCCCATCTCTATCAGTTGTGAGGGTATGGCCTGAAACAAAATAAGTAATTCGGTCAATTTTCTGAAATCTGCGATAATTTGGTGTCATACCTCTACCAGTTTGGGATCGGGACGCTTTGACAGCTCGCAGGTCAGGGTCAAATGATTAAGTAGGCCACAGGGCGTGCCATCGGGAGTGTGTACTGGACAAATGAAGCCCCAGGCATCCGGAAGCAATTGTCTCGCCTCCGTGGTCCTCATTGTTGTGAAATAGGAACCACGGTGGATAGCTCGGAAGTGAGACATGTATCGCATCCTGTTGATATTCTCCGCCATGATAACCAAACCACTATTTTGCATTAATCCTAGCCCAGTGCGACTGACAATATTTCCAGTGGCTAGGAAGGACTCCATGGAGCGGCCAACTCCGCCTGCTTGTCGCATACACTGAGTCATAATGGCGCTTGTCAGTAGGCCATCAGGAGTAGTCAGTTTCTTTTGAAGGCATCGGCGGACTTGCAAAACCCAAGACTCCACGCGTTCGCCTAGGTATTTCTGATATAAATGTCCTGGAAGGAGCACTTCCTGCATCATCGCCGAGTCCACGTTCTCCACTCTGTGTTTGCCTTGCGCACATTGAAAAAGCTTCTGTACCATGAACACAATTAACTGGAATTTGTCCTCATAGTTATCCAGGTGAATCATTACTCGTTCCTTGAGGATAAAGTCCGTAACATCCTCATCCGGTTGCCATTCCGGAATTTCTGGGAAGCGAGAACGGAACAGATTGCCAATGAAGCTCCTGCACTGGGAGTGTGTGTAGACACTTTCGTTTTGTACATCTCTCAACATACTTTGCACACAGGACACATAGTACTGGTCTGATTCATAGCCCTTAACTAATCTGTAGTATATTTCTTCATCTGTGTAATCCATAAGGCACTTGAGAATAAGGCAAACGGGTACATAAGATAACCTCTTGACATGGGAGAACATAAACTTGGCTGTTCCATTATTCAAAAAATGGACTACATTACTTTGGGATGATTCGTCCTCGCGGACTGTTTGCACTAAAACTCCCAGATCGCTAAAGTTCTGGCCACGATCTTTCCAGGAAGAGCGCTTTACGCAAATTGGATGATTTCTCCTGGTCATGATCAACATGCGCACGATCTTCTCATTTCCTCGAATTACAAATATTCCACCCCATTCGCTGTCGTGCTCGCCATGTTTCACCATATCTTCGGGGGAAGCCTGCCCCAGATTGCAGGCTTTCGAGCGCAGCATAATGGGAAGTTCACCTAGGTCCATGTTTATGGGAGACTTCTCCACTCCATTGATACTCCAACCCAACCGAACAGAGCACATTCCTGAGTAGGAGACGTGTAGCTGCCTGGAGTCGGTTGGGTAAATTTCTCGGGTACGCACATCAATCACATCTTGGGGCACCTGTGGCTTCGATATCCAAATAGATTGCAATTTCATTGAGATTTTTTCGCCGGCGGGACTCTGCCAGTGTATGGGAATCATGTGTTTGGCCACGAAATCCAGGCCCACGGTTAACATCTCATCGAAGGAATCCACATGGGGTGCTCCCAAGTTGGCCAGGTGCTATTCGTATGAGCACAAATTCGTTAGCATGGAAGGCAGACAGCACAAAATTTCTATTTACCCTGCTTAGTTTTTTGGGTATCTGCTTGAACTCCGGTCGTAAGTTGGTCAGCTCCGGAGTGGTCTTCATTCGATTCATCTCCTCCAGCATTTTGTAGGATTATATCTCTTCGAAAACCCCTCAATTATATTAAAAATCAAAATACTCCACTCTGCACGTGTTGTTTTGAACTGAGCCGTTTTCGACGTGAACCAGACTGTGTTGTTGTGGTTAATATGGGGAACTAGTTCACATTTTGTTTAAACTTTCAATAACACCTTATGTTAAACTTACCGAAAAAATACACAAGTGGTTCAATGATAAATGTTTTACCTTTAATTGAGTTGCAAAAATCAACTTATATTTAAAGAACTTTGACAGATTTCAAAACAAATGTTGCTCATCTCTTGATAATAGGGCTGCCAACTCGGTGGCGGAACAGCTGACAGATTCGCGATTTCAAAATTTTGTTATCAGTAATATTTTTAAAAGGTATGTAAGTTTAAGCCCAATTAAACTACTTGTAGGCATGGTATGTTACGTATTTTGTAAATGTGAACTCGTTAATAAATAAAATGTCCTCCAGAAAAGAATTTTTGTTATCAAAATATATAAAAATTTAAACGTTTTTATGTAAATCGAGTTCGCTCTCTATTTTTTCCTGACGTACTACTACTTTTTAAAAATATGAAAATATTTTATTTTATTTTTTGATTCTACAATTTTAATTAAAAAATTAAACTTTTGTAAGAGTTTAACTTTAAAGTCCGATGTGCACTAATGTACTATTGAGGAAGTATGAGTGACGGAAGTTTGGCTTTTTCCGAAAAGACCAAGGACAAACCTAAGAAGCTGCAGTAGCCAAGGAAAAAGGGAAAGGGCCTCAATCTGAACCCAGTCACTCCGGTTTATTATTCCATTATAATGAACACAATGCATTTTCTTGCAACTTTTTCCGGGCATACTGTCCTTGGCTGGTTCTCCTACCCTTGCAACTTCCTACTTTCGCTGCACATTTGCCTGTGTGCAATATCTGTGAAAGTTGAGGGCGTGGCTGGTTCGCAACTTTTTCCAGGAGCTTCAAGTTTCTAGCAGGATTTTTTGCCCCTTTTGAATTGCAACAAACAACAGAGTAAACCAGAACTGAGAGGCAGAGAAGGGCGCCATGGCAAATTGCATTGTTGATTTTCATTTTCAAGCCTGGCGACACTTTGCCAAATATGTGCTTCCTCTGCTTTCCTCTGGAAACCTCTGCTCATAGTTGTTTGGAGTCATGGCTGCGTGTTTTCCACTTTTCAAATGTGCGGACTGGAGACAAAAAAGCAGGAAGCTCGCGTAGCCGTTTCAAAAATCAGCTAGCAAATGCATTTTCATTTGAAACTTTCCCACTGAAGTTTTTCACAGGGTGCCGGATAACACGCACCCTTTGCCGACTTTCAAAATTGGTTAATAAGGTTTGAGAGACTTGTGACTTAAGGACAGATGGGTTTTTCGTTGAAAAGGTTTGTGTTATATAATACCCTGTAATATAGGTGCGAGCAAATTTGCTTATTGTACTTTAAAAATTAATAACATTAACATGTGGTAGGATCAATGACCTTGTAAGTGTTGCGGATCTATCCCTGGCAGCTCTTGACGAGTGGTCGTGATCTTCATTTTCCTGACAAGCGATGTGGCAAGAGCTTTGTTTTGATTTGCCCATTAGTCATAATTAAAATGACGCGTGGGTCTAAATTTAAACTGTTTCGTGTGACACGTTCTCCTAATTAAAAAGTGCATATGGGTAACGAGAAAAATTAAGAAATCCGGATAACGGGCTTCTAGTGAGTCTCCCTATTCTCTCTGCAATTCCTAGGCCCTTTAGAAACAACGTTCTCTAATTCACAAACAAAGCATTTTATGTGAGAATTCTGGCTGGGAGAAGCCGAATTGTGTGCAGACAGGAGAGACCATAGTGGGTTAAAAATAGCTGAATCTATTCGATGTTTTCTCAGTTTTTCCCGAGCTGGCCAACCAAAAAGTTGTGTTCGACCGTCGAACGGATAGAAATTAGAATCAAAAAATTTTCCTACCTCACGAATACATATAGAAATTTTTCATATGTATACTAGATAATTACTTTGGTTACTTTTTGTTATTTCTGAAGTGAAAGCTGCCAGTTACCTAGTATAGCGACATAATTTTTTCTAACATCCTTGGTTAAAAGTGAAAGTCAATAGAAAATTGCGAAATCGAAAAGCTCGTGTGTGATCGTCGGGCACAGATATAGACAGCGATATCTGTTGGTATTTTCCCTGCCCTGTGTTGGTGCCATATCAATTGGAAGCGATCTGTGGATTGGTGGATCGGTGGACCATTGGATTATCGGGGTTTCTTTGTGCCGACAAAGATTCTTTCTCTAGAAGAAAAGTCGCATTAAAGCGAATCGTAAAATTAACGTTTGCCAGGCGAAGACCATCGGTAAACAGATCATCACAGCCGCATACCACAGCTCGTTCGCCTTTGTTCTCTTGGGGAAAATGGGAAATGCCGAGTCCACACCCTCTGCAGATGACACGCAGATGCAGGTGCAGCAGGCAGCCGATGACGAGCCCTGGTGGAACAACATTGAGCACGAGAATCTGATTCTGGAACAGGCCCCTTTGGTCGCAGAAAAGAATTCAGAGAATCCAAAAGTTGAAAAGATAAATCTGGAAACACAAGTTGAAGCTAAAATGGAGCGCAAAGAGAAGGATTCTTCCCAAGAAGAACAGACCCTAGAGGAGTTCAAAGAAGAGCTTCGTCAAAAAAGAGAAGCTCGTCAAAATGCTGTTCAGGATCTTAGAGAAGAAATAGTTAATCTTAAAAAAGAATTGTCTAAGGAAAAAGCTGAAAACCGACGTCTGAGAAAAGACCAAGCTGAGGTCTATCAAGATGAGAGCTCAGATACTCTCAGTAATCATGAATCTGATCCAGATGATGAGAACCCCATCTCCAGAAGTCGTCATGCTAATATCGAGCTGGCCAGTGCCCAACTGGCGTTGCAGCAGGCTCAAGCCGAGAATTTGTCTTTGCGTGGAGAAGTGGAAGTGGTTCAACGCCAGGTGGGAACCCTGAAGGAAGTCATATCTTGCTGCAAGCAAATGCTAAGTGTCAAGGAGGAACAATGTGCTCAGGTAAGCATGTAATGTTGTAATTTAAAATTTGTGGCACATTAATAATTTTTTCCCTAGCTCAAAATGAAACTAACGCAAATAGAGAACTCCTTCAGCGAGCGTGAGATGAAGATCATGTCGAATAATCTCCGCCAGGAGTACGAACGCCAACTGGTAAATATCCGCCAGCTAAGGCAACTTTATGAGGAGCGACAGAGAGTGGCCGCTGCCGAGTACGAGAACCTGCAGCGTTTGATATCGATCAAGAGAGATGAACTTACGGCCGAGCAGGAGAAGTGAGTTACCGAAGCCAAGTTAAAGTTTCCTTGTTTATTTAAGCCATTTTCCACCTTCGTTTTAAACTAGAACCAAAAACTTCGAGGAGCGGAATCAGACCCTTTTGAAGGAAGTGGAGACAGCTAATGAGGAGCTTGCAAAGCTGCGCGAGGAGTGCAGCGAGCACAAGTTCGAAAAGCGTCTTTTAAGTGAGCAGGTGGGAGCAGTCAACCTGGTGAGTGGAACTTGTAAAGTATCCTAATCCTAGGTTGACATCAAAACTTCTTACAGCTCTTTAGCCAGCTGATCATGGGTTTTAATGGCAAGAGCAACATGAACATTGATCGTGTCAATCAAATGTTGGAGGAGAACCGCCAACTCCTTAATCAAATGACCCAGGCGGAGGGAAACTGCAGCGATGGAGCAACTCTGCCAAAGTTGCTCTTTGACCTTGTGGAGCAGGCAACTGGTCACGGGGACTACGCTAAGGAATCAAGCAAGAGCCGCAGCCCCACTGCCCATTCCAACAAATGACACCACGGACAGTTGTCAATCGGAAGGAGTCATCAAAAAACACCGGAAGGAGAGCTCGGGTTTGGGTGTGGATGGCACTGCTAGCCCACTAAAGAGCCACGAGCCCGAAATTATGGGAAAAGTTGCCTCGGCCCAAGAAATCATTGGCAACTTGCCAAAAGTTTGGAAAGTGTTGATGGAGCTCTTGAGCCACCACAAAATAGAGCGCGTGCAGTTCGAGGAGCTTCCATCCTGCAGTGGGAGTGCGACCTCAAGTGCGGCCCCTCTATCCTCCGCATTGTGTGCTCCAGAAAAGGACGAATGGGAGTCCCACCGCAAGCCGCCGGAGCTCAGCGTCAGCAAGACCTACATCAAACTGAAGGTGAGCCTAAGTTGCCAAGTTCCAGTTACTACACTGAGAACAATCAGTGTAATGGTTAAATTAGTTTTCCTATGGAAGATAAACCACGACAAATGAGAAAAGGAAAATAGGTATAGTGAATTCACCTGGGTTTAATTTTATTTTTGAACGAACATTAAGAAAGTTTAAATTAGTATTATTTCTTTTTGGGAAATATACATTTTTCCAGTTCAGTCGCAGCTCTCCCAGCTGTTCCTTCCTTCTGTGAAGTGCTGCAGACAATCGGGCTTGTTAGTTGTCGTATCCGCTTTGCTGATGAAGTGCAGCCTGCCAGGCTGCTCCAACCCATTCACCCCCGTGAATCCCTCTCCAGGAGCTCCGTCTGTGGCTGTTTCAAAGTTTTGCATTATTCACTTAAGCGCTTTATTTAGTCTAGTGCTGAGCTAGCGGCCAGGCACGAGCAGCTTCATTATTGCTGACGTCCTGCCGAGCATTGATGTAGAAAGGAAGTGGAAGTGCATCGGGCAAAGTGGGTGGGTCCTTGGACCAAGGTCCTGGCAACCGAGTCCGTTGTTGTGCACATAATTGAATTTATCGGTCAGTTGCCGTTGGCAAAGAATATGTTGCACATAGATACCCTTAAATAGGGGCTATTTCAATAACGTTTTGAGCCTGGTTACGTATTCGTTTTAGCTTTAAAGTTTCTAGATTTATTATAGATATGATAGAACACCTAATGCTTAGACTGTATATAAAATGTTTTAATGAAATGTAATTTTTTAAAAAATGTACATAGATGTGTGAGATTTAAAGGTAGTCTTCCTTTCCTTTAAAACTAATGCAGTGAAAAGTTCGGCCATCTCCTGATAAAGCACTTTAAAAGTTCGCACTTCAAAATAAGCCACAGCATAAGTAACGTAAAAAACTAATCTCTTTGCCCTATTACAGGACCTTATCCTGGAGAAGAAGTCCCTGGTGAAGGAGACGAACCGCCTGAAAACACTTAACAGTCACCTGGACTACCGTCTGAACCAACAGGAGAAGCGATTGAGCGGGTGTGTGTTTGGAGCTCACGAAAACCTGGCACCTGGTGGGCAAGATGCAGCGCCAGCACCGCCAGCTCCACACCCAGGAGCAGATTCTGCGCTATCAATTGCAGCAGAAAAGGCGTCTCCTCAGCGAACTCAAGGACGAGCTGGAGTACTGTCGCCGAAAATGGGCTTTGGCCAGGGCTAAGAACAATGAGAGCCAGGAACAGTGTGACGAATGGCGAAGGGAGTTTGCCAGGAGAAAGTTGGAGGATGCAAATCATTCAGCAGAGAGTGGTTACAGTGATTCTGGACCTCAATCAGATGAGGAGCGTGATGTTTTAAGCGGTGATTTGGGTAGCGAATGTCCCGAAGAGGCACCCACTTCATCGGCAGCCTGTCGTAGGAAAATTCTTAGAGATCAATTCGAGCATACGCGCAAGATTAAGCGGATGCAGAGCACGTCACCTGGTCGTCAAGGCTTCGCAGGCGAGGATGAAGAGACCGAGGATATAGTACTGCGGTGGAACAGTGCTCCACCGACATGCGGATGGAGGGAAGATGCTACGTATCCTGAAGAACAAGAAGATGACGAGGATAACGTAGAGGCAGGAGCACATGGTGGTACTCCACATAGTTCCAGGAGCAGACAAAGAAGTCATGCAGGCTCAAGCGAAACTTCAGGCACAGCCAGTCGCATCCAGAAGCTTGAAGAGCAGTGCAAAAACCTCATTCAACAAGTCCTCGAAACCTCTGGTAATCGCGAGCGCCTCGAGATTCAGTTATGCCAGTTTCAGGATGATATTGCACCCGCTCAGCATGCTGTGCCTTTGGAGGAATTCATTAATAGAAAGCATATGGAGCGAATGACCAGGGCCAGTTCGGCACCGGCCAACGGAAGCCTTACTCCTCGGGAGGAAGAGTACACCAGAAAAAGATCCGAGCGTTTAGGACGTCTTGAGGAGGAGTCGCGCCAATTGATGTCAAGGATTAAAAGGACTGCTGACCGAGGACACTACCTCAAAAAATCTTTAGACAGAATAAGAAGAGCACCGAGTCGTGAGGCAAGCTTTGAAAGTAATACAGAGGAGGAAGTTGTGGCTCCTGTATCCAAAACTGAATCCACTCCAGGTCCATCTCCGCTAACTGCTGAGGAAGAGGAGTACACAGCCAGAAGATCTGCGAGGATTCAGCGTTTGGAGCAGGAGAGTCGGCAGTTAATATCGCAACTCTCCCGAAACGCAGAACGTGGAGAAAACATGTCTACTAAATTGGATACTCTACATGAACACCACTCTCAAAATCATCAGCAGGAGCAGGCCCAAAACTCTGCTAGCATCTCGCAAACTGTTGAACAACGATTGGAGGATATTGAACGAGTTTCGGCCAGTAGAGCCGAACGTCTCCGTTTGCTAGAGGCTCAGGGAAATGAACTGATAGCCCGGTTGAGCTCCACGTCCGAGAGGGGAACAGCTATGATTAACAGGATTGCGGAGAGGGAAGCTATTCGGCGGCAGGAAGCCGAACTTGTAGAACAAGCGGTGCCCACTGAAGAGGCAACGAGCTCAGGAAATTCCATAGCCAGCTCTAGGATTGTCCGGGAACTAGAGGAGAATGTGGAAGGAGCTGCTTGTTGTGCAACAGTCACCACTACCCCTAGTCAGTTGGCGTTGAAGCAACAATCCACGGGAGCCATTCCCAAGACCATGAAGACAACGAGCAGACCACAATCTCAGTTGTGTGCTGCGACTCGTCAAGACGATGCGGCCAAGAAAAGGTCTTCTGGAAAGGAAGCTGCCGAAAAGGAGGAACCCGAATCCCTTGAGAATATGGTCGAGAGACTCAGGGCATTGCCCTTTCCAACAAAAGCTCAGGATAATGAGACTGTCGAATTTAAAATTAATAGTAAAACAGAAAGTAAGGAGGGTATTCAAAGGGACCCTGAGACGTTAAATCAAGAAGATCAAGTCCAGGGAGAAGAAGTTAAAGACCTGAAGACCGAAGACGAGGCCGAAGAGCAGCTGCAGGAGCGGAATCATATGGATGACGAACACTGAAAGATGTTCACTACATTTAAATACGACTAAAATAACTTGCTGATAAAACTACTAAGTCCACTCAAAGCTCTTGTTAATTGTAAAAATTAACGAAAAATAAATATATATTTTTTGATGTCCATTTAAATTTATAAATCTCTTTTAAATTTTTGTATACCCAAGAATCATTATCTCCCTCATAGAACAAAATTTGACACATATATTACTAATCGGAATGTGTACGCATCCCGTGCCTCCTCTCGCTTACCATATCCTTCACCCACAAAAGCGGATAAGAACTGGTTCGTCTTTCCGGAGGACTTATGTGCTCTCTTAGCCACGCACGCAGCCATGACATTGCATGGAATACAGAATACTGAGCAAGGAGCACGGAAGCTGCCACTAACGTGTGTGTGTGCGGGAAAGGGGCGAGAAGTAGGCGGCAAGGACGTGGCCATTGGGTGGCAATGGGCGACGCATTATCTCTGCATATGCAAGTAAAAATGCCAGCGTCCGCTAACAAGTCGGCGACATCGCCATCGTCATCCGACTCCGCCATATCCCCGACATGGCTGCTTTATGCAAATGCCTTTCCCCCTCATCTCAAGGCGTGTAAACAGCAATTGGTGGGTGGTGGGTGGTGGCTGGCACAGTCTGGGTAGGCGACTCTGTTCAGGCATAAAGACAACATCGCCTCATATGCTTTTAAAGCGAACAGAGATTGTACATTAACTTATCCGCTGTCTTCCGCCCAACAGCAAACTGTCAACAGTGGGAAGTTCTCAATCTGCCTCACCATATATGTACATTTCAATGTATGTATGACTGCAAGGCCCTGTTAGCCAGAGAGCTGTTAAGAGTTCACTATCTACCCCTGGCGAAAATGAACACTTCCAGTCGTTATGTTATGTTATGAAGGGGTGGCTGCTTCTTAACAGAGCTGTTAAAACACTCATATGCTATTAATGACTGTTGGATGGGGCAACTTTTCCAGCTGACCCAGTTCTTTTGAAATGTTGAATGGCAGAAAGTTTGCAGGGGTAAATTAACAGAGACACAAAATGTTAAGATTGTATTGATATGCGTATGTCAAAAGATATTAAGCTATTGAATCGCTGAAAAGAAGTATTATATTGATAGGTTTGATTCGGTTTGATGCATGTGCTTCTTAAGCCGGTTGATACCAAAATTTGAACGCTCAGGACTAACCCCTTACCTTGAACCTGTTAAGAACTTCCAACCTGCATGAGAACCCCTAAGCACGAGCATACTTTACAGCGTATAAGAGGAAACCCCGCTTTACCGCCATCTGCTGGAATTATCAAAAACGTGTTGCAGCTCAAAAAGCTTTTTGAGCTTCCCAGACAGCTTAACAGACTCTGTAGAGAGTCGGCTTAATTAGCTGGCGCCCAAATATCAGGTCCCATTTCTGGACTAATTGTGGTGGGTCTCCGACCACGTTCCTGCCCAAAAATGAAGCCCCTCTGGTGCTGAAAATGTATACAAATTGTTGCACCGTTAACTGCTCTCACTGTTTCTGGCGGAGATGATCTCGCATACTGCTTGCCTGCAACTGGAAACGTCAAATTAATAAACTGCCGGACGTACCACAAGCTGTGAAAAAGCAATCTTTGCCTGCATGCCAGGCCTCTAGAGTGTTTTTCCAGCTTGTTAGTCCACCTCAAGTCCACTCCCATTCCGATCCACTCCCCGTTCGTAGGGCTTAGTGAGCCTTTCAAGATTTATGCAGTTCGCGCGGATGTCGGAGATCCGAGGAAGCGGAGCTCCACTCCAAAATCCAAATAAGAGCCGAACAGAGGACTCCCAAGGTACACTTGAAAAAACTGGTAAGCCTCCCTTAATATATTAGCAGCCGAATCAAAGCTTTTTTTTTTATTAAAATACCAAAGAATTTTTGTTATCGCCAAAAGTAGAAAAAATGGATAAATGTTTTCCAAAAATTTCTCGTAGTTATCTGCACTTTTTATTTAAAGTGGTAAAACGAATAGTAATCTAATTTATTAAAAGTGCAGCCCCTGGCCGAAAGAAAAAGAAAGAGAGGGAGAGCAAGTCTCGTTTTGGTTTTGATTTACGCTGAAATAAATTAAAATATCATAAAAAGGAAATTAAAATTCATTCGCACAACAAAGCTGGACTCCGACTCCGACGCTCGACTCTCGACCCCGAGTTGATTTCGAGGCCCGACTGGGGGCTCTTAGCTAATTTCTGAACAAGTAAAAATACAAATAAATATTTTAATGTGTGATTTACGACAATAGCTCGCACAGGGGGTCGACGTGGGCCACTTTGGTGTTGGTTTTGAGCTCCAACTCCGACTCCAAACTCGGCTCTCGAGCTGGAGTTCTGGTGCCAGTGGCGTCTTGGGCTGCATTTTGATTGGATTTCTGTGCTTCTGGCGCTCGTGTGGAGTGCCAAGCCCGATTTCCAGCCCATGTTCCACATTGAAATACAATTTAAGCGCCTTTAATGAAGCGACGGTGAAACAGATCGAAGAAGTACAAAGGGTTTTGTTAAGATTTTCGACTAAGGAATTATGAATATATCTGAATAGTAATGAATAACATACTGGTGACGGGATTATATTTTAGCCCATTTAAGAACAATGTCGAGACCAGCGGATTGTGTTTAATTCGAAAATTAACTTTAATGCATGTTGAGAATTGTTATTGGCACATCCAGTGAGACAAATTTAACGACCCCATCGCACCGCAATTCTAATCGAACTGAGTTGCGTTAATGGCCGACGATCAATTTCAGATTTATGCGGATACCCCAAGCGTTTCCAGACTTTGCATATAAAAACGAGAGAGGCTCGTAAAGTATCGAAAGGGGCAGCCCGAAAATGGACTGCAATTAATTAAAAAACCATTGACATTCATAAAAAGTAAATTGTGGCAACAGCGAGCGGAAGCAAACATAATGTCCCACTATTATGAAATTCATCAAACAATTTTTTCAGCACACTTGCCGAGCTCGGGTTGCCTTGGTTCCTCTCCTCTTCAGAGTGCCAGGCGATGAGTATTTATTAACAGGCTGCGCTGGACCGAATCGATCACCGTTGCGATGCCAAAACACCTGCCCAGGCACTACAAATTCAAGCTAGGGAGGAGAGCGTGATTCTACGGGGTAATTTGTCTTCTTTCCATGTTTTAATTATCGCAGAACATTGCACTTTTATTATAAATTATATTCATTTTTACATAGGATCAGGATAAGAGATATTTATGTAAAATATACTGTTTTCCTCTTTGCGGTAGTCCCGTATTGGGATGAGTTTTCACTCGTAATATCACCTCATCTCTAGCTTTGAGTGATCGAAGCATCAGCAGCAAGATGCTGTTGATGATGATGGGTATTAAAGCTGGTGATGGAGTTGGTTATGTTGATGGCCAGGGCGATGGCGATGGGTCGGTGCTGTAGCCCCGAGCCGGCTAACGAGCGCGAAATAATGCGCGAAATATGGAGCAGAGGGATGGTTGGCTTGAGTGTCCCAGAACCCGAAAACAGGGAACAGGCCGTAGAGCCACCTGAACCAGCAGCCCGGCAACGGTGGCGACTGACAGAATTATAATCAATTAGTGGAGCGGCTGCGTGAGCGCATAAAATTATATATTCCAAGGCTCCGGTCTCAATTGGTGTAACGCGTAGCGCAATTTAGTTTAAATTAAAATAAATTCAATTACGAGAACATGAAAATCCATTACGTAAATTATTGTCATTAAATGTGCAATTTGGCCGGTGAGCGTTTATGAAATTTTTGATTAAATTTCTGACGCTTCGCTGAAAGCATTAACCCCCCACAAAAGTCAGAAACGAAAGACTCTGGCCGCAAACTCATTCGCGAAGGAAAGCACATGTCCGCCCCTGGAGAGGGAGAGGAAGAGATGGGCAGAGAGATCGCTGCCGGGTGGCTATTTAATTAATTATTTAATCCCAGCGATTAGCATAGCTCCGCTCCCAGATCCCAGGCATCCTCTCCTCTCTCATCCCAAGCCCAGTCAGCCACTTTCATTCATAGATCGCCAGTTCGGGCCAAGTCACACGCCACTGAAACGGGTTAGACTTGCTAAACGATTCGTTAGATAAGATATGTGTATATGTCCGTTATCGCATATGGCCAGCTTACTGACTCGCCCGGTTGGCCGGTTAGTTAGTTATAGCCACAAAGTTAGTTAGTGAGTGAGCAACTGACGCGTTTGATGGGAACTTGCTGCCGAGTGTCGCATTTAATTTGTTAACTCAGCTAATCAGCTAAAGTTTCAGGTCCGGACTTAATTTTAAAGCGATTACCCTTCTTAATATAAGTTAATCATTACAGATCTCGTTTTGCATTTATCTCACTTTGCAAGTTTCACACTACACTAAATCCAATGTCCAATATGACGATAAAATTTCTGTTTTAAACTTGCTTTTCCTCCTGCTTATCCCTTCTGCCTTTATAATTTTTATTTGCCCAATTTAGGCTTCCAAGTTTTGTCCGCCTGCCCGCTTAGTTGCTAAATGATTGCTGGGCCAGCTGCAGTTTGGATCGAAAATTGCTAGACCAAACAAAAACCAAACTACTTAGCCGCACACTCGCCGCATCGGTAATTGAAAATCGATAATCTCTTTGAACCAGTTTGGTCTGTTGATCGCTGCCCCTTCGGAGCTCTTGTGGATCCTCCAGCCATGTTGGCTTTTCTGCTGCCCACAAAGAGAAAAATCTTAACCGCAAATCGTCTGCAAATTGTAACCGCAGATGAAGGTGGACCGGAGGATTTTGGCGGGGATCTGGAAAGGTTCGGGTTTGTGGGGAGGAGCAGGCAATTGCGATTGATTTTAGCACGCTTAATGGTTATTGGTTTAGCTATTGGCTGGATCAGGAACTTGCACTCCAACTTGGTTGTTCGATGATGATGCCTCCTCTCGCTGGTAATAATCCTCTGCTGCTGCCACACCATAAATTACAAATAATTCGATTTACACAAGATTTTCACTCTTAATGGCCGAAAATGGCCCCGGCCGTGAAAATAATGATGAAAACAAACAAAACTTAATAAGATTTTAAGCGATCTGCTGCGGGTAATTGCCCAGCATCCCCTTTCCATCTGTCTGGCTGATTGAAAAATCAGGCAAATAGCGTAGGAATGGCCCGAAATGTGAGCAATACTCTGAGCCACATCCGCAGGCACCTCGTTGCCACATTAAGCCATTAAAGTTTCGGCCAGGAGCAGCCTTCTGCTCTCGCTCTTGTCACCCAAATGCCGTGGATGCCCGACTAAATGGCAAATTAGTGAGTCGAGCGGGCTAAAAAGGCAGGCTGGGCAGTTTCTTTTTTTGGGAGGCACGTCCAAATATATTTGAGTGAAACTCCACTACACTGCAACTTTATTCAGTCAGAAAATTTCAAAAACTTAACTTAAGCTTTGTAGTAGGTTAGGCAAAAGTTAGTTTTAAATGATTTTTTTAAATAGTTTTCTCTCAGTGCTCAGAGGCAGCTGCTGGGAGCGTCCTATTTAATTTCAGATACATATTTTTATTATGCTGTTGCCGCTTGTCAGATTTTGCACCGGCATGCCGCAGATGCCTCGCTGGATGGCAATTTTAATTTGTGGCAAACTCGAATTATAATTCGCATTGCGACGTGGCCGGCCAAGTTAATTACTGCTGCCCCGCAATTATCGAAAGGCAAACGCTCCATTTATCGACGGAATTTGTTTTGATCTCCAATCGTTGGGATTCCTGTTTTCTACAGACCCATTTCTGCCCCATCTGATCCGGCTGATTAGCCTAATCTAATCTTGCACGCCGCAACACCTACGACTGGAAAATGGTCGAAAACGGTTTAATCAGCTCATTATCGATCCTAATGCCCAGCTGCGTGGGCTGGAGTCCCCGAAACGAGTGGAATATGCTAATTCCCTCAAGCGATCCGATCTCTTACACATGTCTTCCGCAGATAAGCTAAGGAGGCGTAGAAAATGCCCGACCCAAGACTTTTATGTTTATTTAATTAGCGCATTCATTCCGTTTTCACTGGCTTTGGTTCGAATTATCAATTCTGTGCCCGCATGGGAATGGGTCAGTAGGATGTAACACATCGCGCTATATATAGATGGCTTATGTCTTCCTATGACAATATGTGGGAATACTTTATTTAAATGTACTTCAGAAATGCTTAAGAGATGTACTGACTTTGGGAAGTATTGATATGTAGATCTATTAGTAGTAATTTTTTACTACATACTTAATATTTCGGTTGTAAAGATTTAATTAACCTCTTACTCACAGCTACTAGAACTAGAAAACTCTCTTCCTTTCAGTAAGTCCCTGATGTAGCCTTGCGTGCGAGGTGTGCCCCACGAAGTGTCTCGTGCTAAGTTGTTTCTGCTTCTGCTGCTGCTGTTCGGCTACCAATTGCAGCAGATTCCAGAGTCCCCTCGTCGAGTGGCAGCCATGAGCGGAGATCCCGGCACCCCACATCCATGCCACAGGTAACTCACCGAAGATGTCGATAAGGATCGATGTTTAGCTGGGCTACGTTTTAATATTGTCTTGGCCCGGCACACGTTGCCATGATTTGGGGCGGGTCTACGACAACCGAGGAGGGTACTTTACGGGGAAATGGGGATCTTCAGGTCTTCACGCTGGGTTCCTCTCTTACAGCAACTTCGGTAGTCGATCCGTACTCGTTCCACCTTCTTGTAAGTTTATTTCTGTGTTCGTTTCGCACTCAGGATGAGTCATCGCTTGTATGGCTAATGTCCACTTTTTAGCTTTCCCGACGCCCCACTCTTTCCCTCCTTCCACATCCTCACAATGTCTCTCCTCTGGTATTTCGTTTTCATTTGGGTGGCTTCGAGTGCCCTGACTTTTGCTTGTCAATGCGCGACGTCTTTGATAACTAATTGCCACGGCGCCAAATGTTTCTCATCGTCTTCTTTTTTGGGTCTCTTCTGAGGGTCCCGTGTCGCTTTAGAGGAGTATAATAAAAGTCACGGCGTTACCGTTTTGTCGGCGCTTATGAGCACTTAGGTTCAAAATTATAGAATTCTTTTCATAAAAAACCAAGAACACTTCATGTATTAGTTGTGTTAAAAACTTAGTCGGAATACTCGAATTTCAAAGACTTAAGGTTAGTTTTTGAAATTTTACATAGATGATAAAAACAAATAATGAAAAAGTCGTTTGGAATTCTATCAAAAAGTAATAAAATCATTGTATAAATATGTGTTTTATTTTTTTGAATGGTGTTTTTGTCATCTTATATTTCGATGAGGTGATTTCATATATAATCTGATAAATTTGCCCAAAAGACTCGCGTTTATCGCGGAGATTATCTCATCGCTGATCCCACTATATCTGCTCTATAAATATATTCACATGTAACTGGATTTCTGGTATCATTCACATGCGAACAGTTTTATGCTGCTGCCCCTGCCCCTGCCTCTGCCCTGCCCCTTTCACCATAATTCTCATGCGGAGCAGAAAGTTCGTTGCCTAAGTCTTTTGTTTGCCTCAATGAATTTATAATTTCTGAATTGATTCCCACCGCAAGGTATTGCCCATAATCCAAATAAATGTTAGGCTGTGATATCTGACCAAAATCGTGAGTATCTATAAACTTTGTACATATAAATTTCAGGGCCAAAACGAATTTAGTATTAAGATTTCTGCGAATTTTCATTAGCATTTACCCACTTCTGCGGTCACTAGTCGTGAAAAACTCAGCCATTTTCATTTTCCATTTATTTCAATTTTTGTTGCCAAGCTTAATCAAAGTGGCGCTAATTAGTTTGAGTCGTTTGGATAATTGCAAATTAAACGCAAACTTAATTGCGCCGCCACACGAAAACACACATGTGCAGCGCGGCAATTACATATCCAGCAGATACAGCGAAAAGCAAAAACTAAAGCTGCATTTTGCCTGCAAGGCAACAAAAAAACATATGGAGAAAGAAGGAAAATAAGCAGAAACTGCCATGGAAGTATCAGTTTGTTGTTGCTGCTCATTCGTGGCTCGTGGAATTAGCAATTAGCTCGCTTTGAAGTTAAATTGAATTAAACTTAAACTAAAAAGCAGTACAAATGCTTCTGTGCTAATTTGCTAACAAACTTTCGTGGCTTATAGAAAATAATAGAGATGTTAGACAAACAGGTGGCGTGGGGAAATATAATTATTGTTTTATTGGTATGGGCCATAAAATTAAGGCGAGGAATTAACATGTGCATTTTGTTATAGAAGGAACTAGTTGGAAATAACTATTGGTTACTATTAATCTATGTGTTTAAATCGAGCTCGCTATTCCGCATAGTGTATATAAATATAGTGTATTAAAAAGATAAATAATTGCCTGAAAATTGTTTTAGGAATATATAAATTCATAAACTACCAGCTAAATGGCTTACTTACCCTAAACTATTTCCTACAGTAGGGTTGTGCAATCGTTAAAGCAGATCGTATATCTCAAAGGCAGACACCAAAAAAACTAAGCTAATTGCAAATCAAATCAAAGGGGCTGTAATTAAAATGCAGTCTCTTAATGTCAGCGTTAATTAGTCGCCTTAATTAATGATTATTAATATGGTTGTTGAACCTCCAACCCCCGTCTGACCTCGTCTTGGCTTGATTATTATGCAAATTAATTGTTTCGATCTTGCTCTTGGCTATCGTTCTCGTTCTCGTTGGGGTTCTGCATTTGACGAACTCATTGAAATGCATGAAATGCTGCCTGCCTCGGAGGGGAGATGGCCAATATAATGGAGGCCCGTCGGTTAAACATGATTATCACAGTTCCACCTCATCGCAATTACCAGGCCATCTGAGGAGGAGTCCTCAGTCGATGGAACTCCCTCTGCGTCTTCTTATTTTCCCGCACTGACTGAACGAAAAATGAACGGCTGACCAAAAAATCTGGTAATCGAATTAGGCAACTTCGTGTTTTATAAATGTTATCATAAATATTCCATTTTATTAATTACCGCGCATAATTCACCAACAAGAAGCCAGAGAAGCAGAGAGACAGAGACTCCGATAGTGGACGCCCCTCTCTTTGAATCTTCGACATTTAATTCGTCTCCGAACGGCTAGTCTCATTAACATACTTAATTCGTTTCTAATATATTCATAAATTTATATTTGTGGCACCCTCTCCCAGATGATGGCTGGCTTTTTGTTTTTGTTCGCTCCATTCCGATGCCCCTTCACTTGCTGATTTATGGGAAGAGCACTGATTAATGGCAGCTTCGACTCCGGATCCGAGCCGAAATCGTTCCTGACTCCTAAGATCTGGTCGGACTGGCTATGATTCAGTTTCTGGGCTGGATTACACGACCCCCTCTCTCCACCTAAGTAGGTGTTGTTACGCACATTATGAAGGGGCCTCTGTCCATTAGGCCTCGGCTTATGGATAATTTGTGGGAATAACCGAGGAAACACAAAGAGATGATGAAGAGCCAGGCGTTGTTCGGTGTGTTCCCAATGGGAAATTAGCGATAATAAACATGGCTTTATGCATAGACCCACAATTTCGAATCCCAAGCCGTGTATTTTTTGTCACCCGTGAAATTTTGATGTGTGTGTTAGTTCTACGGTTTTTCTCCTGGTGCTGTGCATTGGTGTAATATATTAACTTTGGGACTGCTAGTTTGTAATTAGTTTTCCATAAATTTTATTCAATTTTCAACCTTAAGTACATTCAATTAAATAACTTACAAGCCTAGATTTACAGTGAACGGGAAAAGTTTTTGCACTTGGGCTTGGAATCCTTGGAACTCACTTTCTCCTTCAGCTAGCTGACCACATCGTTTCCGTGTCCATTCTGACGCAGCAGTTCTAACTTCAGTTCGTGCTCCCTGGCCTTCAGACGCAGTGCGGCAATGGAGGATGTGCGTCTGTCCTCAGGAGGCGTGGCTGCTCTGGGTGGAGGAGGAGGAGGCTGATGCGATGGAGGTGGTGGTGCCAGTTGTCGCTGGGGAGAGTGCGACAAGGTCAGAGCCACCGGAGAAGTCTGGGTGGGCGATAGGCAAGGCGCCTGGTGGGTTAAGGCAATCCCAACTAGTTGTTGGGGTGAAAGTTGAGCGGGCTGGACTCCAACAGGCATTTGAGGAGGCGCCTGAGGGGGCGGTGGATGACCGACCGGGTGTTGTTGATGCTGAGAGGCATGTCCAGAGGCGGGAGAAGTGGGTGGGGAGGCAAGCAGGTGGTTGGGCGAGTGGAGATCGGGGGATCCCACCAGCAGGGCGGCAGGTTTTCCTAGAGGGGGACCTCGTGGAACCGCCGTCATATTGGCCAGCAGCGATTGAAAGGAGCTCGAAGGGGAGTACATGCCAGCCATCCCATGAGGCAACATGTGGGGAGGAGCCCTGAAATAATCATAGACAAATTATATAAAGCCATTTTATTTAAAATATATATATATATAATATGTCTTATCAAAGGAATATGATAGCACCTAAGGATTACTTACCTCTGGAATTGGTTGAAGTAGCCCGACGGAATCATGGGAGCGGCGGAGAGATGAGGATAGCGAAAGGCGGCCAGATTGGCGGCGTGTTGAGCGTCGAAGGGTTTACGCAGCTGGAAGCCGAGGTGGCTGAAGGGATTGGGCGGGAGGGCGGCCCCCACAACCGTCTGCATGGTAGCGGCGCCGCTGGGCAGGTAGGGATTATACGGATGCGACTGGGGGCCGACCTTCTCCTGCTTGCGCCACTTGGCACGCCGATTCTGGAACCAAACCTGGAAGGTATGGAAGTAATGGAAATCATGAGTTATGTGCTGCTGGCAGGCTACTGTATCTGCGTCCACCTTGGAGCACTCCGCTCCCAAAGCATCCAATTAATGGGCGTTGTTATTGAAAACGCCCCTTTAATTAGTTTTTAACATAACAATCTGAATATGGAGTCCGTCCCAGGATCTCCCTTTACTGATTGCGCTCGAATAGGAGCCGGAAAAGGAGTCTCCGTCCCAGTCGAAATGAATGTAGGCAAATAATGTTGTTTAGCATGAGCAGTAATTAAAAAGAAGCGGCGACTTCCCGGCCATAAACATACCGGGCATGTAATGACTGGCACTAAAACAGAATTAAATGAATTTCCCTGGCCTCGGACCTCCGCTGGCTGCCTGTCTAGTCCCGTCTCGATTTCATTAGTAGCGACATGCTCCATTATTTTTCAATTTTCAACATTGTTGGCTGCACGTGGGCCACTTGAATTAACCGCAAATCTCTGCAGCTTTGCCTCTGAGTTCTCATTTTTTGCGAAATGCTTACCTGAATGCGCGCCTCGGTTAATCCAATTTTCATCGCCAGCTCCTCTCTGCAAGAAGATGAAAGAGATACGTCGTTTAGCTTGGATTTGGGTCGGGTAATATAAAGCCCTACGAGTGATCTCAAACTGATTGTGTCTTTGGAAACTTCATCAATGATAAAATGAAGTCCGCAGCTTCCTAGTCCTTAAAGATATTATATCCCTCTAATATTAGCTTTGCATCACGAAAGCTTATTGAAACCTTAACAAAAAGTCAAAGGCGAGTTGATTTATTTGCTTAATTAATTGCCGAGCATTTAAATGAACCCGCAGGCTAATGAATTGAGTTCTGCCAGAGATATGGCAAAAAGTTGATCTAATTGTGGCTGCGATTGACTTTAAGCTCACTTTTTTATTTCGGTTTTAAGTTAGAGTCTGAGCTTCGTGCGGTCTCAATTAGCGTTCACTTCGGTTCCTCGACTGAGAAGTGACTGACTTTTAATTTATGGCAATTACTATCGCTGTCTTTCAACCACATTGCTGCATGCTAATTGCGATCGTTACCGTTTCTTAGGGCGAGGAACACGAGATGGTGTTATTACGGCTATCTAAGGAGGAGTTCCCCCCATATAAGCAGCTGTTCGAAATAAGATCGATCGATCCACTCAGGGGGGTCGCCTCTTTATGAGCATTTTTATTATCACCTGAACGTTTCCCATATTCGTGTCGTAAAACCGAGAGTCAACTTTCAAGCCTTTGTCGCGCCTCGATGAGCGATTTATGCAAATTTCTTTTCTTTCGGGCCACTCAGTTTGTTCGGCTTTATTCTTATCGAATTTTGTCATATGTTACTCACCTCGTAAACACGTCGGGATAATGGGTCCGGGAGAAGGCCTTCTCAAGCTCCTCCAGCTGAAAGCTGGTGAAGGTTGTGCGATAACGACGTTGCTTCCGCTTTGGGGCGTACTCGTCCGCCTCGCAGTCACTGTTCCCGTCCGAAATGGGGCTGTTGGTACCGCCACTTGCTCCACTGGCACCACTGGGCGTTGCGCCGGAGACCGACATTGAAACCGTTAACGCTGCGCCGGTGGAGGCGGCCGACGATCCGGGGGCGCGGTCCACCAGCACTCCGGCATCTGGGTGCGCTAGCTTGGCTTCTTGCGGTAGTTCCTCCAGCTTGATCTCCTCCGATATGCCCATAATCTAGGAGGGCGATCTGATCTAAGCTCGAAGGCAGCGGCTGCACAGGAAAAAATAAGCATCATCTAGTTAGTTTTGAGGGTTTAATCTTGTTTTAAGAGAAGTATTCGTAACAAAATAACTTATATAAATATTAATCCCAAATCCCGTTGTCAATATTATTATTTGCTTTAAAGTTATTAAGTCATTGCTTAACCTTTTATGATGAAGAGTGTAAGGGAAAGATATCTAGTTAGTCTCGCATTAGAAGCTTGTAATTCAATAAACGCTAAACGTGCAATTATCTTGCACTTTATTATGCCAATTTCCGTAATTTGCCATCTAGCCATGACCAAGTCAACGGCTGGGTCGGGACTCGTCGGTTGAGGTTAGCTGCGGTTACACTGGCCTACAGGGTTTGGCCGAGGGTCTAGGGAGTGCCAGAGCTTGCTGAGAGGGAGTGCTAAGATCTGACTCTGAAAAAGGTCAATGCCGACTAGAACACATCTTGTTTTTCAGAAATATATAGCTTAGAATGAAATCTAATAAAATTAAAAAATTAAATTAATTATACTTCATGTCTACTATTTGGTGTAATGTACAGTAAAGTATAAATATATTTGACTATATGTTAATTAAACTTAATAACGTTTATCTGCCAATAAAGCCAAATACCTCTTAATCTACTGCTCGAGAAAGAAGATGTATTATTCAACTTTTCCATTTTTAAAACCATCATAAAATATGATTTATTACTTTCTATTCCAGAAGCTATTCCTTAGTTTTAGTGCCAAATTTCGTTGAGATGAGTGCTTTTTCTAGGGGCTAGTTAGCCGGCTGGCTGCTCTGCGGTCTGGAAGCGTGCCTTACGGTCATGGCTTCCACTTTATTTCGAGATTCATCTTCGGGTTGAGGTTTCCGCTGCTGAGTTGCAGCTGCTGACGAACTTGCCTCAATGCAAATCGATGACCACAGCATGGGGCTGTCCGTCAGCTGATCTCTCCCATCAACACGTCTTTGGTCGGGCGCTGAGTTGGGTTTATTTTGCTCCCCGCTCTCCGCTCCCCACTCCTCGCTCCGAGCAACAACTTTCATGTGCAGATCGTTTGGAATTTTAATTAAATTGGGCGGCAACTTCATTTTCATCATCATCAACTCAACGGCTTCGCTCAGGCAGTCTCCAGACCCGTGTCCAAGTGGCTTCTATCAGACCAAATTAATATCAGGTGCCAGTTGGTCCCCGGGCTTCTCTCTGACGAACAGCAGCCGAAGTTTAAGTTTGGTAATTCCATGTTTTGCTAATTAATATACGACGACTTTTAATGACAACTAAATGGTTAGAGCCGCCGTGTAACCTTCCCCCTTCGCATTCATCTGTGAACTTCAGAACTCAGGGACATATGTACCTCCGGACCCTTTCCCATGCCCAAAACTCGGCTTGATTGATGGCCGCCGCTTCTGTTGACATCTCTACATATATCAAAATTGTCCAAATACCTTGTTAAATGGCAAATTAGTGTGGCGGTGATTGATTTAGTTGCATTCTTGCGCGGAATGAAGTTGCAACCGTCGAACAACCGAAGCTGGAGGAAGCAAATGTGCACTTAAAAATATTACTTGCGATCCGTTTTTTCAAATATTTCATCTAAAGTTAGATTGTTGGTAATCTCTCTATCATTGATCAAGGAACATAAGAACAGTATTTTTGTATTTATGACTATATTACACCGAAATCACAAATATTTTCCCAAGTGCATCTCAACTGGTTCATGAGGCTTTCAATGTCAGCAGGGCTCAGCTTGAGTGGCATCTTTCTTCACCTCGCCGAAGCATTCCGCATGAATCTTTCCTGCCAGTAAACTCCAGTTCATAACTCTCTTCTGGGCTCGATCATAACTTCGGTTATGAGTTGGACTGTCAGTTTTCAATGTTGTCAACGAATTCCGTGCATTGACAGCTGACAAACTTAATTTGCGGACCGCAAATTATTAAATTAGTTGTACGAATTGCAATTATGCTACTAGCTCCCCCCGAGTTCATTATAAGACCCGCACTGATTAATTCATCGCATGTGACTGCGAATGCACTGCGAATGGGAACCGTAGAGCAGTTTAGAGCTATGTTGGGAATGTGTGCCGTTCGGCTTTGTTGTAGAGCCGCCTTATAATTGTATCCGCGTTACGACTTTATTATAGCCCAGGCAATCGGAGCAGGAGGAATAGGAATCCTCCGCTGATTGACGTTTCGCTGGGTAATTAAAAGGCCAAGACTTCGCTGGAAACTGGAGACTGTCAAGTTTTTGACGTCTGCCTACCGATTTGGCTTGGTCGCGATGGCATGGCTTCATTTAGTTTTAGCCAGTGGCCAACTGGCCAACTACTAATGAAGTTAGCGCTGCACTTGCTCTGCCCAAATCCAGACACCAGAAGCACTCCAGGAAGCCTTCGATGTGAATGGGTGGGGCCGCGAACTTCTTGTGCTCTTCTAGCGGGGGCGATTTCGTGGCTAACATTTTGACACAACTTCTCGGCGTCTTTGCCCCTTTTAGTCCCTGCATGCTAATCAGGCCAAGCGCCAGTCCAACTTCTCCAGACCAAGTCTCATTCCGAATCTCAGCCAAAGTCTGGGCTTTCGGCTTTTGAGTTACAGTCCGAGTCCGAGTCTGGCAACTTGTTTGCGGTTGCTTGTTCCGTTTAGAGATAAGCTCCATTAGTGTCTGGGGAAATATTTAAGAGCAACATTGTAGGCTGTGTGGGTTTCCTAGCCCAGTCCAGTCATAAATACACTGTGAGAAAAGCAAATATAAATCGTAGAGGATGCTATTTATTGATCGAATATAGAAAGTAGATTCTTCCGATTCGACTCAGTAGCCGGAAACTTTCTCAGTGCAGGGATATGGAAAATGAAGAAATTAATTCGTAGTGCGAAACAAGTGTCCTTATATTCGGTTCTCCACTGACCGTTGTCCGAGGCCCACTGTCCGGTGTCCGCCGTCCGTTGTCGTCACTTCTGTCATCTCGATAAGCATCAATGTTTCTGCCCTGCCTGGCTGCTCTTTCCACAACTCAACTCTTCTGTGCAGAAGACTCGTCTTCAGCTGGCTCGTTCATGTTTGGTGTTGTTTTTATGGTTGCACTTTTGTGTTTTTAGCTTCACCAGCTCCCGATCTTCCCGATCCGATCCTCGATCCTCGATTCTCGGTGTCTGGGGACTGTTGTGCTGGCATATTTCATTAAAAGCCGGGCCGGAGGGACGACATCAGGTAGAACAGCAAACAGAAGCTCTTTTCTGGCATTTTGTTAATGCGTCTCCGTCTTGGGCCTCCACTGCCCAGACTTTGGTTTCTTGACTCCAGTTTCCAGTCAGTCCCCGGTCTGGCCAGTATCTGGGCTGCTTATTTATGGGTTTACATTAGGCTAAACCACTTTAGTCACACTTTGATGATCGGCATTGTAATTTCGCCCCCGGCGCCTCGATAATGGCAAACATTTTGGGTGGCTTAACTTTGAGCCCCAGGCGAAAGCTCACTGGTTGTCCCCTCGCTAGTGTGTGGTCCCTTCGAGATGTTGATGAATTGGCCAGACCCAATAGTCTCGGTTCGAAGCGGTCAATTATTAATTTTCGACCAGATCACGTGAGTCACCCAGAAATACATAAAACTGATATCAGAAGCAGCTGAGCGTCGACTCCGCAGCGTTTATCCCATTTTAAGCTGCACCTGAGCCCTCCGTTGGACATTCGTGGTTTGGGGTTGTTGTTGGGCTGTTTGTTTCTTGGCGCCGTCTTTTGGACCAGGTGCGATAAGGCAGCATTCTTGTTGTTGGCCAGGCGCCGTCATCACCGTCTCAGTTTCTGTATCTCTTTCTGTCCCTCTCCCTCTTCTTCTGCGCTCCTCGATATGGCCTCTAATGCACAGTGTGTGCATTATTCAATTATAATTAGTTTATTCACATCCTGTGTCGAAGCTGCTGCCTCATTTGTTATTCTTTTGCTGCAATCTTAATTCAATTTACTGGCTATCAGTCGGAGTCCCAACGAAAGTTAGGGTGCCACGTGGCACAAGTTCGGCATAGAAGGTTTTGGGTTCCTTCAATAATATTTTAATAAAGTATACTGCGGAGATCATCTCAACTTTTGAATGGTTAAGGACGTTCTCAATACCAGAGAATGCTTTTATAGCTCCTTAAAAACCAATATAACGAACGACTTTACAATAAAATTACAAAAATATTGAAAGTGACTTAAAATCAAACTCACTTCGAGCTCTCCAAGGGCATTTGAACTTCGCTTTCAGGTAGAAGACTTCAGTTCTGGCCACCCCAATGGAGAAGACTGCTGCTACGGTAGCCCTAACGTAGTCGCAGGTTCAAGTTGTGACTCAGAGCTGGAATCAGAGTCAGAGACTGAAGACCCAGACAGAAGACCAAGATGTTGTTGACGGTGAATAGTGATGCTGTAGGTACAAGCTTAGCCCATGTCGGTGATGTTGTTGCGGGGCCAATTACTCATAAAATGCATGTTAAGGACAGCAGTCGAAGCGAGGAGCTATGTAATGGAGCCAAGGGGGATTTGGAGGGGATCTGGGGATTGGACAACTGTTGCCCGACGCCATCTCAATCGCCGTCTGTTCCGCTCTGCCCTTTGTCATTGCCTTGTGTGGTTTGATAAGCGAATCCGAAGCAGACGGTGGGCAATTTGAGAACGACGACGTTAATTTCTCATGTTTGCATGTTCCATTTAGCGAGGGGAACAAGGACGGGGCCGAGAATTAATGAAGCACATCTCAATGGACCCTGGCGCCATCTTCCCGATGGAGAAGATTCATCTCCGGAGGTGTGTTGCCATCAACTATCATCCCTTCAAAAGACAGCGCCCCAAATTGGGAGCTGTCGAGCAATCGAACATCACCGAATCAAATGATATCGGAATTTGTGTTCAGATACCTGCCGAAAAGTCGGTTATATATCTATGAGAAACCGAAACAGTATCTAAAGTATCTGTCGACAAGTTTTAATTGTATGTTGCCGTAATTGAATTGAACTGCCAGTGAACTGGAGAACATATTTTAATTTTAGGCAGCCTCAAGAATCTGGCCAATCTTATCGGATCTTTTCGGTATTATCTATTGGGAAAGATGCTACCCAGAGATTGACATACTCGTACACTGCCAGCTATTTGCGTCACAATTTCGATTAAATTTGTGCTGACAAGTCGCTTGCGTTATGGGTTATGGGTATTAATTAAATCAGTTGGCCAAGTGCCCGATAATCACCAGGAAACTTTCCCATGGAACTTCGGGATACCTTGGTGGGCTCCCGGCTTTCTTGCGGTCTATCTGGATCCACATATCTATCTATATTTGTGTTATTTTCTATATAAGCTCGAGGCCCTCGTCCACGTCAAAAATGTAAGTGGTCAGGGGCTTTTGACACGATTATCGGAGAGCGATAGCTGCGGCCAGTTAATTTCATTTATTCTGTAGATACACACGGGTACAAGCAGAAGACTCTGCCCCCTAACTTCCCACCCAACCCCTCCGAAAATCGGAAAAACATCAGCTAGACAAAACGTGATTTATTGCCACCGACTGCGCCGCTGACAATTTGTACTTTTTAATGGTGTTTAATTAAACCCAATCAGCGATAAACTTATCGAGCTATCAGCGTGAGGCAAAGGCAAAGTCTTCTGCCCCCCAAAATTGAGTTAATCAAATTCTTATTCTACAGCAAAGATACGATTAGGCTTGATATTTGTCTGATTTGATATGTCCAGGTGGGGAATTAATCAAATTTAATGATATTTAATTTTCGTTATACCTTTTCAAGCTGATTGGGATGATTAGTCGGTGGAATTATGAAATATATTTGTGGGTTATACGTGTAATATTTGTCTATCATGCTGAAAAGTAGGTTAGACCCAAGGAGTGGTTAGGGAATTGGCGATAAGCGGTTTCGGAACTGATCTTAAATGGATCACTTTGACCGGAAGGTGGGTATTTAATACTGACAGATACTATAAAACTCCTTATGTTGTAAGTAATGTAACTTTTTTTTTCAAAACATTTTTCTTTTATATGGAAATAAATTCTATTTGTCAAAAAGTGTGTAACAGAGTGCATTAATGATCAGGATCTCTAGCTGTGTTCGTCTGTCCGTCCGGTTGTGTCTTTATCGGAATGCTTTTATCTAATATATGGTTCTACAACAACAACGATTCTACGTCATTATAGATTTTACAGCGATATAATATCAGGTGCATATTTATTATGAAATTAGTAAACAGATATCTCGGCATTCGTGTATAGCTTTCCAATACTCTTAAGTAAGTTGTAGATTAAGATAGAGTAAACTTACCTTCTCTTGCTTGTTGATCTGTGGTTCTATGTATGTACAGATAGAATAGACGTAACTTGTGACCTCCTCAGAAACTAAATCTTCTGTTTTTATTTTGGTTGTTGCCTCCGACAACACTGGCCTTATCAGCCCTGAAACTTTACACCAACCGGAACACTTGCCGACGGTCTTTCGTCTATTCGTCAAACAACCAGAACTCGAAAGTCTCAGGTGCCCACTCGGATCGCGGCTCAAAGGAGAACGAGTACGGATGAGAATAGCTATAGGTGCCGACACTTTTTCACGACTTTGGACACTTTTCGGAAATAATGATATATTTCCCACTCGACAACTCGAAACGAAACGAATCGGAAGCGAACGCTACGATGATGACCGGGCTGTTTCAGAGCCGCCAGCAAACTACACGGTGAGCAGTCGGCGCGCCGGTGAAAACTCAGGTGGGTCTCTAACAACAACCGGTTGGAGTTGTTGCTTCCCGATGTTGCGAGAGTGGTTTGCTGGCCTTCTAGTGGCTTTAGTGCCACAGAGCGAGAGGGAGCGATGCGATCGGAGCGTGTCGATCGATCGTCGCAGGTGTCGCAGGTGAGGCGGCAGGTGAGCAGAAGGCGGACTCCGCCCCTTTCCGGGTACTCGACCTATGGGAGACCGGCATTCAACAGAGCAAAATAATGGCGGTGCTGCTCGCTGCCCCTCTCTGTCGCTCCGCATCGCCCTCTCTCTCGCTCTCCCGTCGATTGGGCGTAATTGAATAAGCCCCGCACAAAGTGCAATAAATTTGATTAGCAAAATGGAAATTTATTTGCCCCCCAGCTCGACGCGCTTTCCTCTGGTTGCCATAGATGCGTTCGCGTTTGCGTTTCCCAGTTGTTGCGGCTCATAAATTAAATAATTTAGCCAAGACATATGGGAAAAGGGTTGCGTGGAGTGGGTTCGGGGATTTGGACCCGGCCATATAGACCGTTTTGGTAGTGTAAAGGGCCTCGTTAATGACTTTGTTGCCTTTATTGGATGATTGCCGGAATCGGACGTAGACTGTAGTTTGTTGACCTTTCGGAGTTAAGGTGTCAAGTGGGGAAATGCAGTGACCCACGAAAGGGTTAATGAGTGCCCTAAGCAGATGACTAAACTTTAAATTGGATGGGATGATTATTAAAATACGAAATTATATCGTTTTATTGATGATGATTCAAGATGCACTAGTTAGTTCTTAGTTTGAAAACTTATTAGGAGCTCTTACATAAGCCATGATCATTCTTAAGTATAGTTTTTAAGTAAAATTAAAAAAGAAACCTTTCCTTTAACTATTCTTTTTTCCGTGACTCTGTTTTAAGTCTGTGTAATTGAATGTAATTAATCCAATGAAAACTGTTCGCCGGTAATGCTGGAAAAAACGCAGCTCAATCCTGGTCTCGCCATTTCAGAGCAGACCTAACAGATTCCATTCCTTGATAACTACTTCATTAGGCTTGATATAAGCCTGCCTTATACATCGACAGCTTCAGTCCAGCGGCATTTTGCGCTGGAAGCTGGCCCCGCTGCAACCTCCATTTGCTGCCCAATTTGCTCGTATCGCAAGGCAATAAATAAAGTGTTAATGGCAATTGCATACAAATAGTTTGGTGTTGCCATTATATTGCCATATTATCTCATTGTCGGGCCTTAACAAGAAGTAAACAATGCGACGCTCTGCGAGTTCCATTTGAGATCGGAATAGGGATCGGAATCGGAATCGGAGTTGGATCGAGTGCAGCCAATTTCACGCTTCATTTACAGGCGAAATGCAAACAAAAGACCAGCGACCGTCGAGGAGTGACCATTTGGCCGACGGGTTCAATGGACAGCAAGCTGGACTGGGATCGGGAATACCGAGTACCGAACAGGGTATCCCTCGCCCCATGTGGCCGTGTCAATCAGCTCGTCGCGCAAGGTGTGCACTCGTTATACCCAGTACTTTGGAGGACCAAGGGCGTGTTGGTTTAAAAGTTAATAAAAAACCTAAAAAAGGGGTTTATATTTACAAAGTTAGAAAAGAATGTACAGGTTTTTTTTATTTTCTATATTTTTCTGCAAGTTTTTTAGAATAAAGGAAGTATAAGGTATTCTTTAGTCGAAAACCAACCACGCTAGTATACCTCTCCGGGTCCACTTTAGGCTGCCTCCGATCCTCTACAGCGCAAAAGAGACGGAGACTAAAAGTGAGAGAGTCGCGCATGCGCGCACGTCCTAATGTAATTATTATCTCAACAATTGAATTTCCGGTCCCGACTTCGACTCCGAGCTGTGGGTCTGCCTGCATCCACTCCTGCACATGGACAGATGTCGCGCAAAACGTTACAAATGTGCACTTAATTGCGCAATTAAATAATTTTATTTCTGCTCCGCGTTTTTCTTTTCTCCTTCTTTTCCCCCATAGGCCGCTCGACGTTTTCTCCTGGCCGATAGCAAACAAATTGCAGCCAAGTGGTCAGTCTGCTCGGCTGGTCCCTATCGGATGTCCGAGGCGTCTTATTCATTATGGCCATTATACAACTAAGATAGAAGCAGTTACCACTTGCCATTTGGCAACAAGGAGTATGCATTCGATGTGAGGGGATTTCCATGAGAACAGCAAAGCTCCAGACCTTTTCACCTTACTATGGAGTCCTTTTAATCTCTTAGTTAAGATACTTATAACTATAACTTGGTGCTATTACTGGATTGGGAACAGAAGAAAACCAATTACAGCTTACAAATTGACTCCCTGATTTAGGGGTATATAGTACTGTTAACAATATTTAACGATTTTGGTAACACACTTCCCGACCTCACTCCGCTCTTTATGCAAACTATGAGCCCGAAAGCGTGGCTCGTAGCTTTGGAATTTACCCCAAAAAGTTTCCCAATTACAACCATTACTTCGACGCAGATTTCCCCCACCACCGAAACCTGAAGTCAGTGAAAATGGTGTAGCAACGAAACGCAACTGTAAACGATACCAAATTATATTTAATTACGTGCGATTAGTTAGGGTTACTGGAGTCGCACGATGAAATGCTGGCGATAAGGCCCCGCCCGTCACCTGGCCCATAAATAGTGCACCCAACTACCCAACTATTCCAGATCCCAGACCACGGCAATAATTCAATTACAAATGGCTGCGGCTCAGCCAGCGAGCAGGGCGTGTGACATAATCACCCAACAAAACTGTCGCTTGATGGCAGCGATATGTACATAATGCTGACGTCTGATGGCTGAGTACCAGGTAAACCTGGTATTTTGGCTGGCATTTCCTTGGACCTCCCCCAGATCATTATTTGGTAATTTGATACGACGATTTGTCTTGCGTTCGTTGCTTTCGTTAGTTTCGTTAGTTTTGTTAGTTTCGGCGACACTGCATTTTCACTCGATTGTCGTTAGGCCCGCAATTGACTTGGGCGGAAGCGCGTTATTAACTGGTTTATGCAACCCAAAATCGCCAGATTTCCAGCCAGCGATAAGAGCCTCTGCTTGGCTGATTATGTATATACACGTACACATTCCTGGCCAATAAGCAGGCAGCAATTAAAACGAAAGCGAAGTAATTTCATTTGTTCATGAAAATAATTGTGGAAACTCTCTCATGGCCTCTAGTTTTCCCCTCTCCCGGCAAAATAAATATGTGAAATGCTTTGGTAATTAGTGCGTGTACCGACTGTGGTCTTACTATACCCCCCTCCCACCCCTCCATTAAATCCCGTCGCCCACCTGCTTTTCGTTTTATTTCAGCATTTCGAACGATTTGGCAAAACAGAAATGCATATTTGGGATAATTCGAGTTTAATGCGCATCAATTAAAATTATTAAATTTTATCTTCACATTGTTTTGAAGAAATTAAATATAATTATTGTTTCCCTGGCCAATTGAAGTCCCGTGGACAGTGGAAATGTTGGACATTCATGTGGAATAAAATGTCGATTTGGAAAAATTCGTAATTATTTATCTGCAGTTAATTAAGCACGCTTTCAGCGTTTAGCGGGCTTAAACTGACCTCTTGTTCCCTCAGAGGTGACGTTATTTTATATTAATAAAATTGTTTACCCGGAATCATAAGAGGTGTCCCCAAAGGCTTCTTGTAAGAGAAGGTGACCCTGATAAAGTCATCGCTCCCCGTCATCGCCGTATTCTTATCTACCAATAAATGGGTTAGATTTCCCGTCGTCCAGTTCGAGTTTCGGTTTTGCTCGGACCAGTGGCAGCTGTCGATAAGAGCAAAGTCCTTATCCCCTCTACCATCCTTTTTCCCTCGCTTCCCTCTCACCGCTTTGATCATCACATTAGTTGTATTTTATATAATTGATTAATTAGAGGCCGGCTTCTGATACCCCGAATCGAATAGAGGAACACGAAGGGGAACCTTCTGTTCCGTTCGAGACTATCGTTAGAATTATAATTGGTCTGCGGCCGGGGGCCGTGCCACATAGGATGCAAGATATATGGATCTGTTGTCCCTAATGTTAATATCCTCTGGGTCATTGTGTTGTTGTGTGTCGGCAATTTGTTTGTTCTTCGGCTGTCCAAATTGATTTTATTGACTTGTAAATGACGTTGGGTGCCCGCCGCAGTTGCCCTTCCCTCACTTCCCCTGTTGACTTGGCTTCCGAATAGGGAAAACGCCCCTTTCGGGATGAGCTTGTGGCTCGTTAATCTAGGATTGTTTCCGCGCTGTCTGGCTCCTATGCCCTTCTTCGCCTTCTGCAAATCGATGGCCAGTTTGCATACTTAATTTATTGATTTCACGCGGTCTCTGCAGTAGTACTCTTTGCCCCTTTCTGTTCTCTGTGGCGCCGTTCGCAGCATAAACTTGGGGTTCAAACATAATTACTTTTTGTAATTAGCTGCAGCTCCGAAAGCCTTCAAGAGAGCCGAGCGAAAAGTGTGCAACGAGGGGCATAAAGATTGATAACGGGCTAATGAATGTAAATTTCATATGTGGCCTGTCAGCCAGTCCGTCAGCCAGTCAGGCACTCTTTCTGGAGGCGGAGGCGGAGGCAGATGCCCCGTCATTTATGAGCTGCAGAACTCTTGGACTCTCTGGGACCCTCACCTTAATTTTAATTTCGCGCTAAGCTCGGCTTCTGTTTCGCACAAAATCAAGCTTGGTGGTCGGTTGCCTCTTTCAGGTACAGTGTAGACTGGTTGGTAATGAATGGAAATGGAATACATTCTGACGGAAATAGCTTAAATAGATTCCTTTGTTGTATCGGAAAAGGTTTTTGTGCTGTTCTTACAATTTAAATATAAAGCCAAGAAATATATTATATTATATTGACTTATTACTTCTATGGAAGATACCCGTTTGTGGTACTTGGTTAACCTTAAGTTAGAAAATCTCCCTGCTATATTCCCAGATTTATGCCCACTGTCCCCACTTAACAGCCAACCACGTAGGTGG